TCCAACGGCACATCCCCATTAGCCTCTAATAAGGAAGTACTACGCCCCGGGAAAAAAGACTGAAACAAAACCAGAGAAAGGGCTGTCATGAAATAATTACACAAAAAGATCTCGGTGGTTGGGAGGAAACGATTTGCTAAGGTAATGAGACTGCTCTGTTCTAAGCCCGGGGGGCACTCCCTTATATAAGTTATATTGGTATCTGCCGCCCCATCGGGTAGCGTTTTTGCGCTGTTTTGGTTTGAAAACGGGTTTAAAATTTGCCCATTTTGGTCTGGAATCGGGTATGGTCTTTGAGGGAACTACGGGAGTGAATGAACGTAGTTATCGTTTCAATTCGCTACGAGTAAGAAAGTAAGGAAATATACGAATTCGACATAGAATTGAAGAATTTTTTTTTGTTTGCACTCTAATCTAAGTAATGAAAACATAATTTCTGTCTAAAGGCCAGGCCTGAAAACGGGTATGAATTTTGGTGGTCTGGTCTGCAAACGGGTGGGGAAAATTACATTTTTTGGTCTGAATCGGGTCAGGCTTTGGAGAACCGGACAAGAATTCCCAGGAGTACCCCCTTGGGGCTCTAAGTACTCGCTTAGTGTGCAAATTTCAAACATCCCTGTCTGTTTCCCTACCAATGTCTATCTGTAGCTACTTTTACACTCATTCTGTAATTAACTATTTAGTAGCTATGACATTTGTGTGAAAAGTTATCACTGGCCCATGAGGTTGCAAAATTTAAGCACATGTTCTAAAAAAATTAACAGTGCATGCCTGACCCCCAATCCTAGTTCGTACGTCAACAAATAAGCTGACAATTTCCCTCGATTCTATGAAAATAATATATATCTACTTACGATCACCTTAAATTTCATAATCCATGGAAGTGACTTTACAAATACCATCTACTTCCTCATGCAGCTCCCTTAAACGAAAAACATGCCCACTGAAAGCATTAGGTTAACCCTAAGCAAGCTTAAGAAAAAAACTTAAGGACACGTTTCTTTTGAACCCGAGTATATTGCCATGATAATTAAGTATCAGCCTGGGCCCGTCTTAGTCGGCTTTCAATCAATATTTGCCCAGAGGAAGGCCGGGCTGTTGTGGGTGGTGGACTGCCTCGATTCTTATTGCGACTGGACCGGGTTTTTTTCCACCTCTCAATCAGCAAGCGCGGTATATAGGGACTACGAGATAGAAAATATAAAGAAGATTATGTTGCAGTTGCAAACGCTGCTGCGAGGATGGAGGGAGAAATTTGGTTAGATTTAAGTGCGAGGCCCACGTATGTGTAACAGTACTAGTGATCGGCGGAAGAAGAACTATAGCGTGCTGTTAGTTAACTTTCTATTTGCTCCAGTGCTCGTATACACTAAAATCGTCTTTGAAAATTAAGTACACAACTCACTGTGAATACATCCTGAGAAGGCTAACGCGGTCGACTGAAGTCAAGTGCCACTGCGGTGATTTCAGTGATTTCCTATACATGTATACAATATAACAGAAACAGCTCACGTGCTGTTTACGTTTCTATTTCTTTGTACCTTGGCCTTGTCCAAAGGTCTTTGCGCAAGTGTCTTCCAAATTTTTTTTTTCTTAAAAACACAGCCTCACTCTTGCGATAACGCTTTTCTAATTCTGTCTGACTTTTTTACCTTATCTTAGCTCTTCACGCACGTATCTGCGAGTTTTATTTCATAAACGAACATAGGTACGGTGTCGGTACGGTGAGGTCGCTTGATGTTACCAAGCTGAATCTTCAGATCGAGCGTTGAAGCCGCTCAATGCAAAACAAGAAGCCATGGTTTCCATCTCATAACAAGATGAATCTTCGCCCCTTAAACCTAAATCTTGCTCTCGTTCTTGCTCATGCAACATCTGCTCGGTATGAATTATTAAATTATTTGAATGAACTATAGCACAACTGAATTATTGGATTCGCATTCGGATTTCATGTGATCTGCAGAATTATGCAGATTGAACGAAAACCGAGTCTAATAACTGCTGCGGAGTCATCTTATCTTCTTTTCAAGGAAAGAATCAAGCAATTCTTTCAAAGACGGAAAACAAAGCATGATCATTTTGAAGTTCGCCAACACAAAAGTTTATCTTAAAAACGTTGGCCTACGTGACTCTTTCGAGTCAGCAAGCCGTTCCCTCCTGGTCTTGGGTATCGGAGAAAAGCTTGGTATGTAATTTGTAAGGGATACAAAAACATTAAGCCCAACTGATGTACTTCAATGTTTCTAAATAGTTTCTTAAACACCTTCAGTGATTCAATGGGTCAGACGGACGATGACTAAAAAGTAAGCAATTCGGGGAGGGGGGATTATACTTTTTCTTCCATTCTCTTGCTAATTCTATTCTATCAAAAAAGATGGCAGTTCAGTGAGATTAAAAGAAAACGGCCTGCGTGACGGCGTGACGCCCGGGTCTCTAAGCGGGAGTTTTGAATAGAAACAACTCGTTTTCCGGCCTTGTAGGAAACAAAGGACTTTAACCTGCGATCAGGCGGTCTTTCTTCCCTTTTGACAGCTGACAGCTTGTCAAATTATAGCCTGCTGCCTGAAATATACCCAAAAGTCCACATAAAAAAAACCGACAAAGAAAACAACTCTATTCACAACTGGCTTTTATCAACTAGAGATTAGCTAAATGGGCAAGAAACGATTTTTATAATCGGCTTTGGCATGAATTCCAGAAATATTTTGTGCTTAAATCGAGATCGAATACTGTTTTTGTGTTTACAGAGGGGATACGATGTCATGAGCTTAAACTCGCTGCATCTGCCAGAGTTATTCCTTCGTAATAGACAATGACAGCATTCTTTTATCATGTTGATCCGTTTACCCTAGTCCATCTAGACGTCAGAAATGTTACCGATTTTCATCGTGCCTTTCGAGAGCTTAGACGCAGGTCAAGAATTTCACGGAACCATGTCCTAGAACAAAAGTCAGGAAGGCGGCAACGTTAACATGAAATTTATAAATTTTTTAGCGCTGCCGCTTCTGCTTTTTATTTGGGGAGACATTGTTGTTTTGGAGGCGATAAAAGTTAAGAATTTTTACCCGTTTGGACAAAGCGAAGGGGATCAAGTTGTTCCTCCTAATGACGACGGAGGCTCAGGAAGAGTTCCCATATCGTTCCCGTTTCCATTCTTTGGACAAGATCACTTATCATTGTTTGTAAGTATAGTCTTGTTTCACGAAAACCTCATTCACTCGCATAGTTTAAGTATCATGGGTAATTTTGTCGCACTTGCTTTACACTGATATAAATATCAATGCTAGGGTGAAAAACATTGTAAGACGTTGCAATACTAACGTATAAAATGAAATAAAGAATGGCGCCAAGATGTGTATCTGAGTTATTCAGGATCAAAAGTACACACCAACGCCTAAGAAACTATGATTTTGATCTACCCCGCTTTGATACAGTGGCCTATGGGAGGCATTCGCTGCGCTACCAAGGACCTTTTATTTGGTCGAAGGTCAGTGGTGAGCTAAGAAACTTAACAAGCATCAAAGTATTCAAGAAACATATACGCGGTGTGGACCTTTCGAGCCATATAGATAATAATAGTAACTGCTGTGACTTGTGTGATTCTGAGTCGGGTAGTAGTTTTAGATTTTAGGTATTGAGATCATTAATTTAAAAAATCATGTAATAGATTAGTGCCAGTTCTTAGGAAAGTGTCCCCTGTTAAGCTAAATACATTGACTCTAAAATAAAGTTATTGATATTATTATTCAAGTTTTATTAAAACGTAAGGGGACTTCCTAATTCTGACAAGGTGAACATTGATCTTATCACGTCCACCGGCGGTCAATTTATGTTCCATTTCCTCCACACTGTTTCCATCTAAACTAAGACATTGCAGAAAGTTAACTGCATGCAAGTCAGGGGCTGGTGTTCCGTTTCAAAGTAAAACGTTATAGAAAGTACTCTCGGACACATGTACGGATGGCACAACATAGGTAGCAATTTACAAAATACACTGGATCAGTGGTACACCAGTTATGGCAGGAGCCCATCAGAGGGCTCTTTACTGCTTCTTATTCAGAGTTAGGTACACGGATTTTAACTATAATTCATTTGGAAGATTGCCCGGTCAGTGCAGTCGATAAATAACAAGCCCGGCCAGTGCAATCAATAGATAACAATATCGGAAAACAAATCGATAAGTCAGTAACTTTCGATAATCACATTTTTATTGATATCGATTAAATCGGTCAATCGATAGAAATCAATGACCACAACTTTTTTAGCCGTGAGCGCTATCAAGTCACAAGTAGCCCAAGCTCGAAATATGAGCATCGGCGAGCATCGGCATTGTTGCGTAACATCCGAAATATAAGGATTCGTATGGGGAAAACACCTATCGTTTCTGTAACCTACGAAAATGAAAGGATTTCAATAAAAAAAAAGACCGGTTACCTTACATCAAATGTGTGTTACGTCTCTACTGTGTGGTCCATGGGCCGATTTATGGCCGTTTTGTGGGTTGTACTGTAAACGGTTTTCTCTCTATGTGTAAACTTCATATTTCGAGCTTGGGCTACCTGTGATCGAGTTACTGATATTATCGATTTCATGATCTTTCTCTTCATCGCCCTCTAGGTTGAAACCTAATGAATGCATTGAAAACTGGGCCTTCTTTGAAAGACTTGCGTACAGCTATCGATCGGCGTTGTTCTATGATTTTATTACTTGTCCATTTACTTACAATGGTGGACATTATATTAGTTTGGTTAGCTGATCGGCGCTTTATGATTAATTATGCAGCCATTGAGCCCTCTTCGCTCGCCAGTGCAGTCTCAAACGTCAAACGCTTTTTTAATTGCTGAAATAAAAGCTGATTAAAATTATCCTCCTATCCTTCTCCTCCCCCCGCCAGGAACACCTGATACTCAGGTCAAGTGAAAATGGACGTTTAACGGGATTTTAGACTGCGAGCAGTCTCTTATTTTTCTTTGCCATGTTACTTCAAGCGAAACCCAAGGACGCGAGCGGTGAAGCCGCAAATCGCGATAAACGAGGGCGTGATTGTAACTTAACGTCGTGGTTTTCAATCGCGCTGGCTGTCGAGATAAGAACTAGACGGATTTTAAGAGAAAAGGCGGACTGAAAGCAGTCTAACAGGATTTATGGTCATGGAACAATGTTGATTCACCCAAAACCACAGAGATAGGTTACATGCTTTTTTTTAAAATTCAGTTCCAGTCAAGTTATTCTGTCTTCAAAGTTAAGGTTCTTTCTTTAGCTCCTCTTGTTTTGGAACCAACTTAACTAACGTTCCGGAAACGTTATCCAGTCCTTTGGCATCGATGAACTTCGATAAAAAAGAAAAGATAAAGATCGATAATTATCGATTGGTCACAACTTTTTAATCTGTCAACTTTTATCGATGGAGTTTATCGATAGTCATCGAGTGTTATCGATTATAGCCTAAATTGATTGCACTGGCTGGAAACTGAGAGAGGATTTGCATTTACCATAAACTAGAGTAGCGCGTTCTTGTTTCGACTCGTGGCTTCAATAGCGTAGTATAAAAAACGCTCTTTTTAAAGAACAAGGTACACACATGGGCGTAACGCTAGTTTCCACTAATGTAGTGCATTTTTCCACTCGAAAAGTTCTTTGTTAAGTCAACAATAATTTTGTCCATTCGTACGACCCACACGACTCGACAACTTTTCGAAGCGGGCACTTAAGTAAGCGATAATATAATAAGATACATTTTTCCCTCGACAACTCCTGCTAAGCTGACATAGCTGTCCACTCGTAGGAGTGTTAAACCTTGGCTATGTTTCCACTCGTATTGTGTCGACTTCATTTGGAATGACTGAAAGTGGTCGTCTCAAGGTGATGATTTCGCCTACAGGAAACAAAGTGAAAGACCTCAGTTTTTGTAGAGTGTTCACGGTCCCCTATTTTTTCGTAAGATCGTCAGGATCGAGCGCTTACCGGTACAGGCGGCCATCGCTGTTTCATAGGTGATGAGGAAGCGGGGGCTGACACTCATCCAAGATAGCTGCCCGTGACACAATGCGCTGCACTTCGAAGATCTTACGGACAGCTAGGGGACCGTGAACAAGCTAACATAAGTCCTTGAAAGTGCAGCTATTTCGTAAGATCTTCAACTCGTTAAGAAAGCAAACACAAGTGAAGGGAATCCAACGGGCAACCATCAAATCATTTGGCAAGTTAAGGTTTGCCAGGATAAAAAACTTGGGAGATTTAGGGAAAAAAGTTAGAGATTGTTCAAGGTGATACATTTCTGACTCAAAAACCAGCTGGTAATCATGAGCCAAGAATTGCGCTAGCAAAAAGGTACAGGAATATATCTCCAGACTGGAGAATGGATTCTTTCCTTCTACTGACGAATGTCCAGAGCGTTTTTACACTGCCTGATTCCCAAAAATGTCATCGTCTGGGTGGATCGCTGGAGCTTAGAGCCACCGGCCGGGTTCCCCCGCCTCAACTATCAAGTTGAGCAATCGGACAATTTCGGCACAATAACGTCAGTTTACTACAGGTAGTAGAATCCTTCAGTTTGTTGTTTTCTTGTGCAAATTAGGGCTATTGTTTTTTTAAAACTCAGTGGGATTGACAAATGTAAACGAGAAACCAAAAACGAAATGAATTCGGGTAGTCAAAAGTCGCGCATTTGGGGTGAAATGACAGGCCGTAGGTGGACTGACGGAAATTCATTTTATTCCAACTGGACAATAACTCTAGCATCAGATTATTATAACTCGTTAAGTTAAGCTTCTTGGCTGATACTCAAACAACAAACTTTCTAGCTCTAGACGTAACTAGCAAAGGGGAATGCCCCTCTTAAAGAAAATCGGTTGACTTTAGAAGAACAGTGCTCCTTAATGGATGAATAACCGTTTATAAATACTATAACCAATACTATGATCTTCAAAACTTTTGCTTTAGTGCTATACATACTTGTATAACGTTTAAAAAGTGTACCTAAGGAAGTGAAAATGATGGCTGCAATAAGAATTTATGGGGCTTCAGTCGAACAAAACCAAAAACGTCTTAAACGTAGTCTAAATGTCCATTAATTAGTAAGGAAGGCGTTTGTTAGCTATTGTAGCATCAAACTAGACCAGCTTGAATCATCATCTTGCTTCAGTTGACGAATAGCTTTTAGGAAACACTATTTTTGGGAATAGTTATGTTTATCTGCTAAATAAAGCTTTTTATTTCAGATCAACACCAATGGAGTAATCTCATTTCTGACAAACGTTAACCAGTACACACCAGATAGGTTTCCTCTCGGCGATAGACGACGACTAGTAGCACCATTCTGGGCTGATGCAGATACTAGAGTAGCCGGAGAGGTATTCTACCGGGAGACTTCGGATCTAAACCTTCTAAAGAAAGCAACTGCTGATGTCACAACTATCTATGTGAGATGCAAATCGTTTAGAGCTGCGTGGTTGTTAATTGCAACGTGGCATGAAGTGGCCTTTTACGGCGCTACAGGAAATTACACTAGCAAGGTACTGTTACTGAGAAATCATCATCGTCATCAACGACAACAGACCAAGTTTGTCGCTTGATGAAGTCATTGTGCACACCAACATAAGGCCAGCTCGTGTTTCTGCCTCGCTGTGCGATTCACATAAGTTCCACGTGCGATACGAATTTCGTCAAAATAATAAACCTAGTACGGACCTCCCTTCGAGAGGAATAAAACATTTATTAGTTTACAAGATATGCTTACGCCATCTTTAGTGGTAAATCTTGTTATTGGTTGGAATTTATAATATCTAAATAGGAATCATTTCAGTGATAATACTCCTTAACGGTAACAACTCAGGAAAAAGGTAAACTAGTATTAGACAGATAAATAAGGCTGCTAAATAGAAAGGTATGCACTTGTTTGTACTGTCAGTTTTAGAATAGTTTTTGAGATCTATTATATAATGAAAAATGCTGCAATTTTAGTTCTGGTCGCAGTTAAATTACACGAAATTAACCCTTAGACTGGCCTGCGATCGTGACCTCCATATCGCCTCATGTCTCTCTGGTCTCAAATAAAATAGTGCTATAGGTCCTATAAGCAGTAAAATGGTCAGTTTCTTTGTATTGTAAAATTTTCAGCGTCCAAGTAACCTTGTAATTGGCATCACTGAAATGATGTTGTTTATCAGTAGAACCCAATTTATAAGGTAACGTAGCAGACACGAAAACCGAAAAGAAGGAAAGGAACTTGCCTATAAGTACACGAGGATAATCGGCTTGCACGACGTCTGAGAATAACTTTTTATTTTACTACTACTACTATTATTATTATTATTATTATTATTATTATTACCACTATAATTATTTTATCATCATCATCATTATTATTACCATTACCGCTATCATTATCATTATCGTAATCGTTATTATTATCGTATCGATGAGTAATTTGTTTTAGAAGTCTTTTTAGAGAGCTTTCGAACAAAGATTTGAAATGTATATAATAGAAACACATGAACTTGTGTTGCTTATGTCACCTCCTTTTTTTTTTTTTCCAGAGAAACACTTTTCAGGCAGTTCTTGTTACAAACGGTATAAATTCGTTTGTCATCTTTAATTATGATAAGCTAACATGGACTACTGGTACAGCTAGCTCAGGAAACAGCTCAGGGCTCGGAGGCAAGCCTGCACAGGTATGGTTCACATCCAGCGATTCACATTCAAAATATTTTTAATACGTAGTTAGTTTAGAACTATGATGGTCAATGAAAATACAACTGACCTTTATGCAAGGCGCAAAGAAGCTGAAAATTAATTGTAAATACAGTCATCATGTCTTGACAGGCTGGTTTCAATGGCGGGGACGGACTGCGATATTTTAACATTCCAGGATCTGGCACGCACCAAGTACTTGACCTTTCTCATCAATCCAATGTTGGAATCCCTGGTCGTTGGTTATATCGCATTGACAGCAAGGCCGGTGATTGCAATAATAACGGTAGGAGGCTTCTGTTTAGAGTTAATGAAAGCTACTTTTAGGCGATGAATAAAACGGGGAATAAACAGTACTAAATTCTTCAAAACAAGAGCTCTAGGTTTCATGATGCTGTAGGAAATCTGCCGAGAACACTCGGCTCCAGAAAGTCCTTCAACCAGACAAAAAAGGTTCAGTTAATGATTTGCAGTGAAAGGCTGTCTTAGTATTTTTAAAGAATATTCCTGGTTCGCTTCCCCCGAGAGTAGTTATTTTTTCTAATTTTTAAACGCTCATTTCAGTTACTTGGACCAGGTTTTTGCTCCCTATAGCTGTAATGCCTTTTAGATAGAATGAAAGCTTAAAAAACATAAAAGAAAAAAAAATCGTTCATTGAGAATTTCACCAGCAATTTTCATGTTGAAACCACATCTTGCTCATACAAGAGGGTCTCAATGGGGTGGTAGCTTTGACGGTCAACGGTTATTTTTTTTTTCCAATTTCGACGGTTGACGGTTATGTTTTAAAAGTTTTTAGCGGAGATTTACTCCAAAAGTTTAGGTAAATATTTTTAAACTTCTATAATATAAATTAATATTGACTGTGTGTTTTGGAGGTTCATTGCCTTGGCCTGTTTCTTAAAAAGGTTCCAAATATTATCAGATGATAAGCAAGTTGTTAGGTCTTCTTATGTCTAAAGACAGAGATCCAAAATCCGTAAAGATCAGCTGAATATAGTGAGTTTTGAAATAACTGGAAACTTTTTAACGGTTAATATTAATCTGCATTTTGACGGTAAAAAAATTACCTTTCTCTTGAAAAATTCTACAGTTAAGTTGACTCGACTATTAATTTTGATTACCAACAACGGACTCAAACGATCGAAGATACTGAAGCAGATGTAGTGTGTGCAAGAAAACTTGCGACAGAAGAAAAGGAAAGGCTTGGAAACATTTAAACTAAAATTATTTGTTTGAGTACTGGCAGGACCATATTTTAAATCTTGTCAAAATCTAAGCGCCGGCGTATAAACTTTTTGTAGCCTCCCATGTCCGTGACAGGTAAGGAGGTTTCAGACCTCTCGTTTGTACGGGTGTTTTTCCGTTAATTACCTTCCCTACCTTCCCTGACATTTTACAGTCTTCATTCCACAGTTAGCGAACCGCTAAGAAAATTACTTTTGGATACGTCCACTATTTTTTAACCTATGTTTCTCCGCCCAACCTCTCCCCCTTTCTAAACCTCGTTCCAGGGCTTCTTATAAATAATCAAATTAGCTAAGTGGCGTAGTGTTGCTCACGACAGTTTGCAACAGAGTTATTTGTGACCTTTACTGCGGATAAGCTTTGCAGTAGAATCGAGTTATGAACTTATCCGATACAACCATCATACGATCGTGTTACAAATATATATAATAATATTATCCAGAATATTTTCCAATGGTTGTTGGGAACAAAGGTCGCCTGAAGGGGGACGCATTGAGAAAGCGAAGTGAGGCACGAATACCGACAAGAAAAAGCACAAGTAAAAGTATAAGCGCTATATAAATATTTTATTATTATTATTAAAAAACGTTTAGAAAAGGGTGTCTTCATTATCTCATCGTCAGTGTCTATTCGTCCGCAGTCGTTGTCTTAAACCGGTTTTTGAAGCATTGGATTTTAACAGATTCGTGACACTGAGATGGCATGAACCGCGCTTGCGATAGTTTGCGCGTGGTTACTGCGGATGATTAATAAATCCTGCACATACAAGCAATAACATGGCCTTAGGGCTGTTTTAGACGTGTGGCCAGAAGTGGAGCCAAAATTTGGCACTTGTATCTTAATTGGACCAGTTAATTACTCCCGATAGCCCTATTTTAACAGGCCGGGAAGTTTTGTAGCTTATCACTCAGGGTAACGCTGAGTACATCCCAAACAGAGCTACAGCTTTCAATTTAAGTCAGGGGTAAAACTCAGCCTCATTCAATAATTGTTGAATGTTCTGAGGGAAAAGTGAAACACTTAAAAATAGTTCCGACATTCCTGAACTTCTTTGAGTTTCTTTCCTACATTAAAAATAGAACATTTCTGCATCCGTCGGCACTTCTGTCTATATGTTTGAATAGGGAGGATTAATTACTTTCGAACAGTCATTTAAGATGTGGGGCTTAAACAGAAACAACTGAAACAAACAAGGCAGATATTTATATCCTGCACGTACGTGCACTTTTGCACCAGGACTAAAACAAGGTCAAGTTGAATTTAGCTACTGTTGTTTTAACGGCTGTCTACAGAGAGCGCAGAGGAAGATTTGGGACCTTGATTATAGTTACATTTTACAGTTGATAGCGCGAATCGCTTTTGTTCACAGCAGAATCGAATACAGTACCTTGTGGTACTCCCTATATCTGCTAGAAGGACCACCTGAGTGAAGCAATCTTGGACCAAGTTTTCAGAATTAGTTACTAGTTATATAAATGATCTGCCGGTCGCCGCTTTAGTCTCTCAGTTTTAACCTATCTGAGAATGTTCGCCGATGAAATATTACCGGTACGTAGTTTGTAAAATAAAAACTGCTACTTGACCGTCAAAATTAAGCAATAAAGATAATTAAGCAATGTTATCGAAAAGGGTACGGATATAGCGATGAATTTTAAGTGAAGCCGTTCCTTTCTTTAAAAATGTCCCCTCACGCTGAAACAAGAAGAGGCCTTGTGGTGTCATATTGCGTAATGTTCAGAATGACCTTGAACATAAAGGATTCGCATGGGAATTCAGGTAATGGACTCAAAAAGAAAAATTGTTGCTAGGATTTTCATTGATGCTTATAATCACAATAATAATAATCATAATCATAATATATAATGAACAGTATGATTGTCTTTAGTGACTGATGCTCGAGTTGCATGGTTTGCACCCTACTACTACTACTACTACTACTACTACTACTACTACTACTACTACTACTACTACTACTACTACTACTACTACTACTACTACTACTACTACTACTACTACTACTACTACTACTACTACTACTACTACTACCTCTTATAGTAGTAATGACAATAATAATAATAATAATAACAATGATAATAATAACTTATGTAACTGTGTGAATCGAACTGCTGTGAGACTTCAAAATACAAACTGACAGCAAGACTGAACACAAAAAGCTTTATATTGTGGTATTGGATAAGATAGAACGCAAATGGCCCTGATTATTGATTATGCTTGTCCATTTGACTTCCAAGTAAAGTGAAAGACAACGACAAAGAAAAAAACTGAGAACTACCAAAACCTGAAGAGGAAGTTGACACAGATCTAAGAATTGCGCGAAAGTAACTGTGGTGCCAGTCATAATTGGCGCATTAGGTACTGTCCCGACGGAAAGATTTATTATCAAGTGCTTAGCAGAGATTAGTGTCACGTCGTTTGGAATCATTGAAGAGAGCGTGCTTGCTGGTTACCGACAGAATCCTTCGCAAATTCTTGGACATCTTATGTCACGGGAGGTGACTTGATGTTTAAGGAAGATACTCCAGAAATCCATCCAGAAGCTGTCTTTAATGAGGATAATAACAACAATAAAAAAACTTTACCTTTAGTTTCTTAGTTGGTTTGTTATTGCTTATTGTGTGGTTTTTTTCCCGACCCGCGCTGCGATTTAAGCAATTTCCTTTACCCCCGAATTTTCACAGAAGTCTTTTATTTGGTCGTTTACGGTTAGTATTCTAACTTAGTACTACATAACCGTAATGGTTTTAACATCAATACTATCAATATTATCGTATCTTATATCTTTCTTTTTAACTATATAATATCCGGGGTTAACTTCATGAATATTTCTATTAAATATGGAAGAGGAAAAGTGCCGCTGAGTGCAGAATTTAACATATTCTTCTCAATTAGGACAAAGAATAACCCTCGACCTTGTTATAGCTCTATTTCAATGGCGCATGCGCAAGCTATTTATTGATTAACCTTTGGGAAAACCTAATATGTAATATGACTGATATGCATTGTTCTGAAACTCCGCAATAATAGGGAACTTAAGAACCACGAGGAAGTTCACGACAACGACGCCTGTTGACTGGGAAAAGACTGGAACGAGAACGTCAGTTTCGGCGGGAAAAAGGAAACTTAAGATGTAGGTCGGTAGGTCGACGACGACGACCAGTTTGGACGACACTGAATGTAAACAAAACTGTGGTGTTCGTTCGCAACAAAGGTTTTCGCAATGGCGTCTGTAAAATAATGCAAGATCTTATTTTTTAGGCCGTACGTCTAATTTCATTGATTATGAAGAATTTTTTTGTTGTCTGACCTTTTCGAGTGGAAAAACACCTGCTTTCCGTACGAAGATTATTCAACTTTCAACCTGGATGAGATGACCGAGTCCGAATGTCTGTCAGAGTTTAGATTTGGAAAAAGAGACATTCTGATTTGATAGCTGTTTTCCATGTAAAGTTTATTTCCTCTATATTAAAGATATATCATTTGCCTTACCTAAATACGAACAAATATTTTTATCACTTACGAGTTCGCTCACTCGGCCTCCACAGCGGTTGTCATTCTTCGAAGTAAAAACAATTCATTAGTCGAACTTTCAATCAAAATGGCTTGTTCGGAGAAAAAAGGAACGATACCTGGATTTACGAGGATAAGAAAATGCAAAGGACTTCAAAAATCGCTTAAAACAGTGAATTTATACCTGCAAAAGCTTGTGGATTGCATGGCGACGTGATTCTACTTTGTTTGGCGTCGTCGACGACGAAATATACTGGTCGCGCTTGCGTAGTACACTGTAACTCACTTCCGGTCGTCGTCGACAAAGTCGTCGTCGTGATTCTTAAGTTCCCTAATATACCAAACATGTAGAAGCGTTTAAAAATGATCAGCTATACATCGATACCTAGCAATTATACCCTTTTTGCGATTTTAGCGTCATAAAGGACTTCACAAGTTTCTCCTTGGTCATCCTTGCTTCTTTCAGGAAGTTAAGTTCGATACTGACCACTCACCTGTCATTGAGCAATGGAATATTAGCATTTGACAGTAAGGGAAAACGTATGCTTTATTACAGACGCGAAAGTATCATCAAGTACTTCGCAGCTAGGCAGAAATGGATCTCGCTGGCATTTTTTTGCTAAATCTTGCTTTTCCTTTATTTTTCGAACTATCTTTATGCCTAACGGATTGTAATGGCTGCTGAGATCCGAACACCTATAAAGTAATCAACGAGCCTCGGCGTAGTATCAATAGTATTTGGAAACAAGGTCAAACAGCGATTTGGGATAGAACTCTTTCATGGGGATGGTATCGATTCACGAGCTATGTCGGTGGACAAATGCCGACTTCCCGTGTCAACCCGTACCACTGTGGCACGGCTGCTCCGATTTGGTTTCGTGGACAACACCCGTCATCTGCAGATCTAACTGTAACTGTCCAGGCGCGCACAAACTTCTTTAACCTCAGCAATGGTTGCCACCAGCCATTCAACGTAAAAATAAGGCAGTGTAGTGGGTCACTGCCATTCTTCGTCTACTATCTAAAACCAACATGTTCGTGCGCTGTTGCCTATTGCGCCCGTAAGGATACTGTCTAGTGATAACCGTTCTCGGTGTTAGTTCTGTCGTGTTGGATGGGAAATTCGGGTTTGAATTTTCTGGTTTGTGAAACCTCTAATACTTCGAGCTAGTAGTTTGTTTCCATGGGAAAAAGTCAAATAAATATGACCCTTGATGCAGTTCCGGTTCTCTAACCACGAGCTTTTCAAAACCGATTAGGGATTAAAGTTCAAATTTCATTCGTTTAATTTTGGCAATAATATAAGTACTTCCCACAGGACAGAAACATGAACAATTGGAACATTCTAATCGTTAAGAAATAAAAGCAGTACTTTTTGTTTCTATTATTATTCAAATTAAAAGCCAACTGATGATTTTGACAGTTTCCCGAAAGGGTTGAAATAGAGAATTCATTGATTGAAACTTCATTCCTGCTTGTACCGGCACCGGAAATTGCAAAGTTGTCAGATCATGGAGGGGGTATTATGATTTATTTTTTAGTTCAGATATACGTTAGAGTATAAAACACAGAGCTGTAGCTGTCATTCCATCGATCAATAGTTTGTTTAGGGCTTACTTTCGATCAGTACTTAGTTACCATGGTACTTTCTTACCATCGATCAATAGTTTGTTTACGGCTTTCTTTCGGGCAAAAAAAAATGAACTGAATGTAAAAGGTAAAAGAGAAATAGCGAAAAATTCAACTTCTAATTAAATCTTTTCTTATTGTTGAATAAACTATTCTCGAAACTGAGAATGTTTTGATCAAAGGTGTGTAAATCGAACTGAAACTGTGAATGGAACCTTGCGTGTCCTGTATATATCTCACCTATTGTATGGAATATGTGTGAAAATCTTCATTATGAATCGGTATATTTCAAAGAGCTACACAACGAGCAAGAATACTATCGCCCACTTCGGAAATGAGTGATAGCCTGGGACCAAACTAAGCGCACGCCCGTTTATGGGATTGTTTGGGGGGACGCGAAACAAACATGGCGGAAAGCAAAGTTAAATGTGGCGGGGTTAAAAAAGCTCAAAACAGCCAAAAGGAAGGTGATAATGAAAGAAAAAAAAAACATGAAAATGTGAAGCTAAAGGAAGAGGATGTGCCTGGGGCTATTTTACCGCTTTCATAGCTGTTGTGCCCTTGTAAGACGAATAGCAAGCTGACTGCATATCTAGTGATGACGGGCTTTCAGCCCGAATTTCAACAGCATCAATGATATGCACAGTCCTTGGGTACAGCTCCTTAAAAATGTTTGGCAAATACTGATGTAAGACCTCTTTTCTTGTTGGAAGGCGAATTTAACCCTCATGAACCGCACCCAGGTATTAAACACAGTGGAAACAGTTGTTTCAGTGAAACATTAAATCTATGTGCTAAATCCTTTTGAAATAAACTTATCTAAGTCAAAATAAACTCTTCAAATATACTCATTGATCCGGGTCTTTCTAGCCTTTGCTCAGGACTGGTGTTTTTTCTTCGCGTAGGAGCCATAATTTAAGTTCTGGGCCTTGTCATGTAACATGTCGCAAAGAAGCATGAGTGCATCCCAGTGTGGAAGGCCAGTGTAAAATTTGATATCTTCATCCTTTTCCTTAAATTTTGAAATGTTAAACTTCGGATTTTTCAGAGCAAGCTGAGGTGTCTTTGAATCTCTCGATCGTCAACTCGTCTTTTTCTTTTGCTACTTCTTCGCCAGTCGATTTTAATTAAAATTCCAATCGATCGACAAATTCTCCGGTTATTTCAGTTTTGCGTCACAGCGTCACAAAAGGAAGAGTCGGTGAAACACTGTTACCTTGAGTGTCCACTTGAATCTGCTCAACTGACACTTCATTTACTGAATCAGCCTCACCGTTTATTTCGGTACAAGAAATGTCAGTGTTTCTTTTCCTGGCTCTTGAATTCGAAGTTACCTCTGGCCTGTATAGAATTCGTCGTTGACGTTTCTTTTCACTCCAAGGAAAGATAGATGGTAGATGAGTTCTATTGCGTACTTCGCTTTTCAAAACCATCCCAATGGGCAGAGCAAATCCGTGTGCAACCGGAGGTCAAATTCAAATTATCGTCCGAAGCAAACGTACATGTTCTCGCCGGATACGTCTTGCATTGGGCATTCGCTAAAATGCTAGATCATGGGAGTTCTTGAAATTATTTGGGCACAAAGGCACACACCAAGTTGCATGTCCCGTCATTATTCCAGGTGGCTGATCGGGGTCTTCTTCCCCGCCCAAACGATCCCATAAACGCGGGCGAGCTTAGTTTGGCCCCAGGCTATCACTCATTTCCGAAGTGGGCTATTGAGCGACAATATACAGAGCGGGGGCAGCTGTAGTGTCAACTATTACTGGGCACGTACTACCATCCAGGAATTGTAAGTTAAGTGGTAAGGAGGAGTAAAGAAGCTTGTTTCCTTTGACTACGCGCTTTTGATCATATTTGCAGGGAAAAGGCGCGTTATAAATTATTTGTTATTATTTCCGACTGTGTGATTGACTTGGTGTCTTCTGTGTCATTAAAACACTACATGCATGGCCATTTTCAGGATCTTGTTGATGAGAAACATTAACACAGAGCCTCAATAGACGCGCACTACTATATCGACCTATCGGCTTCGCACTAATTTTCCCACGAACGAATGCGATTTACGATACCCCGTTGATTAATCCCTTATTCCATAGGCGTATCTTAAATGCGAAGCAAACAAACATGTTCTTGACTCATGTACATTTCAGCCAGCGAACTAATATTCACGCGGTTACAGCAAGAAAATGAGCCTCTCTAACTGTAGTCCTTGTCTTATCATGACGATGAATGTTGTCACGAAATTTAAGAAAATTCAAACAGTGAGGGCTGCCACAAAATTGTGTGCAACATAACCACTTAAAACGTTATAAACAACACAGCGAACACAAAAGAAGGAACGAATGAACCAGGCTTAAAAAAGATTGGAACGGATGGCAATTGCAGTACTTAAAAACCAGTTAGCCTTGCATTTTTTCAAACTTCATTTTTGTTGAACGTTTGACATAATGCTTTGGGAAATATTTAATACGAAACTTGCGAATTTCTCATTTACAAGTAAAATCCTCGCAAACATTAACTTCTTTTAGCGAATTAAGGAATGCATTATTACAAGAAACTAACAGCCGTGACACAGCCCCTTTAATAAAGCTGGAGACTAACAATGGGCGTCTCACATGGGAAGTTTGTTGGGGTTTTAGCGTTTTGTTTTTATTATTTGAAACGGGGTATGCATTAAAAATACGGCGAGTGTACGGGCATACACAGTAATTTTTAGGGAGTTATTATAACTCCAAAAATGAGTAAAAATTTTAGGTACAGGATAACCCCTTTTAGTAAAATCCAACTAGCAGACTATTATCAATGCTGCGTTCTGATTGGTTGAGCTACTTGTAGGCTATATGTTATAGCCCACTAGTAGCGAAAAGCGCCGGCTTTGAAAATCAAAACAATGGCGGCTGAATCTCGTTTTGCTAGCTAAAGTTGTTTTTGTCTCGATATTTTTGATTAACTAGTTGGATTTTACTAAAACAATTATTCCTCTCGCCCTCATGGCCTCTGAGTCAATAGCCCATGAGGCCGCTATTGACTCAGAGCCCATTCGCTAAAAAAAATTACTGTGTACGTACATGTATAGTATACCACCGCCCCTAGGTAGGTCATCGTATTTTTCAGTCATTTTAGGCTCAAGAGTTACATTTGTCTGACGCTATAAATAAACTAGTAATAACCAAAGGTTATAGAGTGCGGGCGGGCTTTTGCTCCAACGTAACCTGTGATCAGGTGTCCTTCTTCTCTTTTTGTTTTGAAAAAAAAAAAAAAAAATCGCCTGATCGCACGGTAGCTCCAACTGGCGATGCTTTGGGCAAGTTTCACACGACAGATAGTCAAAACACGCCTGATCAGATTACGAGGGGTAGAAGGTTTAGACGCGCGTGATCAAATTGCGTTTTGTACGTTCCATTCATTCTAAGTGGAAGTCCAAACGAATGCTGGCTACATACATGCGACGCATGCGCAATAACAACCTGGAGATTAGGATTGCGGGCTTCTCTTGTCGCCCGCAATAAATACGTGTATCAACTCTACACAGGCCGCTTTTGATATGTTAAAATCCAGCATGATAGAGTCCTGAAGGAAAAAAAATGCAAAGTAGATGACTAAGCACTTTCTTTAATTTGTTGGTGTCATCCAAGACTCGCTATCACGCTAAATTTAAATATATCGAAAGTTATTTGGCTCATGTTTCTTTGCAGGCACTATAAAACCATGCGGTTATGGACAAGTGTATCTTATGAATCAATGTGTTGGTAAGTTTCGACTTTGAATTCTGCCTAGACCGTATATTGCTTGAGTCCACTAAGAATTGGGGGTGAGTTACAATGTAGGGGCGTCGTCCACACGAATCGACGGGCAGGCTAACGCGACACATAACCGGTATCAATTGTCTCACGAATTCGCAGATCAGTCGGATTCAGAAGAGATTGCTCTAGGGAGATGCGGTTTCAGAGGAGGGGATTCACAGGCTTCGCGTACACGGAAGGCGGGTTCAAGTGAACGAAAACAAATAAAAAAATGTAATATAATAATAATAATGATGATAATAATCATGATAATAAATACAAAATTTATTTTATTTCATTTTATTGATAACCACAATTATAATACTACAAAAAAGCGTTTCAATGAAGATTCACTAACAAACATTAGACTAAAGCCAAAGACAATTGATTACTACAATGCTTACAGACATTAAACCAGAACAACAAGGTCATTAATATATAGTTCAGTTAAATAAGGGATCAGTATGTATTTTCTTTTGAGAGAGCTTCCCAGCTAAAACAAATCTTGATGACATTTTTTGGCACGTTTTTAATTATGTATATTGATTGATACCCCCCACCCTCCCCTCTCTTTTATCTATACAAACCCCTTGGACATAAAGCGTTCATTTGATTTCTGCATAGTTTTTGCAGCGGGGTGCGGGGGGAAGAGACGAGGTCTGAGACCGAGAAACTATGTTCACACAACTTGTAAAGCCGTTACCTTCCCTGGTGGTCAGCGGATAATTGCATGCAGTATAATTTTTCTTTTCTCAAAGCATAGAAACGTAAATATGTCCCAAATTAAATATTTTAGGAGCGAGAAGCGAACCAGTAGTAATATCGTGCACCTTTACTTTTCTCGCATATCGTATTAGTCCTTTGGTACTGAAATTGCAAGGAAATCCAAAACGCAAGCGACAGTCTCTGCAGCAGTGTAAATTCTAAACCGACTACAAAACGCGCGCTGGACCATGATCTTTCGAGTTTATAGGTTACATCGTTTTCGCCCGGCGAGAATATCAGAAGATTATATAAGTTATGATGCTGATAATGATTACTGGAGAAAGTGTCAAATTTATCGGAAGTAAGTCTATTCAAGAGAGCTTATAAATATTATAAATATGAGCTTACACACCTGAATAAATGGATTCACACGTCATATTTATCACGATCAGTTCAGCACCTTAAATTCAAAGTTAAAATTCAAAACAATCTTAGTAAACAAATTACAACTATTGCTGAGAGCTCTGTACCTTGAAGTGACCTTACCTTCCCTTAGGTTAGTAGCAAAACACTACTCAATAGCTCAGCTCTTCGGCGGTTCTTATCAGCCTTGCTAGTGGATTTGCTTATTGATCATGCGCATTTATCCAAACTTAAAGATAACGGTTTTTGAGAAGTAACAAAAACATGGCGGTCGAAGGAGTGAATGCTTCTCACTATTAAATTTGGGTAATTCACAATTTTGTGGATTTTTTTGTAGCTTTTCCGCAAGCATCGTATATAAGAAAATGTATGGGATTTAGCTTCCCCCCTGGTTTATTTTGTTGTTAGTTGATGTTGTTGCTTAGTTTTTGTCAAATCTGGATAGCCGAGAATTTAATTAAGGGGGAAATGTTTTAGAGCTGAAAGCCACGAATCGACCAATGCACATGTAGTCATACAGCCTCACTCAAGCCTGAAAGAAATCCTCTCCGATAACACTTAGAGTACTCCTAACGTGTTCAGGTTGGGTGGGAATTGCGTAGTCTTTTTCATACAACCACACCTGGAGAATTTTATTTAAAAAAAAAATACAACACTGGGATGGTTTTCTATAACAAAAATACAGAAAGCGAATAAAATACCCTCCACGTTGAGATCGACTATTAATCTTTTTAAAGAGTCCTAAAATTCTGCTAATAAAATTATTTTTTTTAACTAAGGCCATCCCCCTTTTTTTAGCGTCGAATGCGTTTTCTGATATTGGGTCGGTGGGTAGGATTGAAAAAAAAAATCTAAAAAAAAAAATCACAAGAAGTCTCGGAATAGTAGGCCCTTGGACGACGTTAAAAGTTAACATATTTGGATTAAAAAAATGCACAATATAGTGTAAAAAATAATCGTGTTTTGGTTCCTGTTGTTCTCTGTGCTGTTATACTATGCTTATTTTTCAGATTAAAAGAATTATTTCAAGTGAAAAATGGTTTAACTACGTTGTTACATTTTTTTTTTCTTTTTGACAATCCCAAAAATTTGGGTCGGTCGGACGACGCTAAACGGAGAGAAAAAAGAGGATGGCTTAACTGATTACTAGAAAGTAAACGTCATCCACAGAGAGACAAAGAGGAGTTACGCAAATAAGTAGTTGCTAGAATTTTTTTCTGTTGTTTATTACAGCTGCACCAGCAGAATTTAACAGAGATTTCCTTGGTGAGCCAACAATAACGCATTATCAACCCGATCAGCATTCCGCTGAAGTAGCCCTTAAGTGTGAAGTTCAAGTAAAAGATTTTATCCGTTCGTGGACAAATGTCACATACCAAATAACTTGGTATTCTGAAGGGAAACATTTAAAGACGGATAACAGCATTTGTGCACGTTTGCCAGCGCCACCGTTGGGCAGCACTATAATCCCAGACTACGACAGTCCTTGCTTAAACAACGGAAGGCCATTGTTTTCTAGACTTGAGGGGATGGAGTACAAGTTGAATCGTTTGGTATGTTAATTGAAACAGTCCACAAATGATTTTTTAAAGCGATATATATATATATATATATATATATATATATATATATATATATATATATATATATATATATATATATATATATATATATATATATATATATATATACCTGGTTTTTTGAAAACCGGGCTACTAAAAAATGTCAGTCTCTCGCACTGATTGTTAATTTGATGGCCCTTGTTACTTGAAAAGTAAAATCTCACCTCAAAAAGAAATTATTGAATACATGAGCCTCCATTTGATAGAATCGTCTATCTTGAAGGTAACAAAAGTGACGTTTTCCTCATTAATCTGGAAAATAAGGCATTTTAAGAAGCAATTTTTAGTGTCGGTGTCACCGATTGCAAAGCCAATTCCCCAGTTCACCCCATTTTTAATTGACGCTGGTCTCCCAAAAACAATCTAAGCCAACACTGCTCAACAAAACCAAGTCCTAAAACCAGCAGTTCAACTGCTTGCTGACTAGGAACATTCTGAACAGAGTGGGTCATTGCTTACATGCAAACAGCACAAACAAACTGCATAAGAGTGCAAAAACAAATCAAACTTTACAACAACCCCACTCCCCTGCAATTTAACCAGGCTACCCCAAATGCATACCAGACGATAGCCCCATGTCTGTGCAACAACATGGCACCCGGCCAGACACAACCCCCCCTTAATTTGAGGGAGACATTGAGCTTTGAAAGACAGGGGTAGCCCTGGTACAAAAACTCAGCGAATCCGCACTCTAGCACAAAGCATAGTCTTTATAACAACCCCACCCCCCTGGAATTTAACCAGGCTACCCCCAATGCATACCACATGATAGCCCTGTGTCTGTGCAACAACATGACAGCCAGCCAGACACAACCCCCCCTTAATTTGAGGGAGACATTGAGCTTTGAAAGACAGGGTAAGCCCAGGTACAAAGACTCAGCAAATCTGCACTCTAGCACAAAGCATAGTCTTTACAACAACCCCACCCCCTGAATTTAACCAGGCTACCCCAAATGCATACCACATGATAGCCCTGTGTCTGTGCAACAACATGACAGCCAGCCAGACACAACCCCCCCTTAATTTGAGGGAGACATTGAGCTTTGAAAGACAGGGGTAGCCCTGGTACAAAAACTCAGCGAATCCGCACTCTAGCACAAAGCATAGTCTTTATAACAACCCCACCCCCCTGGAATTTAACCAGGCTACCCCCAATGCATACCACATGATAGCCCTGTGTCTGTGCAACAACATGACAGCCAGCCAGACACAACCCCCCCTTAATTTGAGGGAGACATTGAGCTTTGAAAGACAGGGTAAGCCCAGGTACAAAGACTCAGCAAATCTGCACTCTAGCACAAAGCATAGTCTTTACAACAACCCCACCCCCCTGGAATTTAACCAGGCTACCCCAAATGCATACCACATGATAGCCCTGTGTCTGTGCAACAACATGACAGCCAGCCAGACACAACCCCCCCTTAATTTGAGGGAGACATTGAGCTTTGAAAGACAGGGGTAGCCCTGGTACAAAAACTCAGCGAATCCGCACTCTAGCACAAAGCATAGTCTTTATAACAACCCCACCCCCCTGGAATTTAACCAGGCTACCCCCAATGCATACCACATGATAGCCCTGTGTCTGTGCAACAACATGACAGCCAGCCAGACACAACCCCCCCTTAATTTGAGGGAGACATTGAGCTTTGAAAGACAGGGGTAAGCCCAGGTACAAAGACTCAGCAAATCTGCACTCTAGCACAAAGCATAGTCTTTACAACAACCCCACCCCCCTGGAATTTAACCAGGCTACCCCAAATGCATACCACATGATAGCCCTGTGTCTGTGCAACAACATGAGACTTAGTTTGACGGAAGCCCCCCTCAAAAAATATTAGCTTGGCCAACGGGGGCAACAGCCCGTCCCTACGGGACGGGCTGTTGCCCCCCTCGTACAAATTTTCTGGAATTTGCACTGATTTCTGTCAATTCCAGGAAGTTATTTGGAGCCCATGGTTAAGAGGTGAGGGTGGTTAGTCCTGAAGAGCGAGATTGTTATTTTTACACTAAAAGTATCAGGGCTTTAAGCGAATTAAGTTTTGAAAGATTGCCTGCAATGTGCTGGACTTGACTTAAGATTTCAGGCAACCCGGTTTTCAAAACTCCAGGTAGATATATATTTAAATTTATGTATCATCATCTCTATTCTCTCTGTCTTGACAGATATCGTGTAACGTGACTGCCCGACATTTTAGATCTCCTTTGAGCCCTTGGTGCATCCCAAAGACGGTTGGAAAGCCTTTCTTTGCAGGAATAAAGGCAAGTAATAAAAATACCTTGTTAAGTAAGCACGTGAAAATCTTGACTTTTATGTAAAAAAGATTGCGGGTCGGTTATTCAAACGAAGTTTAACTTAGACCGCTGTTTAATAAATCTTTGGACCTCCAGATATCTTCTTTAGTAAGAAAGTTTAAGAAGATAAATGATTTTGTAGTCTACTCCATATGTTTTCAAACTGTTCGTGACGATAAGTGAAAAGATGTTAAGATAAAAGCGTTGGGTAAACTTAAAATGGCTTAGGACGCGGTTTTGTTAAACCCCGGCTAAACTTCCTCTAAATAATTTATATAACTGGCCCTACGAGTTTGTGTTGTGAAACTTACCAGACGTTTCTTTTCCTTATGAAAACCCGTTGGTCTTGAAGTGCTAAAGCTTCATGGTTTGTATTGTGTGCGTCTCAATTAGCTCGCTCCCTAGTTGTTTAAACACTGTTTGATATAATGATATCCACTAGCCACAGTACTAGCCTGCGAGCAAGCTCTCCATTTAAGGGATATCGTGAAAAGCAGACGCGAAATCGGGGTGGCGGGGGAGAGAAATATGTGAGCTTGCTCGCAGGTTAGATATCCACTAGTGTCTGATGGTTAATTTCAAGTGGTTTTGTAATTTACACAAAAACAGCAAGCTGACTCAATAATTACGTGTAAAGTACATACTTAATAGACCATTCCTTTCTTGTTTCAGGTCTCTCCCTCGGTATTGACCGTTGAAGAGTGCTCCGATAAGGAATATACTTTCAGTATAACACCTACCATACCTGTAGGGACGATGCCACATACCGACCACTTGAAAATCGGTTTCTTTCTTCCACCGAAAATTCTGCTACAAAACACCAACTGCAATGTGGAGATAAGAAATACGCAAACAGTAACCGTGCGCGTTATTGCGCAATGTACCAACAGCATAAAAGACGCTACCAAAATTGATAAAGTTATCATTCCAGAGATCAGGAACACTCACAGTGGGTTCTGGAATAGGGATATGCATTTGCGTGCTGTTTGGGTAATCCGGTTTTTGTAATTTTAATCTTAAAAAGGAAATGTGCTGTTATTTTAGTTATTCATTCAGCATTCTTGACCTGAACAACAACAATGTTTTCAGAGATCACAGGTAGCCCAAGCTTGAAATACGAGCATCGGCGAGCATCAGCATTGTTGCGTAACATTAAAAATATAAGGATTTGTATGGGGAAAAAACCTATCGAAATTGAAATCCTTCTATTTTCGTAGGTTACAGAAAAGATAGGATTTTTCCCCATACAAATCCTTATATTTCGAATGTTGCGCAACAATGTCGATGCTCGCCGATGCTCATATTTCGAGCCGGCTTGGGCTACCTGTGAAGAGATTGAGTGGTTCATATTATGTAGTTTAAGTTCTTTAGCCGTTGATTTTTGAAAGGAGGAAAACAAAACAAAGAGCAATATTTGGCCCAAGATCAAACCCTAAGTGTCAAAACCAATGCTCACCATCTCTCTGCGTTTGACACACAGGGGCCAGAAGCCAACACCCTACTCCAATCGGCCCGTTCCTAAATTACTGCTGGGTGCTAAGCTTGTTGTTAAATCCCTCCATTTTCAGCGGCTGGCCTGACTTGAGGGCAGGTGATGCCCACCTCCAAACGAAAGCATATCTATAACAGATCAAAGAGGCCAAAAGCCTAAGTCCATGTCGTCATAGCGAATTTCACTCTCAAGTCAAAGGTAGCAAAAAAAAAAGTAGCAATTTGCAAGTACTAACTAGTGAGTCGCAAGTTTATTCGTAACTTGTAACTCTTATAATTGACTCGCAAGTAGCTTACTTGACGACAAAAAATGGATTTGCACACATTTGCCCCTTGCAAATATGTCGGAAATTTGTAAAAACGGAGGAGTTAATATGGCGCAAAAGATGGTAAATGCCACAGTTTGCATACCAAAAAACAGAGGGTGTAAAAAACTAGGAAAATGTGGCATTTGCCATCTAATTTAATCCTCAGTTTTTACAAATTTCCAACATATTTGCGTGGGGAAAATTTGTGCAAATCCATTTTTTCGTCCTGTGATCGATAGCCAAACTGACGGGAAAACTGTGTGTCCGTTTAAAGTGCCGAAGTATAGTCAACAATGTATTCGCTTTTTCTCCTGCTCCCTTTTCTATCCACATGTCAGTGTATTTAAAATTATCAAGATCGCCTTTATATTTATATCTCTGTTTAACATCCGGCAGTTGTCTATTAAAGCAGCAAATGAAATCCATTATTGCGGAACCTACACGGATCCTCACTACCAGCCACTACCTGTTCAATCATCAAGGTACTTGTTATTGTCTCGTGATATGTCGACCATACGAAAATGAGTATTCTGTGTCGCTAAGAACGTACTGGTCGTATTTGTTTTGCCCATGTTGTACTCGCTATATCCATTTATCGATAGCCATCATCCATCCATCCATCCATCCATCTACCCAACCCACCCCGGCATCGATCGAAGGCTTCCATGAATTATACATATTTTGAGTTTTTGATGGTTTCACTTTATTCAACTTAAAATATAATTTCTATTAAACGTTGTTATTCTAATACATTTCGTTGCATTTGGTTTTAGCGGTAGCTGGGATTCAAGATCCTCATTTACCTTCATGGGGCGTGGAGACTTTGCTTTGTACAAAAACACTGAGCGTAACTTTGAGGTAACGTGTTTCGTTTTATTGGTAGCAGTCCGAGAAAGAAATTGCGTGTTTATTTCGGGGCTTATACTTGGCTGCGAGACTTGGGGAATAAAACAAAAGAAATCGATCTTGAGGCTCAGTAATGAATAACAAGCTTCTTTTGTTTTATTTCCCCAAGCCTCGAAGCCAAGTATGAATTTTAATCTAAATGGGTCTATTACGTTTATCACTGCTTTCTTTGATGACGATTGTTGTTGAACTATCAATTCACGAGTAAAAATCGTTTGCACTGTTGTATCCAACTTTTGCACTAGCTCTCTAATTTCTTCAGCTTCTGGCTTCACGTACGTGTGTTGTAAGTTATCTGGGCCCCGAAACCTTGTTTTCTCTCTCTTGATCTGTCATTGTTGTTGACCTAAAATTGAAACCCAAAGTTCGAGATGCCGTATTAAAATGGTATCGAGCAAGACTTGAGATTGATCTGTTGACTTTTAGCCATTTCATTTTTAGATCGATTCTGTCGCTCTCTTTGCTAATTCATATCTAACAAACAAGGATCTGTGGCGAGCAAAGAAATCTCTGCAACGTAAGATCCTCAAGCATTTTGCCTGAAAACCGATTCTAATAGGATGATGTAACCACCCAATATCACTTTGCTTGTTTGCTGAAAAATTACTCCGGCCATACTACTTGCACCGCTGGGCCAAGCCCTGGGAGGACAATAGCGAACGGGAGTTGAGGAACGTTTCACCATAACTGAAGTTTATTTTAGATTCAGAGTCAAGAAAACAGCCCTCTCTATTAATTATACCAAGAGAGAATCATCTATTCTCTCTTGAAGTACCCGTTATAAATGTCCCTTTGCAATTATTGCTATTCCTTTTGTTTGTTTGAGGTGAAAATTTATTAGCAAGACATGCTTTTTCCTTTTGGGTATATTATGGCACATGAAATGCTTTGATTGGCTGACACTGGTAATCCCGAATGTAATATGGAAAGGTTTTGATCGGCTTCTTGTTTTTGCCCTCTACCTTTTGTAAACAATTCCTTTACAAATAGTTTGAATGACTCTCAGAGCGAAGAAGAGAACAACAAATCTATGAACGAATGCAGAAATCAAACCGAAGAAGATAACGATGAATAGCTACAGGATTTAGTTCACAAACTTGCTACCAATGCAAAACATCTTAAAATAGCACACTTAAACGGCCGTGGCCCAAAGAAAAAGAGTGGACGAATTACAAATCCTTCTAAAGCTATGCCGTTTCTACGTGTTCCGAGTAACAGAAACGCCCCTTTATAATCTCATCCGAAGAGACAGACCAGACAAACAAAGCGGGGGCTGTGTGATATATTATTGCAAGTCGCTGAAAGTAATCCACCGACCGGACTTGGAAGATGAACAAGTGTAGGGGATATGGGTGTAAGTAAAGGCTGACCCAAGAGACTTCCTGATAGGAACTATATTAAAAAATACCGGCCCTCAAACCAAAACAGTGATTTCTTCACAGCTTTTCCATAATTGCTCAAAATATCTGGATAAAAGTCTCAAATACAATACTTCTTGGAGATTTGAAAACCAATCCACTACAGGACAAACGTGGCGACACATCGTACGAAGGAAAAAAGATGAAGGGATACTCAAACAGTTTGATATGAAGAACGTGGTAGAACGACCAACATTTAGAATTACCAACCATTCCAAAACATTGATTGACCTCATTTTCACGAACAGAAAAGGGCTGGTCAAACACTAGGGCACATGTCCCCTGGGTATCTCAGACCACGACATGTATATGATTTATGCAACCGTATCAGCCAGTATCCCAAGAGGCTTGCCTAAAATAATTACCATCAGGAACTTCAACAAATTTACGACAGGAACTTTCAAAGTGACTTTGCCCGTGTGCGTTTTCAAGTATGCGAAGTTTTTGATTATCCCAGTGATGTTTACTACGCATGGAACCTGCTCTTCACAGAATTATGGAACGAACACGCACCACTTAAGCAAATGAAAGTACGCAGTAACAGCCTGCCTTGGACAACAAAGAAAATCAGAATAACCATGATTCAAAGATATAAGACTCTGAAAAGGGCGCGTCAGCTGAATGATCCACTGTATGGGATGATTATAGAAGACTTAGAAATAAAGTATCAACAATGACGAAAATGCCTAAAGCCGATCACTACTCCAATTTATTTGATAAAGTAAAAACCGCTGCTGCTTACTTCTTACACGTTCCAAACTTAAGCTTGATATTCTAAAGTAGTGATTTTCTGGCAAAATATAGCTGTTTCAATGAAGTTCGTACCAAACGCCTTCGTAAAGGAATGTATTATGGAAACATTATTTAGAAATGCCCAACATTTTACCACTTTTTTGGTTTCTCTGGTAAAATTTAGTACTCACGCCATAATTCCTTCCAAAAGTGATTCGTTTTTTGTTTTATCTGGTAAAATTTTGTATTCAGGAGCATAATTTCTTCTATGGCATCGGTCGCCCTTGGGAAAAGTTTTCATCTTTGCCGGCTAAAAAACCACGAAAATTCGAAACCGCAACCGGAAAAGAAAACTTTTAGTCAAATCGAGGAGGGTCGCACTAGTAGTTACTAGTGGGAGTTAATTGTCGTTGTTTTGACACATTGAGAACTAAAGTAGGCCAGAAACCAGAGAACATTATCTCTTCGTAGTCTGATCATTTGGCGTAGGATCGTTTTCCTCCTTTCCCTGTTTCAGGAGGATGGGAGAAATAAGGAAATAAAGTGCTTGGCTGCAAAGACTGCATTTAGCTCGGAGAATAATGTGCACGATGACGTAAGAGTTTAGGAGCGCGCTAGGCCTTCTGGGAGAGATCCGAAAAACGTGTTGCGTTCTTGTAGCCATCTTGACGATCTTTGAACCTTTAGTGAATTGAATCTGTGGAATCCTGTGTAATCCTTTAGAAGTTGGACCCTTCAGAGTGTTGTAACCTTTAGGAATCGAGCCTGACAATCCTTGGAATAAAATACAGTTCATATTCGTATACATCGTCCATCGTTAGCCGGATAAAAGCGGATGCTACGTACCAGTTGTGAGTGAAGTTGTGTTGTGTTATGGCCGAAGAACTCGCCAGAAAGCGACGGCAGCGTGCAGGGCACAGGTCAAGTGCGAAACGTATTATTTCATCCGTTATTGATGTCCTTGGAGGAGGAGACATTTCTCAAGTGCGGGAACACGAAATCAAGCTGAAACAACAAAGGGACAGCCTACAGCAGAAACTCAATACTCTTCGGCAACTTGATGCAGAAATTCTGGACCTTGTGGCCGAAGAAGAAATCGAAGGTGAAATTGAACGAGCAGATTTGCTGGAGGAAAATGTTCAGTTGGCTATTGCTAACATAGAAAACGCCTTGTCGCCGAAGGTCTTGAGTTCAAATGTAAATACCGAAGCGAACGTGTCGGAAAGCACGTCAGCAAATGAAGTTCAAATCGGGAGTAATTCTTCGCCTCCTTCAGCTTCAACGTCGAATTCCTCTTCATCTGTGCGGAGAAATACTCAAGTTAAATTGCCAAAGCTGGAGTTAAAGAAGTTCGACGGCGATCACAGTAAGTGGATTTCTTTCTGGGATAGTTTTGAAGCCTCAGTTCACAAAAATGAGAGTTTAACTGCCATTGACAAATTTAACTACCTAAACTCGTTGCTCGAACGGTCAGCGGCAGAGGCCATTTCCGGGTTAAGTCTTGGGGCATCGAACTATGAGGAAGCAGTAGACATTTTGAAAGCTAGATTTGGCAACAAGCAGCAAATAATTAATCGTCACATGGAAATTTTGTTGAATCTTGAATCTGTCACATCTCACTATCATGTAAGAAGCTTACGTCAGCTGCACGACACTGTTGAATCTAATGTGAGAAGCTTAAAGTCATTAGGAGTTTCACGTGAATCGTATGGGGGTTTGCTATCATCCATCTTAATGAATAAGCTACCTCAAGAATTTCGTCTTGTTATTACAAGAGAAATTGGAGATGATGATTGGCAGTTGGATCAATTGCTCAATATTTTTAAAAGAGAACTTGAGGTAAGAGAAAGGGCAGGAGGGTCTACAGTGAACAAAGGACAAACCTCTCCACCAAAACCGAAACGAAGGGAAGAAGGAACTACACATGCCTTGTTAACTGGTGGTGATGGTAACTGTCCCACCTGCACCTACTGTAAGGGAAAACACCCATCAAGGGATTGCCAAACAGTACCTGATGTACTAGCTCGTAAGGAGCTTTTGAAGAAGTACGGGAGATGTTTTGTTTGCCTGCGAAAAGATCACATTTGTCGTAACTGCTCAGCCAAATTCAAGTGTCATAACTGCGAGGGCAGACACCATGTTAGTATTTGCCCAGCCAACCTGAGTCCTTTACAGCCAACGAAACGTGAAACACCAGTTCCCACACCAGGACCACAACAGCAATGCTTAACAGCCCAAACTGCCAGAAATAGTGTCGTTTTTCATACTGATTCCACTACACCTGTGTTCCTTCAAACTGCCCAAGCAGTGGTGTACAATCCTCAACAGCCAGAGGTTAAGGTCAGGGCAAGAATAATCTTGGACAGTGGAAGTCAGCGCACCTATCTTACAAACAACCTGAAGAACATTCTTCAACTACCTACACTAGAGAAGAAGCAAGTCTCAATAAAAACCTTTGGAAGTACCGTTGAAAGATTAGAGTTGGTAGAAGTTGTGGCCCTAGGAGTAGAGCTAAACGGAGAACCAGATCTTTCACTGTCAGCTTTTACATTGCCTCTAATTTGTCAACCATTACAAGGTCAACCTGTGGAACTAGCAGTGAAAAATAACCCCTGCCTTTCGGGACTCAAACTTGCTGACTTTTGTACCGAAGGAGAGCCTCTTGGTGTTGACATTCTAGTTGGTTCAGATTATTATTGGAAGTTGGTGACTGGCCACACCATCAAAGGGGCCCAAGGTCCTACAGCTGTTCACACCAAACTGGGATGAGTACTTTCAGGACCCGTTTGCTTAGGGAGTGTAGAAAATCAACAGAGAAGTAATCTTGTGACAACCCATGTCTTAAAATGTGCTACTGATCAGGTGTCCTATGAAGGTCTTCAGGGGGAGTTGAAGAAGTTCTGGGACTTAGAGTCTCTCGGTGTGAAGCCGCCAAGTGTCTATGAAGAGTTTGTTGAGAAGTTGTTGTACAAGGGAGACCACTATGAGGTCAGTCTCCCGTGGAAGGCAACACATCCACCACTCCCTGAAAATTATAAGTTGAGTCTTCGAAGATTGCAAGGTTTGCTGAGTCGACTCCGTGAGAAGCCAGACATCCTGAAGGAGTATGACAGTGTTATAAAGGATCAAATAGAAAGAGGAATTGTGGAAGTTGTGAATGAAGAAACCAAGCCTGATGTCGTCCATTACATCCCTCATCACGCTGTTATCAGACGAGACAAGTCAACTACAAGGTTAAGAATTGTATATGACGCCTCAGCCAAGTCAGATGGAGCTTCATTAAATGATTGTCTTCATGCCGGTCCTGCGCTTACACAAAGTATCTTTGACATTATGTTGAGGTTCCGAAATCACAGAGTAGCTTTGGTGGGAGACATTGAGAAGGCGTTCTTAATGGTCCATATGAATGAAACTGACAAGGATGTACTCCGTTTCCTGTGGGTCGATGACATCGATAAGGCTGAACCTAAAGTTATTACACTGAGGTTTACACGTGTTGTGTTTGGACTCTCTTCAAGCCCATTCTTACTGAACGCCACAATTAAACATCATATAGAGCAGTATGAACAATGTGACAATGATTTTACCAGGAAGTTTCTTGAAAGTATCTATGTTGATGACCTGACATCGGGGGACAGTGACGTGGACAGCACCTTTGAGCTCTATGTGAAATCGAAATCGAGGCTCAGGGAAGCAGGTTTCAATTTGCGGAAGTTTATCACAAATTCAGGAGAACTGCGAGCGAGAATTGAGGACAATGAGAGATTGGTCTCAGGAGAAACAGCTTCTGGAGATGGAGGGAATGTTGACAAGCAGGTTGTTGAAACACCAGTAGTAGACACAAACGTCGTGGAAGAAGAAGATATGACCTATTCAAGAAGTGTTCTAGGAAGTGCAGTTGAAGATGTTAGCGTTCAAAGAATTTTAGGGACTCTGTGGAACTATCACAATGACAACCTCGTCATTTACTTTTACAAACACTGCCTCTTTAGCAAAGAGAGTAGAACCTTCAAAGAGAAACGTGATTAGCACAGCCTCAAAAATGTATGATCCACTCGGTCTGATTTCTCCGATCACAGTCCAGTTTAAAATCCTGTTTCAAGAGTTGTGCAAGGACAAGAGAGACTGGGACGAACCACTGGAAGGTTCTTGCAAGTCAATCTGGCAGAGATTGGTGACACAACTGCAGGGTGTTAAACCTCTTACTCTTCCGAGATGTTATTATGCTGGCGCGGAAGGGGAAGTGATTGCGAGTGAACTGCATGGGTTCTGTGATGCATCAGCTAAGGCATACGGTGCGGTGGTCTTTCTGCGTATTGTGACGACGTGTGCAAGTTATGTCAGATTTGTATCTTCAAAAACTCGAGTAGCACCTCTCTCGGAGCAGACCATACCGCGTCTAGAACTGTTATCCGCGGTAGTCCTGTCCAGACTGATCCATAGCGTAAAGGAAGCACTTAGTTCTGAGATGAAGATTGACAAATTGTTTTGTTGGACAGATTCCAAGATAGCCTGGTATTGGATTGTTCAGAGCCAGAAGGAGTGAAAACCATTTGTTCAGCACCGTGTTGACGAGATAAGAAAGCTTGTACCTGAAGAATGCTGGAATCATTGTCCAGGGGCTGACAACCCAGCCGACTTACTCTCTAGAGGTATGGACTGTCGTGAGTTGGAGAACAGTGTGCTATGGTGGAATGGTCCCAAGTGGCTGACTAGTTTCGAAGACCTGGAGAATCGGAAGGAGATTGCGGAAGAGCCAGTCCCTGAAGCCTCCCTTGTAGAAATGAGGGTGAAGGATCGAAAGACAGTAACGACAGCTCTTGCAATGAACAGTGAACCTACTATGCTGTGTAATATCATTCAAAGTGAAGCCTTCAGTAGTCTTGGACGTCTCCTGCGAGTTACAGCCTTAGTTCTGAAGTTTATTAAGCTATTAAAGGCACAGCGACAGGGAGATGTGAATCAGAAGCCGGAGATACGTGTGACCGGTGCAGACATAGAAGAAGCCGAACTTCTATGGATCAAGGAAGTACAACGAGAGATGAAGAGTAAGGAGAAGTTTAAGATGAGGTCGCACCAGCTAGGGTTGTTTGAGGACGATAAGGGAGTTATTCGATGTCAAGGTAGACTCGGGAACAGCGAGCTTACAGATTCTGCGAAGTATCCAATCTTGCTTGACGCTAGCCACCACTTAACTACACTTGTAGTCTGGAGATGTCACGAAAGAGTCATGCATGGAGGAGTTAAGGAAACACTCACCGAGTTGAGATCGAACTTTTGGATTGTTCGAGGCCGATACTTTATCAGAAGTTTGTTGTTTAGATGCACAGTTTGTAAGAAGTTTGAAGGGAAACCGTATAAGGTTCCACAAGCTCCACTCCTGCCTAACTACAGAGTGAAAGAGGCGCCTGCATTCTCGTACATCGGTTTGGATTATGTTGGACCTCTTTTTGTGAAGTCTACCAGTGACGAAGAATGTAAGGTCTGGATTTGTTTGTTTACTTGTTGTTCTACGAGGGCGGTCCACTTCGAGGTTGTGCCCAATATGACTTCAGAGGCATTTCTGAGGTGCTTCAGAAGATTTGTAGCTCGTCGTTCAAGGCCTTCTTTAGTGGTATCAGACAATGCCAAGACCTTCAAGAGTGCTTCTAAGGAGCTTGAGAAGATTACAAATGATCCCAGTGTTGCTAAGTACTTTGCCCAAGGGAAGATCGAATGGTCCTACAACTTAGAGAAAGCCCCATGATGGGGAGGCTTTTACGAACGACTTGTCAAGTCACTGAAGAGATGTCTTAAGAAGACAATCGGCCGAGCCAAGCTTTCCTATGATGAACTTGTAACTGTTGTTACAGAAGCTGAAATGATCTTAAATTGCCGACCCATTTCATATGTCTCTTCTGAGGACCTGGAAGAACCCCTCACACCGTCCCACCTCATTGTTGGTCGAAGACTCGGCGCCCTTCCTGAAATAGACAGTCCTGCAGATGCAGACTTCAGAATTTCGCCGGGCGACCTGAGCAGAAGAGCAAGACACCTTGATATGATTCTGACTCATTTTTGGAAGCGTTGGAGAGCAGAATACCTTCTTGAATTACGAAATGCCCATAACCAATTGAAGAAGACGGCGGGATCAAGGGTAGTGTGTGTCGGAGATCTGGTATTGGTTCATGACGAAACCCACCCAAGATCTTATTGGAAGATGGGCAAGGTGGAACAGCTTCTGATGAGCAAGGATGGGCAGAGTAGAGGTGCTGAGGTCAGAGTCCAAGGGAGAGGATCAAGTGGAGGTGGACTCTTAAGGAGACCGCTACAATTGTTGTACCCACTGGAAGTAAGCTGTTCTACGAATGAAGCAGCTCCTCAGGAACAAGTACTTGAATCACCGGAACAGCCGACGCAAGGTCGAGCGAGAGGAAATCGAGAGCGGCGAAGAGCTGCAGTCGAGGGAGAGCGAAGAAGAAGACAGTGGATTGCTGAATTACAAGACGAACATTAAGTTTGTTTATGTATTCTGAACATTGAACAGTTTTTTTTGAGAGAGACTATATTCACTGAGTTATATCATTATTATTTTTTATTTCTTTTCGACATTTGATTCTAGGTAAAGAAGGTGGACCATTCTTCATGGTCCACGGGGGGGGGAGTGTGCGCGATGACGTAAGAGTTTAGGAGCGCACTAGGCCTTCTGGGAGAGATCCGAAAAACGTGTTGCGTTCTTGTAGCCATCTTGACGATCTTTGAACCTTTAGTGAATTGAATCTGTGGAATCCTGTGTAATCCTTTAGAAGTTGGACCCTTCAGAGTGTTGTAACCTTTAGGAATCGAGCCTGACAATCCTTGGAATAAAATACAGTTCATATTCGCCTACAAATAACAAACCTGTGACGGTACTTGCCTTGGTAGAGAGTTCCCGTAAAAAGGTTAAAATAGCAAAGGATTACAAGCTTATGAATTGCTCGGTCGTAGAGAGTTTTCGCAAAAACGTTAAAATGGCGAAAAGTAGTGGTAGCCTAGTCCGTCCACAACGAAAGCGAGAGGGTCAGAAAATTTCTACGATTGTTTCAACTTGATCGTGTTTCAAATTGGTCACGTTTCGCTGACAAGTGCTGACACTTACCGCCGTGATTCCTATTGTTTAGCTCGAGTTTTCCAAAATCTGCCTGCCCCACCCAAGCAATACGGCGTCTTTGATGTTTTTTGCGATTTTCAAAGTTTTTTCCAACTTGAAAACTTGGGGTCGCACTTGGCAATGTGCCACGATGACAGATTTTTACCGCTGGGTAAACAAATTCTTCCAGAAATTTGCCAAGTGCGACCCATGCCTATATGTGATTCGTTTTTTGTTTCATCAGGTAAAATTTAGTACACAGGGCATAATTCTTTCCAAAAATTATTAATATAGTATGTTTTCTGCAGATAAGCGGAAAATTAATGCATGGAAATGAAGAAATTGTTCTTTCTGGAAAGGAACATGTCATCAGTGCACCTTTACACACATCCACTAAAAGGTACATGGAAATTTCCAGGTACCTTTACGCAGATAACAAGGAAAGGAACACGAAAATTTCCATGTACCTTGACGCGCCATATAACATGGAAAGGAACGTAGACATTTTCATGTACCTTTACGCAGATAACATGGAAAGTAACAAGGAAATTTCCATGTACCCTTACGCAGATAAAATGGAAAGAGGAACATGGAAATTTCCATCAACCTTCTCAGTCAATGTGCAAGCGAGAACCCCGTGAGATACATAGAAAAGACGCCAGAAAATAATAAAAAATGTTTTTCTTTACGTTTTGAAAACTTCTACATAGCCTTATGGAATTTTTAGAAACCAAAAGTCTGTATATTTCCAATTATTTGTCCATTTGGTTAGCCTTGTCCATCAAGGTCTCCGCTTCCTGCTGCGCCACAAGTAATATCACCCATCATGTGGTTACGCAAAATTTACTTGAAAACAGGCAATAGGCTTATAGGAAGGGAAAGTCAATAGAACTGCTTTTAATGTAGAAAGAAAGCGTTTTGTGGGAATACTGTTTGTCGGTTTCAGTAAAGCTCTCGACACAGTGTCGCACAATATATTACTACAATAGCTCAACGACCTTGGAATCAGAGGAGACATCTGGCTGTGGTTAAAGAACTACCTTACAGAACGAAGAACATTCGCCAGAATCAACGAATGCGACTCTGATACACACATTATAACTCACGGAGTGCCGCAAGGGTCGGTCCTCGGACCCACGCTATTCTCGCTCTTCACAAAGGACCTCAAAAAATCACTACGCTCTGCAAAAACTTATCTGTATGCAGACGACAAAAAAATATACTGTATCGCAGAAACGATGGATTTGCTAACAAACACACTAAACAATGTTCTAGCTGAACTCCAGGAATGGTGCGACAGAAAATTGATGATACCATACCCAGAAAAATGTAAAGCAATGATCATGCAGAGGAAATCAACACTAGGGACTTTAATATAGTTTTACTATGGACTACGACTACGATTAAACATGCTACTGCGCATGATCAGAACCACAGGACTGTTCATTTTTTCCCACGTAGTCCGGCGGCTACGGTGAGTTTTTGAGCTGTTTTGCGTAGTCTACGGAGAACTACGGAGAACATTTTGCTCGTATTTTGGCGTCTCGGTAATACTAGAGTCTCATCTTCTCGTAAAAAGAAGTTTTCAATTCACCTACTTTAAGCGAGAGGGAAGCGAAATACGTAAGTGGTGTCTAATTTCTGCTCAGATTTACCGACGCTTTTAATATACTCGAACCACTACATTTTTATCTAAAACTATCCTTATATTTTACTACGCTTAGCCGTTTATACGCAGAATTCAGATTGACGGTCGAGAACTGAAATCATACAGGTAATTTACTTTCTTTTCGCTCTTGAAAGGTTTCAATGTTTGTTCGAAATGATTAGTGTGTCTCTCTACTTATGTAACCTTTGTTTAAGAGAGTTTTTATATCGCATTTGTTAAATGAAAATGAGATAAACATCTTTGAGATAATCGAAACTTGGCAGTTCGATACTTCAAACTACATCAGTAATCGAAGAAGTTCATCTTCTAAATCTAATAAATGAACTATTTAACTATTTCTATTTATGTCTTTAATAATTGACATAAGTATTCATGGGCGAAAAAAGGAAAACTGTGTAACCCGACTTTGTTCACCAGTTTCACCCATCGTAATGGCTTCCCCAAGAATGGAAGAATTTGTTCATTATTCTAAAGATAAGATCACATAAAAAATGCTTTCATTTTTGTGAACTGAACATTAAAACAAGAAAATCTTTACGTGTTGTTTCCCTCTCCGCTTCGTCTCTAGTAGGCTTCTCTCTTTACTGCAACCTTAACGTTCTATATTTGCACCACTTAACCCAGAGCTACAAACAAAGGACAACGCTGGTCCAGCCGTAGTTTGTAGTCCCTAGTCACCGTATCTTAAAGTCCCTATTTAGCAGAGTTTGTATTTAAATGTATAAAAGATTACATCGTCATTGAAAGATTTGTTTTTACAGAGGAATTCAGGCCGTAGAAGAAATGAGAACATCATCCTTCCAAGACCAGAAACGAAGTTTATCAGAAACTCCATAAGCTATAGTGGAGCAATCGTCTAGAACAGTTCAACGAACAAGGAAACAAGGGCTAAAACCTTGAAAGATTTTAAACGCTGTGTCTTGCAAAATTCACACGGATGTTGATAAAATGAATTTCCAACCTACTTTAGCTACAACCAATAACAGAGATATCGGTTACAAATATTTTTAACAGTTTTAATTTACAATTGTACATTTGCACAACCTATTTTAGTTACAACTAAACACAGAGATATCGGTTACAAACATGTTAAACAGTTTTTAATTTTTAATTGAGCTAAACGACTACTTTGCCGATTTGTGTGCTGATGACGCATATACGAAACCTGTACCAGCTATTGTGGATAAGAGCTTAGAAGCCCCTCAGATATCAGAAAGACACGTGTGGAATTGCTTACAACATCTGAAGAAAACCGCTATGGGACCAGACCTCATTCCCTTTTGGATTTGAAGGGATCACGCTGAGATCTTCACAAGTGTCATTCATAAGATCTGGAATGTTTCCCTGAAAACTAGCTAGTGGCCCTCCTCGTGGAAAAGGGCCCACGTGACGCCCCTTCCTAAGATCGACATCCCTAAGGCAAGCAGGACTTCAGAGGAATTAAGATCACGCCTGTAATTGCACGCGCGTTCGAGAAATCTGTGTATAACACCCATGCACGAGATATTGTCGAACAGCATCTGAGTTCATCACAGTTTGCTTATACGACAGGGGGGAGTTGCACTGATGCGCTCTTGAGCATGCAGCACACCATCTACAGCTATTTAGACGAGCAAGACTGCAAAGCCGTCCGAGTATTTGCAACGGATTTTAGTAAAGCATTTGACTGTGTCAATCATGAACTCCTGTCATCTAAGCTTAGGCAGTTGCCATTGAATCCCCTTATTGTGAACTGGTTTTTAAGCTTTCTCGAGAAACGCCAGTAGCGAGTAGTTTATAACGGTTTTGAGGGACAGTGGCGTGAGGTAACTAGGGGTACGACACAAGGTAGTGTCAGTGGGCCATATCTTTTTATCGTGTTTATTAAGTAATGGTCCAGCTAAGAAGCAGGCAGAAAAACAATAGCCCGCGGCAATAGCGTCAGTTATTTTTCAGGCGCTAGTTTCTCTAATCAAATTAAATCTGAATGCTCTGATTGGTCAATACAGCGAAAAGTGCGAAATTTGAATTTCAGAGTTGAATTAAGATAGCTTAAGACTCATTGGAACAACTTTTTATTTCATCTATTGCTTTAATTGTTATGTTAAAAAATATAATTTATGTAAAATTTAAAAGATTTCTATGTGCCAAACCCAAGGAAGTTAAACTGATATGAAATTACATGAAGATAAGCACAGTGTTACATCAATCAGCGACATTGGAACAACATTTACGTCGGCTCTCACAAAAGAAATGTCAAAACCACGATCGTAAACAGCAGCAATTCACTCTCACGTGGCGAATCTGGCGAACGCGCCAATGTCGCGCGTTCATATTCGGCCATCATACAGAACAACAACAAGTACACAAAATCAAATCTAAATGTTATCTAAATGTTCTGCTTTTGAAAAAAAAGATGATGTTGCCCAGATAGAAAAAAATTCCTGCATGTTCGGAGAAGTGGGTTTCAGAAAAAGCTCTCCTACAGATTATCTGTTTAGAAGGTTTTGATATTACCCTATAAAAATCCTTCTTACAATCTCTCTCGTCCTTGGAAAAAATAAAGGCAAGCTACAGTTAGGCTCGCTAAATCTTCCGTAGCAAGAGAAACTCAAACACCAGTGACAGCTATTTATGATACCTAAGCGGCTTCCGTCTCGGTATTCGCCGTCTCAGAACTCAAAGGTACAAAATGCAAGCGTGTCACAAATTTCAATTCGCTCACTTTAACTTAAGGTCCACGGCGAACTTCCATTTCGCTTGATGAAGCAGTTTAGAGAGAGAAAAAATCGAATGAGAGATGGGTAAAGATACACGGAATATGGAAGTTTCGAAAAGGGCAAACACATGAATAGCACATAATGCGCGCGGAGGTGCGAAAATCTATTGAATTCAGCTTAACTCAAGCTCCAGTGTTCTACATCTCTTCGAGAAATAAATTCATCCTTGTAAAAACAACAAATCTTTCGCTTTCTCCTTTTATGCCCAACTGTACTCCAATTTCTAGCGCCACAATTATTCCGATCTCCTCCTGATCCGGCCTGACAACGAAAACAACTACGCCGGGCCCAAATTTCGACATAGCGACTCGGCATGTCGAGGGCCGCAGCAAACCATGTTTAAGAGCATTTTGACGATCACTCCGATGATAAAATACAGTAAATTTGAGATAAATATTCAATAAAGAAAAAATGCAGATTTTTAACGAAGAAATTGACGAGATTTCTTCGGGTAAAAGACAAATTTCCTAACATCTCAAGTGTAACACTAAGATGGGGTCACAAAAAGGTCGCGCGTGTGTTGCACGTTTTCCGCTCTAACTTTTGATTGGCGCATAGAACAATGCTGAAACTTGGCCGTGAGGTATAAGACAGGAGAATGGGGAAAATAAAGCTAAAAAAAGTTGTTTTTGTCACGTTTCTGACTGTTTTTTTGGCGATTTTTGGATTCCGGCCAATCAGAACGCTTGATTTAATTGAAATTAATGATTAAAAGTTAGCACCTTTTCATCACTTTTGCCGTTCGCCTGCCTACCTCTTACACGGACCATTACTTAATGAATTAGAAATCAATCTAGAAGGTCGCCCAGCCTTGTTTAAATATGCTGATGATTCTACAATTATCGTCCCTTTTTGGGGAAACGGCCAGCGTCGCACTGACTTGGTGGATCAGTTTCTTAGCTGGTCCAGCCGCAATCGCATGACATGCAATCCAACAAAATGCAAGGAGATTATTTTCCCTAAGAAAGGTTTCAGTCAGGACATCGCGCCGGTTAGTAATATACCGCAGTGCGTAGAGTTATCCATATTAGGTGTTACTTTCCAACAAAATTGTAAATACAGTAGTCACGTGCGCGTAAAGGTAATAAGGGCGAACAAGTCATTATTCGTATTAGGATCTTTACGTAAGGAAGGAATGTCCCAGGAGGAAGTAGATCACCTTTTTAACGCAATAGTTTTACCAAATTTTTCTTACACTCTGCCGGTTTATTGTGCCTCAGATTCCGACCTTTCTGTAATACAGAATTTTTTAGACCGTGTATGAAAAGAAAGTTTATGTCCAAGAATGTAAATATCAGGGACTTGCTAGAGAAGGCGGACAAGACACTCTACAAAAAAAGATCGAATGATCCCGAATGTCCGTTCTTCCAGTTTTTACCTAAGGAAAACAACACGAGGCACCATCTTAGAAATACATCAGTCTCTGTCCCTAGAAGCTACACTGACAGGTTTAAGAACGTTTTTAGTAACAGAATAATTTTTAGATATGATATGTAAATATTTTTTTGAGTTTATATTGTAACTTAGGATATGTAATTTTATCTTAAGAAATAAAGATTATTATTATTATTATTATTATTATTATTATTATTATTATTATTATTATCTGTACATGTGCTTCCAGTACTCCTTATTTTTTAGCCTGCAAAGCAGGCGTATGTTGGAGCGCGATCCATGATTTGTTTTCGGGAATGACGTTGTTTCACCATCTTGGACGTTAATACTACCAGAGAGTTGGGACGAGTCAAAAACTGATTTTAAGGGAGAGGTTGATGGGTTTAAAATAGAGGAGGGGGAGAGGGAAGGGAGGGGAACACACCCTGTTGCATTTTGGGAGTTGTTGCGCAAAATTTGAAATCGGTCAAACATTTAGCTACGTGTAATTGGACGCAATTGCGTCCGTTTGCACGTAGTCTTAATGCCCTATTTGGCATTAAGGCTCAATGTGATCCATACCTCTAGGTACATACACGGCAGTGGGCATGCAGTGGCTCCAATACCTTGGTGACGTGCAATTGTGGAGTGGTGCTACGAGATCATAACGATGTCATAGAATTTAACTGCTGTAATGAACCCCTCTATTTCGACCAAGTGACACCCATTCGTGTGAAAGTGAAAAGCAAACGACGCCTATCACCTGGAATTTCAATAACGCAGACCCAAATCAGTTCTTATGTCGCGTATAAGGTAAGTTTGTTATTACAAAGTACCACACTCTCTTTGATTTGTGGAATAGAGCATATCTCTTTAACTTTCGCCGTCGGGTTTCTCGAACAGTCGCAAAGCGTTTTTAACAAATCAACGTTGGGAGAAAATTTCAAACTGTTATTGTCACGGTCGAGATCTATAGAAAAAGATGATTAGCTTGCACATTGATGGTAGAATATCACATTCCTTTAGTTGCGCCTGAGAAAGCTAAATCTTTTGAAAGTTAGCTAAGATTCCGAAGATATCGCTGTCACGAAAAACTTACTTACAAATAGATATAATTTTCATTCGGATTGATTGCCAAGTTTTCTATGCAAAAAACGAAATGTGTAATAACACTCCCTTTAGGCTGAAAATGTCCTAACATTCAATTTTGTTGTAATTTCCATAAGGGGACGCTCCCCTTATTAGTTACTTTTTCTTATCAAAGGACACCTTCTTGAGATCTTCGATACACCCCTGCTGTGTTAAGTAGAAATATGTTAAAACATCACTAGACCAGTATTATTTATGGCTTTGGTACTAATTATTGCTTAATTACTTTGTTATATTCTGATTATATATACATATACCAAATCATGTTTCGTTCATATTAAAACAGTCCCAGAAAGACCTAAAAGATTATTGTTGGTGAGACAGTTTGCCTACATCCTTCATTAACGAGAAACTTACATGTTACCCCTTCAGTAACCTTTTTCATGACTAATTGTTGTCTAAAACCTATAATCACACTCTTCTCTTGATTCTGGGTAATTTCTTTAATGAATAATCAGATCAGTTTTCGCAACCATAGTTACCGACTGTCATAAAAACTGATGTTGCATCAAAAAAATATGTACGTCTACTAAGAAGAAAATTATGTCACAGGTTCAAAGATGATTACTTAACTTGTTTTGAAATCGAATTGGCGCAAAACCTTTAGAATGTGGTTTTCGACCCGATTTCCAACTCTCTAAAGCCTGCGAATGAACACAAACCGTGCAGTAGAAAACAACGACAACAAAAAGGAAGTTGAGAAGGAAATCTTTGAAGGAAGTTAGCAATGTATTAACCACAGCATTTACGCACAACAGCGAGAGTGGAAAAAAAAAGAAAAGAAATGAGGCAGCACTTCAGCACTCCGCTCATTAGAAGCGTCTCGCCGCTGGTGAGTGAGAAGACGTCTGGTATCCAGGGTAATAAAGTTTGAAATTTTTAAAACCTACCCTTTAAGAAACAAAGAATTTTCCTAGTGCTGTTTTGCTTCTTCTGCCGAGAATTACCATATATTCTGCCGTTAATAATCCAGGTGCTGTTTCCTTCCGGAGTCAAAGTAACAGTTTATCGCAACAATTACGGGCTGAACATCGAACTGTATACCCCGCGAGCTAAGCAAAGAGCTACTGAGTCAGGACTGTGCCTGTATGACGACCATGTAGAACCAGATGTTAAGCAGTATGGGTACAGATTCAGGTAACTGCGGTGCCAAGGGTACGTGCGCGCTGAGTACCAGCTGTCACGTGACTGGCCGTACGCACATACACTGTGAGTACGTCCAAACAAATTCTGAGGGAGGGGTAAGAGTTCCAAGGCATTCAGCTTTACGACTATATTTACCCAAGAAATCGTTATTGTTGCGCGGCTACGAAGCTCCTTTCATTAACCAAAGCAATTTGTGTTAATTTTACCACATCAGGAGCACATCACCCAATTTCAAATTGTTTACGAAAGGGCGAGAATTGTTTCTTCCATTCCTCCTTAAAACCACCACCTATAGATAGACAGATTGATTCTGATCTTCTCGTAGTTTTAAACCAATACTAAGAAGAAAAATTATTGCCACAGAGCATTTGATTTTCTTTTTTCTTCTTAGTATTGGTTTAAAACTACGAGAAGATCAGAATCAATATAATTCTGTTACGGTTAATACGGAAAGTAATAATTCTTGCAGAATGTATTTCGAAGAGCACTCAATTCATTTGATTGAAGAGCATTGGCTAATATATAGATTTAACCAGGGCTCAAAGCAAAGCATCCGTTACTATACTTATGATAAACTAATAGCATGAACTCAAAGCAAATAAAAAAATAGAAATAAGCAGCCTTAGGCATCAGTTCACCTTTAGAGGGAGGGGCTAAATGATTAAGAAAAAATATCCCGCAAACAAACCTGAATTGAAAAACATGTGAAATTGTAAGTCTCTTTACAGTTAGTAGCAGCAATTTACAGGTTACGATTTCTAAGGTTAGTATTTGTCTTAAGGGGAAGACCTGAAAGGAAGCCCACTTCGGGACGTTTGTCTTCCCGTAAGCCCATTACATTTTTTTTCTTTTCTTCTTCTTCCTTTTTTAAACGGGCCCGGACGAACAGTTATGTGTAGCGTTAACATTTACACAGCCTCACAATATCTGATAGAAAGTTTTACCGTAAGGTGTACATTTTCTTTGAGGACAGACCTATAATAGGAAAGCAAGCGGTAACCTTTTTCGCTACTCATAGTTTCATCCAATCTGTAACCTACTCAAATTGTGCGGTTCGTGTTCATGTGTTGTGCAGTGCATTGCTGAGAAACGGCAGTAATTACACCATAAATTAAAAAGGTTAATAATACAACAACTTACAACTGTAAAAAAAAAAAAAAAAACAAATTAAGACAAACTCGTGCTCTAAAAGCCGACGAGTCTGTCGTTAGAATAGAGCAGAATTCTTTCATATTTGAGATAAGCTCACCTTTTCAGCGAGAATACAAGCGTCGTAAACAAACAACTGAGAACAAACTTCGCACTGCAGGATTATTGAATGGCCAGTAATAGGGGAATAAGAAAATGAATAGCAATTCAATGGAACATTTACAAAAACAACACTTTAAATTCAAGAATGGGGAGTAGCCCGTTTGAAGTGTTTCTAAAAATCTTACGATCTGTACAGTATGTGGTCCTTGGTCCGGAGGAAAAAGACGAAAATGAGTATTTCTTATCTTAGAAGAGGAGTAGTGAGCTGACATTTTTCCTGTGAGTTGTCGTAACATGTAACTAGCTTGTAACAAACCGACAGCTTCTGACCTTTGCCGAAAATCCTCGCCTACATCATAAAAAAAATGACCGCTCCGTTTGAAGGCCCCTAGTCCGGCCTTTGGTTCCTTGGCCCGGCCACTTTGGTCACTTTGTAAGCCGACATCAAAATTGCGCAAAAAGAAACGTTCCAAGCACCATCTGATCTAAATTCCCGAATATTTTCTGTGAAAGGAACCCAGGGGTCATTTCAAAAGTAGGTTGAGTGTGATCGTCCGGGTGAACGTAGTCCTGAATAGGACTGTTGTCTCGACTGGTAGGCCTAAGTAATTGTATTTGATGTTTGTTTTTTTTTTTCTGGTTTCATGAACTCGCGCGTAGTTTATGCGGCTAGTTTATGCACATTTGTAAGATTTTAGCCAATGATCTGACCTAGTATCAGGTTTGATATAAGCTTACAGAACTTTAAAAGAGAGTCTCAATGGGGTTAACCGACAGGCGTAAAACGGCCGAAAACTTAGTCGATGGCCATGAAAATAGAAATATTTTAACCGTTAGGCAAAGCCGCAAATAAGGTAAAAAAGATTAGATTTGTTAATTTTAAGGAAGGTGCTGGACTCACTTATGGTTGCGTTTTTATATCCCCGCTACTTTGACTCCATACGCACGTAAGGCCAATCGCCTAGCTTTAAGGTTTTGACATAGACCTTGACATTGACAATGTATTTTTTGTTATATTTCCAAATTTAAATAAAGTTGAATAGACCTAAACTCCATTTCCGCCGCTCTCTCGGGGAACTATTTTTTTCCATCGCGAAAATTTGGCTTCTTGCTGGGGATTAATGTTTGCGATTTTCAGGAGGTCGTGCCCTCGAAATACTAGCGAAACAGCACGCAGAATGTCACTGTTTGTAAAACACGTTGCCGATAAACAACAATTCCTTGTTTTTCTCTGACGCTTCGGTAGACATAGCCATGCCTAGTCCCTCTACGGCGTCTTCCCACGCAATCCTAAAAGGTATCTGAGAAAAAAAAAAAAAAAACTCGCTGGGACCACGTCGTGACCCGAAACGCATTAGCCGCGCGGAATAACGAGGCCAACGGACAAGGCAACAGCAGACGGTCGTTCAGTACAGTCCTTCGCTATCATTAAAAGACACTGGACTTGGGAATTTTGTTATTGCCCGTTTTCACACTAGAGCTAGAGATGGACTATCCGTCTGAGACTAGCCTGTGTACAATCGTCCCCTCCCCCACAGACACCCCTTCTCCGATTTTTTTCTGAGAGGACGGGGCGGCTGTACAGAGGCTATCTGTAACGGATAATCTATCTTTAAACTGTCCGTCAAAATTGACGAATAAAGTCAGGTGGATTATTCATTCAAAATTGAAACCATTCCATTTTTAAATTAAGACGTTTTACCTATCTGACGCGAATTATCAAACGGATAAGCCATCTCACATAAACAATCCGTCTCTAGTGTGAAAACGGCCATTTCTGTTATAAATGAATGTCGCGTCCCGGACTTGGTCGTTCGTGTGTCTGCTTTTGTTTTTTGACAAAGATTATTATTAATAAATATCAGAAGTAGAATACTTTATAAAAAGTGTGATCTATCACATGTTACAATTTTTCAAAAGTATAGTTTATTTCATCCCGAGATGATCCTAAAACCTTTATTTTGCTTTAAAGATACAAAAACATACAGGCTCATTAATATTTAACTCTTTGAAACAAAAGAAATTAATTTTTAACTTTGTTGTTATCTTTAACTGAAAAAAATAAGCCGATAGCCGTAAAAAAGCCAAAATTTTAGGATCAACTAGAACTCGATCCTAAAGACCTAAACTAAAAAAAAAAAAAATCCTAAAAACTTAAAGTTTAGGTTTCTGGCAAATTGCCCACCTACCCTTTCCTTAAGCTAACACTTTGCTCTAGATAAGAGGTAAGTGTTAACGTTAGCTTAAGGAAAGGGTAGGTGGACAGTTTCCCAGAAATCTAAATTGATTCAGTTTTAGTGGATAACCGTAAAAGCCACCACCCCATTGAGTCCCTCTTAAAAAACCTATAGATATTTTCTGACCGCAAATAGAAAGAGAACGTTCCGAAGAGCATTAAGTTATAATTTTGGCTGTAAAAAGAAAGCTTTGAGCAATTTTCTTGCCTCGAGGATCCTCGAGTTCATCTTGAAAAATAGCAAACACCGGGAGGTCGGATTAAACATAAATCTGCAAGGTTAATTACTTACATGACTCAGCTAGATTTTTAGAGACACTTTACTCCCAATACTTGTATTCGTGAATGAAAATTTTTGTCTTTGTAACCGTTTCACTGAATCATATTTCTTTTATTGATAATGTTAGTAGTTTCTCTCCCAATTTTCATCGCTGTGCCGGTTGTTTTCAGTCGTACATGAACATCGCTTTCAGGAGTAGTCAAAATGCCGCGCATATCAAGCGCTTTTAAAGATTACACATAATAAAACCATTAAATAAAAAAGAAACGTAATAAATTTTTTATGTTGAAGCGTAACTCTATAAATGTTTATTCAAACACGCCGGCTCGCACTGCAAATTTGGCACTTGTCAAAAGTGAGAACCGGCTGGCTTGTAGGTGATTTTGGAAATGTTTTTAACGTTTTCCCTAAGAGCCCATTATTACCCTGCATACCACATAGGAACAGATTGTTCTGACTGAACAGTCCCGACATAATGGAATTCTCTTCATGAAAACGTTCTATTATTTGTTGTGCAAGGAAGCGCGTGCTTCGATCGTCCTGAATATTGAACGAGTACAATTTGTCTTGCATAATTGTGAAAAACTCCATTCTGTCCGAGGTCTGTATGATAAAAAACAGCTCATCATAGTGCGGTTTACCTCAGATGTGATGCATAAAAAGTTTAACCCTATTCAGACTGGGCTTTTTTGGTCAATCTGTGACTGGGGGGGGGCTCCTCGGACCCCCCCCCCCTCTGTATCTCTGGAACCAATAATGCTAGGGTCATGAAATTTACACACAATGATCATCTCCGTACAAAGAAGCCCCACACCCAGTTTTGACTTTCCATGCCCAATGATGACGTCACAGTGACGTCATATTCCGATTTTTCAATGTTTCTTATTATTTTTTCTACTTAGATACGTAAAATATCAATAATATTGGTAAAGTCATCTCTTTGTTATCCTTTCTTATGAACTAATAACAAGGAAACACTTGTACAGCGAGAAAAAGCAATAGGAAGCAAAAAAATTTAAAACTTGAAATGGTTGTCCGCCATCTTGCATCCGCCATCTTGGATCCGCCATCTTGGATCTCCGTTTTTTTGTTGAAATTATAATTTAAAGCAACTTTCAAAGGGAAAGAAAGCTCAGAATGTATAAAAGAAGTATCAAACTAATGTTTATTACCCAAACAAATGACTTTGGAAGTGTTATTTGGAAAATAGAGCACCATATTTGTCAAAGCAAAAAAGTGACAAATTTTACCCCACCCCTCCCCCCCAAATATTCGATGTTGAAACATTTTGATGTAATTCAAAAACTAGTCCCAAGCAAAGACCATTTTAACAACAAAAAGCACTATAAGTGTAAAAACGCGATCTTAAAACAAAAAAATCACCATTTTTTAAATTTTCCAAAACCTAAGTGTCAGAAACTGGTTGCCATGGCAACATGTTTAATCACATGGACATGGTAATTATACCAAAATGTTCCTAGATAAATTTTAGGAAAAGTCAGAAAATTTGAACGTCATAGCTCTTTCGGTGTAGGAGTTATCACGATTTTGCCGGAGGGGGGTTCGAAAAGCCCCCCCCAGTCTGAATAGGGTTAAAAGGCTGGTGTATACGCCACCAGTTTTGTTGGCAAGATTTTGTAAAGTATAAACTTCTCGAAAACAAAAAATTCGGCATGGTTTTTTATTTTGGCCTCCCTTTTAGACAGAGGAATGCAACCTATAAATTACAACATGTAAATTGGCTGTCGCCGAGGACAATCGTATCTTATAACCGGCCTTTCTAGCATAAAATTGTATTTCGGGGTTGTCCAATTAACCCTATAAAATAAAGGTGATGTAGGTGGGCGACTGGGCTATTTTGTTTGATGATTGCTATTTTTTTGGGTGTACATGTAAGACTATTCAGTGATTCGACGTAAGATTCGTTTAACTCTTGAACTGTTGGCAAATTATTTTTCTCTAAAATCACGTAGCCTTCCCCTCCAAAGTCACTTGTGCCAACTGATTTGGTGGATTACAAGTTTATTGTAAGCGCGCGTGCAAAGCCCCATAGCAAGGTAAATCTACCCATCCTAGAAAATTTGGTAATCGCGTGACCGTTCACCGCCCGAGCGACCAACCGTCCAACACCACAGGCATGCCAATGTAAAATAACTCAATCAACAGGCATGGCAACCCAAATGACATTCGAGGTTATTTTGGCGGTAAATAGCATAGCCACCCGCGTCTTGTAAAGCAGAGACAACTAAAGAGTCAATAAAGACGAAAACGGAAAGCGGAAATTGTTTCTGTATCCAGGGTGTCTAAAGTATTAAGCTTAGATTAATTGTCACGTCCAAAAATTTGCAATATAGAGCAAGAAAAAGAAAGAGGAAAAAGAGAAAATAAGCGGCAGGCCAGCAAAGCCTAGAAAAAAAAAAAGACAAAGGAGACATTTTGTTGTTGGAAGAACTACATGAAAATTTTGCAGCGGCGGTGACCAAATGAGAAATGCTAGGAGCCACGAATGCAAGATGAAAATGAGCGGCAGTGAAGAAAAAGTGAACGAGAAAACGTACGACATTTCCTCCAAAAAACGTGTAACTACTATCCTGTTTACGTGGAGGTGGGGGAACCCCAGGTAGGTGAGGTAACCCTTCTGTCCATATAATCTCTCATTTTAAATGTGATCACGTTTACATGTTAGGTGGGGTAACGGGCCACATGTTACCTCACCTACCTGGGGTCCCCCACCTTCATTGTGCAAAACAGCGGCAAAGAAGTGTACAAAAAAAGTGTGCTGCCCGTGCAAAGTTGCTTTTTTGTTAATTAGACCTTTTGTTGTTTTTCACCGTTCTCCGGCGTTGCTTTCGCCGCTTAGCATTACACGATTCTATAGAGTGTTTTCACATGACGTCACGGCGGCCGTATTGGTGTCCCAAACAAATCCTGTGGGAGTTAAACTCTTTTCTTATGCAAATGCTTACTTTTGTTCCAATAAATTTGGATAGATGATGGCCAAGTGACTGAAAACGCTCTATAGTTTGTTTGAACAAGCTTAAATATTATCGAGAGCTTCACTTTTAGCCCTGGCTTAATCTATATGTTATTATTACCTGGTACTGTGATTTATTTGACTACGCTTTCTTTCATGAATTAAGTGCAGCTTTCTTTCTTTCTCCAATTAGCTCAACCGTAACGCTTTTTCTCGTCTTTCTTTTTCTTCTTTTTTGATTATGGTTTTTAGGTTAAATCATACGGAAAGCTTCTTTGATGTACTGCCAACTCGGATAAATGATGCTGGCGTGAGATACGATATACCTTGTTCCTGTGATAAACAAGATGAGCACGGTAACCCGGAATGCAAAAAAGAACTTCCAACGCATTATTTCAATATTCTAGATCAGCAAGGAAGAGTTGTCGTACCCTCTGGCCCCGGAGGACAGGGAAGGGAAAAGAGAAACGTGGAAGATTCAGATGATTTAACAGATGAAGATTTTGACCTGTTTCAACGCGTAAATTTTGGTTCGGGCGTTCATAACCGTCTCAGACGAGCAGCACCAGCTATATCCCGATTCTCAAAGAAAAATTCAACGCATTACTGCAGGAAATTGATTGCAGATACCAAAATCGGCAAGAGCTGTGCCAAAGTAGGAAGTAATGTCCAAGCGCTCGTTAACTCCTGCTCTATAGACTTGGAGGTAAAAAGGTTTCCATTTCGTTTGTTTGGTTATTGTTGCTTTGAGTCCAGTCGTTAGTGGGATTCCGGATTTCTTGAGCTGTTCTCCGGATTCGAAAGCCCAGGATTCCGGACTCCACAAGCAAAACTGATCAGGATTCGAGAATCCAGCCGATTCCTTTGCATGGGGCGACCTTCGACTTCTCAAATTTTATCGATACGTTTCTGTACCACCAACTGTGACGCGAACTGGGACTTTTGCCAAGACATTATTTGACAATCTGGAGCCAGCGGCATGTAAACTCTTTTAACAGAATTATGCTCTCTGTTTCAATCAGGAGCGCAACGCGATCAACTTGGAAGATAAGAATATTCAGGGGCGTAGCTAGGATTTTTCAAGAGGGGGAGTGGGGGTTCACGCTGTGTCACACCCAGGGTACTTACCAGATTGGCATGTTGACATCCAGGCGGTTTTTTACTAAAAAGGACATTTTTTTTCGATCAGCAGTGGGCGTAGGAAGAAGGACAAGCCTACAAGATAGCTGCATAGATTAATTAAGTTCCACGTAGAATAAATTACTCTATTTTAGTTTATACGAAAAAGAACATTGTCCACTGCAGATGTTCGGTCCTGCAAATGGAGTAAGCAACTATCTCGCACTGGAAAAGATTCATTGCATGTTGATTCTTGGGATTCGCGTGTTTTGGCCACTTCACGTATAGGGACATAAAACAATTACCTGACAAAGGGGGGTCACAGGCACCCCAGGTCACCCCCAGCTACGCCCCTGATATTTGCAGTTCAAGTTCGAGAAACAACAGTGCTATTAAAAAAAAATGGCATGAAAACCGCTCAATACGAATGACTCAAAGATAGTTTTCCGGTTTTATTTCAGTTCTCAGTTGCTTCTCGAATTCTCTGTAATTGCGTATCTACGTCTGGAATCTCTATCAATGGCGAAACAAGCGCTTGACTTGGCAGCGTAGATAAATATCCTTAAATCTGGATACAATTATCTGACGAAAAGAACAGTCACAAGGGAAAGGCAATCCTGGGAAATGGGAACAGACCCAAACAGTCATTGCAGTATTTTTGGTGCTTCGTAGGGTCTGCTCGCGTGCTTTCTTGATATTTTTTTTTCTGACAGGTCACAACTCAATCAGCATTCGTGAAATATTTCAGGTGTTACGGTTTTCTGAGCTTGTGATAGTTGCTGATAAGAATGAACTACCACATGTATCTTCTTTATATTTCAGCTGACCGGCGATACCTCGTTTGCTCTTTCTGCTGTTACGTTGCTGATGAATGAATGTGGTGAAATTATTGGGAGAAACATGTCTTCATACGTTAATGAAAGTGGTGAAGAGAAACCTGAAATCCCTCCCGAAATGTCAGAAATTGTTGAAAACCTATGTCCAAGTGATTGCACGTTCAATGGGAGATGCGTCCATCGCACTTGTATTTGCAACCACGGATTTACAGCAAATGACTGCTCGATATCGATTTATCAAATACCAGATATTTCAATGTAAGCTTTTAATATATTTGAATAAACTTATTTAGTGATTTATAAGTTTCATGAAAGAATCGAAATATTTAAAGTAAAGATCCGCTTTCACTGACATTAAAACGTTTAAGCTGCCAACTTAAATTTAGGAAAGTGGCAAGTAAGTCAATTCCAAAAATGTTGCCTTCGCCGGAATTGTTAAGCGGGGTGAAGGAAAATCTCCAAGCTAAGTGATTCCAGATCATAGAATATTAAAATAAATCTTGTTTAGTGAGTTCAGTCAGTGATGTTTGAATCTTTTTGACAAAGGGCAAGCTAGCACTCTAAACGCCAGCTTTTGCCAGTGAATCCTTTTGGCACTCAGGCAGAGAAAATTGACTATATAAATTAATTGCCTTGTGACATTGGATGTCGATTTTTTCGATTATTTCTTACATACATGGTTCCTTTTCTAAAGACTTATCCTTAGGAACAATCATTACGCTGTTTATCCCATAGGTTACAAGGAGATGGTTTGTGTGATAAACGTAAACGGCTATGTAAGAAGGTGTCTGTAATGGGATCTGGTTTTCTAAATTCCACAAACATGACCTGTCATGTCAAAGAATTTACGGTAACTCTTTCAACGTTTTCTATTTTGTTATTTCAGTGCTTCTACGTTGCTCTTGTTGTTGTTGTTTTTTTCCAAGGCATATAAATTGACCTGAGTTCTTCACAATCCATGTATATGCTTGTGGGGGCATAGACTTTCAATGGTTACAAACACGACATATCTTAATTATACAATTTGTCGTTTATCGTTTTACGCTCTTGGTTTCTTTTAGGTCACAAACAGCTCCTGGACACCAAAACAAACAGAAATTAGAACAACTGGTGTAATGACCGACTTGGTGTTGGCAGAATGCCATTTGCCTGAGTCCCCTGTGAGGCCGGGATATTACCATGAAATCACTTCAGGAACACCTGCTGCTGGATTGGTTATATCCATGTCCAATGACGGCGAACACAAGAGCTCTAGGAATCTCACATTCATATCATATGACTCTGCATGTATGACTTGCAATGTCACTACCGGATGTGTTTTGAAAGTAAGTGCAGTTTGGCATCAAGAAAACCAGTCGCTAGGGTATTTAAAAAAAAAACTGATACGTGTTTTTTCCTTCTCCATTCCCTCCAGATTTCAAAAGCGACCTTCGTTTGCTTTTGGGAGAGACCCGTCTTCGTTTTTAAGTGCTTGTGATCAGTATCTTCGTTAGGCAAGATAATAAGTTTAAACCCTTTTTCTTTCCTTTTTCTTGTTTGTGCATGTCCAATTAAAGTAAACATCCCATTGAATGTTTTTTATAGGCATGCGTTTTATGGTTTTTTATGGTGTATGGTATACTGCTGCTCGGTTAGCTTAGTTGGGAGAGTGTTGGTCTTCTGAGCGATGGGCCGCGAGTTTAAACCCCTTCCGGACCAACAGGAGGTCTTTAAAAAACTGGCGTGACAATCCTCTCGTGATTAAACACTTTCTTACTTAAGATGAACGCGTCATTGGGCGGTGACGTTAAGCCGCTGGCCTTGTTTCTTTGATCTTACATATTAGTTGGAAGGGGACGTGAAAGGGGATGACGTTTGAAAAGGGTAGTGGACGTAGAGCCCGGCTTCGCCTTCAGATGCGATCTTACGATAGAGTACACTGTCATCAGCAAAAAGCTCTGTGCTACAGCTTACACTTAGGGGGAAGTCGTTTATATACAGCAGTAAAAAAAGTGGCCCTAATATACTCCCTTGAGGAACATCAGAGGACACAACCATCCATACTGATGAATGGCCTCCAATAATAACTCTTTGTGTACGGTCTGACAGTTAATCATGAAGCCTGGAAAACAAATGACCCCAAATGCCAAAACACTGCAACTTATAAAACAAGTGATGATGAGAAACCTTGTCGAAGGCCTTTGCAAAATCCAGAAAGACCACGTCCACTGAGTGACCTTTCTCAAGAGAACTGTACCATGAGTGTAGCAGCTGAAGAAGTTGAGTGACACATGAACGAGCTTCTCTAAAACCATGTTAGCTCTCACTCAGCAGCCTATGATGTGTTAAGAACTTCATAATATGTTTATGGATGACACGTTCCAAAGACTTGACTAAAATACTTGTTAGAGAGACTGGTCGTCTTAAAGGTTCGAACGCACCTCTCTTGTTCCTCCACAATTCAGCCATTGGCTGGAAAAGAGGAAAACTGCCACTTCGGTGTCCTTTCGTTCTCTAATTTCCCATTCTTTCCAACCATTACTTTGGGACTTTGATCACTGGCCGTTTTTAAAGAGGGTGTACCTTTAATACGTGACTGCTTAATGGAGATTCAATTGTATTGAAACATTATATTTCATCATATTTTTCAGAAAAACTCTTGCTTTATCAATAATTACTGCTTTTCCACAAATGAAGCCAACCCCATCAACTGGTGCCAGCAGTGTATTCCAAATATGAGTGAAAGAACTTGGACAAAACGACAAGGTATTTGCAATGAAATGTCGGTACATGTATCTTTCAACCTTTTATCGAGGAGAAAACCCTTTAATCAGCTGTTTAACCTTCATATGTTTCAGTTTAGTTGTTTTCGAAGCGTGCGCTAAACTAATAAAAAGTTGGCTAAACATACCACAATACTTGTGGAACACAGCACACTATTTTCGAAACACAACACAAACGTCTCGAAATCAATGCACATTTTATGTTGTTTTAAGACGTACTAACCCATCATTACTGACTGTTGGCACGTAGAGGGCCTTGCAAAATCATGCCTTTTTGTTTTCTTAACAATTTCGTGCCTCGCAAGGGGTCTTGTGATTACCAAAAGCTGATACAATTTATAATTGATATTCACGAAGCCTAACAGAGGAGTTTACGATTATGACGAGATTACATTTAACCACCCTTGTATTTAAAAAAAGTCTTTTGTCAGAGGCATTTCCTCAGCCTGACCAGAAAAAGAGGGAAAAATGACGCTATCCATGTAAATGACAACAAAATGGTAAAATGCGTAGTTTGATCACAGAAAGCCCATAGCCAGACGTATCGATACAAGATTTGAATATTCAAGCTTAGGGACCGTGCCCGCTCGACAAAATACCACCTTCTACGGCAAAGACGGTACGTGTACTTAGCCTCCTGTTCATCACGGTAACATTTTGTATCTTCCAGTGAACCTTCCACCTCAGTTTTTGTCCACCAATAAGTACTTCGCGCTGTCTCAAGAAGATCTAGAGCTGGGGATAGACGTTTCAGATCCAGAAGGCATGCCTGTCACTTTAACATTAACAGACGGAAGTCCAACAAAAGCAGTCATGCGAGGCAACATTTTATTATGGAATGCCACCGATGATGCCAACACACGGTTCTCTCTGAAGGCTACAGATGCATGTGGAGCCGTATCCACATTAAATATAACTGTCAACTTGGTTGCGTGCCAGTGTCAAAATGGAAGTTGTGTTCCACATAGAAACAAGCCAAGAGGCTCTGGTTTCTATGAATGTAATTGTATTCCTGGTTTCACTGGTGCTAAATGTGAAACTAATATCGATGATTGCCAGTCATATCCTTGTTTGCAAGGTAAAAAAATAGTGCAGGGATTTTCAAATTACCTGATCAGGAGGCAACGTGACCGAGTTACTAGCGCGTCGGATACACAGTCTGGCGGTCTCGCTCTGGTCACTTGCTGGAATTGTTCTCGATCGTCCCGAGTTCAAATCTTTGGCTATGCATCTTTACACAATTGAAGCCTTGAACCTTACTAGCTCTTTTTCGTATAGCCAAGTTCTCGTGTTCCAAGCACTCAGAAAGTGGGAGCGGCGTGTTTAGATAGTGCTATGGGCGCAAATATTGTGCCCATGGACTCCATCGTTGGATTAGTGCTTCGACAAACGGACCTTTATACACGGTAATATGAAAACTAATAGTAAGATTGGGGAGAAATCCATTCTTGTAACGGTCTTGTAAGTTAGTTAAAAGAAAAGTGCAATCGTATTTGCTGCTTTCGTTTTCTCCAGCAGAGATACCTGTTGGCAAATAAACGTAAGTACAAACAGGGAACTAGAAGAAGTAGAAGAAGAAGAAGAGAGAGAGAAAAAAATCAAACCGCTTACTGGTTTCTCATTTCACTTTGACGATCTCTTCTACTTCATTTGTTTCTTCAGCAGCCCAACTTTATGAATTCACTACTTGATACATTCTAAATCACACTATATTTTTCAGTCTATTTATTCGGCATTCACAGGGTATTGTATCGACGAGGTTAATCAATTCAAGTGTGTCTGTAATCATGGGTATGTTGGAAAGAAGTGTGAAATAGACTATGATGACTGCGGAGTGTCTCCCTGTGCCCATGGTAGGTCATTATCACCGGACGATTGGAATAAAGTCATTTAGTGAGATTTATAACCTCTCGTGTATTTTGAATATTACAAATACACGTTTACTCTCAAAGAGTCATCGCCAAGCCAGATACATTGAATGAACTGACCTGAGTTCTGAAATAATGGCAATTATGTGTACTTCCCAGTCACTGTGGCTTCGCTCCAGCAACTTGAATCTTAACGTTAATGACTGAAAAAAAGGGACGCAAGACGTCACGGAAGAACCGACGCGGTGGCCTAGTTGTTTTGGGAGTGCAGAGCTGGACTGACATTATGGCGGAAGATTTTATACGTCCTGTGAAGTTGAAATAGCCTAACTACCGACTAAAAAACATAACAACAAATAAAAGACAAAAACCTTAGAGCCAAAGTTACTCGCATTGATAGGTTACTAGATTTTCTTGCCCATTTTGCTCGCTGCAAGTTCATATGTAGCTCTTAAGTCGAAATAAAACGGTCAAATTAAGTTTCGTGCATTAGCATAAGTAGTTAGGCTTTTGAATTGGGCATAAACTACGAACATATCAGAAACTATACATCAAGAACCAATTTATACGTGAATCATCTTCTGTTACTAGGCAATTGTACCGACTACCCAGGAACATACAGGTGTGCCTGTGATTCTGGCTATGGTGGACAGAATTGCTCCATTGACATAGATGAATGTCAGTCGTCACCGTGCCGGCACGGTAAGTAAAGTATTTAAGATCAAAACAATTGTATTCAGACAAACAGGGACTATTTAACCCACGAGAAGACATTAAGTCACTTACTAGATACCAGTTAAACGAGGGAACATAGCAGCAATTACAAGAATCGAGTTAAAACATTTTTATACATGTAGCTAATAAAGAAGGTTTTAAAGGTCTACGTCATGCTATCTGCTATCTTTTGAAAAAACTAAAACTATTTTCCATCAATTGAATTCCAAAAATAACGGTCCAGTTTTGTTTTCTGAGACTATATTTGGTATTTGGGCATTGAAACTGTTTCCTGTGGTCTGTTGCAACGGATTTCAAGGATGGACATGGATTGAAATTTGAAAAAGTTGGGCCAACCTCGTCAAGTTTTAATGCTACGCATGCAAAATCACTAAAACAAATTGCTATGCTTATTGCTCCCTAATGGAAGTTTTTCGATATCTTCATAAGTTTACAGGAGCATTTTATCTATGGGTAAAGGCAATAAGTAATGACTTCAGAACAGAACTGACCTAAACCCGCTGCAATATCTTCTTGACATAGCCCGTTTAAAACCACCACTTAGAAGGCCTTAATTTAAAATGATCAGTGAAATGCCTTTTTCCATATGAAAACTTTTTCATGTATGCAGTATACCTGTGTTCTTTGTTTTACCCCATTTCAAATACAGGGACCTGTGTTGATCAGATAAATGGATACAAATGTCAGTGTCAGCCTGGTTACACAGGAATAGACTGTGATGTAGATATTGACGAATGCCAGTCATCTCCTTGTATAAACGGTAAGGTGCAGGTGATTAGAGTAGAGAAATCAGATAAATGGATACAAATGTCAGTGTCAACCTGGTTACACAGGAATAGACTGTGATCTAGATATTGAGGAATGCCAGTCATCTCCCTGTTTTAACGGTAAGGTGCAGGTGATTAGAGTAGAGAATCAAATTCAAACTGACAGGGATGAATCCCTTAGAAACAGCAGAGGGTCAATGAACCAATAAAGAAAATAAACAAGTATGTAAACAGTAAACTTGTCTCCTTTACTTTCACTTACATGTTTTTCATCCACCGGTACGTGTTATTTCCTTCAATTCTTTACAAAATGTTTAAAATCATAGATTAAGCGCTGTTGCCTGCCACACCTAATCATATACATCTCTAATCGCTCCTTTCGGAAAAACATAGGCAAACCTTCATCGCCGCTTACGCAGGCTAGCGGGGCTGGCGATCAGTGCTTTCACTCAAAAGCCAATAATCTCTAAAAAAAGTTATATTGTTTACTGCGTGCCATGTTTTGAGCCGATGACTGATTTTTAATTTTTTCCGGTATCTTAGCTAGCAATTTTTGTGTTGTTTTGTTTTGTTGTTTTTTTTAATTTTATTTTGTCTTTGTTCGTCACCGTCCATCACTTTTGGGAAGGTCGTTTTCATACCTCATTATCAGAGTCCATTTTATCATGAGGGAATGTGACTACTATTATATGATGTAATTTGATGTTCGGGGAGGGGGAAATTAATGAATGCGTACAATATAATTCGCTGTTAACTGGATTCTTTGCATTCCACCGACCTTGGCACGGGTCTGCGGAAGGCAAAGGCTCTTAGCCTAGGAAATCTGAATTTGTCAACTACAATTCATTGTCATTCAAATAAGAATAAAGGCTTATTAACCCTTTAAGCCCTATTAAAGAGTTATCAGCATCGAATTCCTCCTTGTAATATTAATGCTTTTTAAAACAGAGTGGTCATGAGAATTACAAACATGATCGTACAAGATGAATTTGTTTGATAGTTTATCAACTTTTCCCCACTACTTCTACAGGAAATGAATAGGGGCAACAAATGAGAATTCAAATTTGCATCTTAGGGTTTAAAGGGTTAAACTGAGTGCTCTTACTTGATCTCACGAAAGCTTTAGACACGGTGGAATATGAACTCCTTCTCCAAACGCTCAAACTTTAAGGATTTGGATCCTGAAGCTTACAATGGTTTCAATCCTGTTAACTAGTCACAAACAGAGAACATAATTATGTAAATAGTGCTTTGTCTGACTACTGCTCCTTTATTTTTGGTTTCCCTTAAGGATCCATTCTAGGACCTTTATCGTTACTGATTTAAATGAACGATCTTCCTGCATGTGGCTTAGCCTCAACACCAAGGCTTTATGCGGATGATACATTTCCTAGCGTTGCTCTCGTGATCCTCTTGACTTTCAATCAAAGCTAAACAAGGCTTCGAGTTTTATGCAATCTGGGCTTCAAGAAAACAAACTTACTCTTGATGTTAAAAAAAACCCAAAATATTCTATTATTTCTAATCAATGTAAACTGGTTCATTACGTTCATCACCGGATATGAAAAATAATGGACATCAAATCGATAGTGTCCAAAGTCACTGATATTTAGGAATCGAAAAAGATGACACTCTGATACGGCACTCTCTTATTGACCATCTAGTCATAAAAATGTCAGGTAGCCTGGTCGTTTGCGAGCAAAAGCTTTAGAACAACTGGATACCTTAATAAACAGGTACGGCGCTCCTATGGTACTACATTTTGACAATTGCAGCCCTATACGGGCATGCATAGGAAAAGCGGTTACTACATATGTATGTAGTAGGTCATAAAATAAATAATCGCTTCCCACCTCGCATACATGACTTTTTTAAAATACATCAGAATTTCGTTCCCACAATTTATAAGGAGTTCGGCTCATAATTAACCTATACCAAGGCCTCAGTCGTGCTACGCTCTGGAACAGCCTTGCCGCTCAAACAAAAAAATCTAAACAACAAAGAATGCCTTTAAAGAATCCCTGCCAGGAATTTATACATAATAAATAAACGCTCCATAATTTTTAGTATAATATTCTCATCATGGTAAGATTTAATGAATCACAAGGCTCAACAAAAGAGCATATCTTTTTGTGAATATGAATTGATAGCGTGTTTAAATGAAGCTTTATGTAGGTTATAGTCAAAGCCCATATAGTTTAATGCAGGTGGTTTTAACACAACCGACACAGCTTTTTATAATAATTGATGATTTCATTAGTCGTCTTGGCGAACTGTCTGGCTAGAATGTGGATATATAGTTCGTCATGTAAATGTAACTTGATGACCATTTTTTATCGTCTCATCTAGTAATTCAGTCTATGTTCATTTATTCTCAGGGACGTGCGTTAACAAAGTCAACGGTTATAATTGTGTCTGTCAAGCTGGCTTTAACGGAACAAGATGCGAGAATAACATTAACGAGTGTCTTTTAAATTCCTGTGGAAATGGTGAGATATGCGTTTTTCGGACGTATAAGAAATTTAATTAATAAAGAATTTTAGAATCGTTTACTACAAACGTTAAACGTCAATTTTTTTTTATACCACGTGACGGTTTATTCAGTTGATTAATATATCTACACAAAATAAGTATTTTTCAAGTCAGATTCATTCATAAAAATCATTATGGACGGTTTTGTATCTGCTCATTTCCTAATTTCATAAATTGTCCCCAAATGTAACTTTAGATCTCCTTATAATACTGTCACTGGTGCTACCCAACCCAGTCTTCCTTCTTCCTTTAAGCATTTCGCAAAGAAATAGCTTCATCAAAGTTTACGAAGAGGATACTGATGTGAACTTTCTTTCAACAACTTAAATAATTTGTTCCTTATCTGTTAGATCGTTTTTAACTGCGCGATTTCTTCCTTTTTTTATCAATTAGGAAATTCGTTTTTGTTGTTGTTGTTGTTTTTTTTCAGGAATTTGTGTTGATAAAGTTAACAGCTATAGCTGTATTTGCAACGCTGGATTTACAGGCCGACAGTGCAATGTTGCTATCACACACTGTAGGAGTGACTCGTGTTACCCTGGCGTACCTTGCACGGAAAAAATCAGTCATATCGTATGTGGGCCTTGTCCATCTGGTTTCACCGGTGATGGTAAAATCTGTAAAGGTAATTAATTAATTAATTTAATTAATTTAATGCACACATAAAGCGTACAGATAACATAACATACGAATCATGTAATTCTTTCTAAAGTGCTTAAACATGGCAAAAGCCAGTTACGGGTTGCCCTGAGTTTCTTTCTCAAAAGTAAGGCTCGGTGCGCGTTCATGTGACGTGTGTGACGCACACACTTGACCCCACCAAACAAACGTCTTTGAATTTCCGCAACTTCCCGGAGCTATATCTTCGCTCGCTTAAGACGTATCACTTTCAAATTTGGCAACATTACTAATTTTAAGGCGCTCTTCTCAGTGGTGTCGACCGATTTTCCCTAACTGGTCCATATCAAAAGTTGAGAAACCGTGAAAAGGTCTATTTCGTTTGATCAGCGAATGCTCTGCGCTGGCTTTTACTCCTTGGAAAGAGTTGCAGTATTGGTATTTGTTGGGGAAAAGGCATACAGATCATAGTCCTGGCTTCAATTCGTGAACGGTTAAATGAAAGATGGTTAGAGATGGACCTAGCAGAACATTGTGTGTACTGGTAATGCCGCAGTCATAATTGTTGCTAACATCAAAATAAACATGCTTAAGCGATGAATTTGTCTTCTAACCTGTTTAGCACCACTGATTTTTGTTAAAGAATTCCTACCAATGAATTCCTTTTTTTCCGAATCTAGCTTAACGTCTCCGTCTTTACTGCTTTAATTGCATCGATGACAATCAGATTCCGTCTATACGCATCCCACACTGCAGTAGTATACTCTAAATTTTGTATATCAATACAAGTATTAGAGGCTGAAAAGAAAACAAGAGCGTTATAATTAGCGCCTTACAACTAAGAATGATCTTATTCCTTTTCTAGTAATATTACTCTGATATGAGACCATTCCATATAATGATTTTGACGGGGCCTGGTCTTTTATTTAATCTGACCATCCATGCAAAAATTAATCAACATCGATTTCTTCTCCCTTGAACTCCTTATTGTACTCTAAGTCCCGTTAAACTTCGTCTGCCATAAGGTCATTATCTTTCTAGGCAATCTTCAATCTTTAATTGTTGTTGTCGATGCATGCTGCAGGTAGGATTTACTACTTCTATAAGAAGTTTGATAATCCGCCTTAACCTTTAATTACAGATACAGTAAAACCCCGCGTATAAGAACCTAGGTTTTTTTTTTGATTTAGCCTTAACAGGTTCTTATATAAATGGTACTTAAAGCAAATTTAGACTACCAAGGTTCTCAAAATAGGTTCTTATATATATTTTCATATGAATTTCATTTAAATATATTATAAATATCATCTCATAATACAATATAAATCATTTATACCATAAAGTAATGCCTAAAGCCAGTACAGTGCAGGTATGTCCTTAACAAAACATAACAAACAAACTCATAGTCAGTTCCCTGAAATGCCATCTCAAAGTTGATACCAAGAAAATCTTGAGACAAATACAGTACATTCATAACCAGTTCCACTGATAAGAACCTGACTTAAAATGTTAGCCTTAACAGGTTCTTAAAACCCAGGTTCTTATATGCGGGGTTTTACTGTATTGATGACTGTGTCAATCACAATTGTCAAAACGGTGGTTCTTGTGTGGATGGCATCAACAAATTCACGTGTAACTGCCTTAAGAGTACACTGGAAACGCTCATAGGGGATCAGCAAGAAACGCTCGATGAGAAGTGTTACAATTGAATACTCTAGGACTAATACCTTTTCACTTAAGTCAGAATGGAGGGAGAACGTAGATAACTGGACAGTAAACTTGATGATTTTCCATGAAAATGATTTTGTTTTCACACGAGATATTTGCTTTACATATTTATTAACCATTAGAAACATTATATGTATTTCATTGGGTAATCAATAATAATGATACCATTGTTGTTGTCTTGTTGTGGTTAAAATCCCGAAAAATAACCAAGAATTCTAATATTCAAGGAGATATAGAGCAAAACAAGAGAGTTTCTAACTTTGATTTTCTTATTAATTTTATATCATGGTCTTTTCATTGCAGCCGTTCAAACTCCTAGGACCTTTTATCACTATTGCTTCTCAAACGAGAAATTTGCTTTATATAAGAATTAACCATCAGAGACATTATTTGCATTTCCTTCTGTAGTCAATAATGATATTGTTATTGTTGTCTTGTTGTGGTTAAATACCCGAAAAGAACAAAAAATTTTAATATTCAATAAGAAACAGAGAAAAACAAAAGGTGTTCTTTACTTGATTTTCTTATTAATTTTATGCGGTAACCATTCTTTTTGTATTGTAGCCGTTTAAACTGTTCCTTTTATCACTCTTGCTTGTTGTCAAGTTTTGTAAGGGAATAAATTAAGTCTTATTCAATTCGATTTAGAAAACGGAGGGTCGTGGGTTCGAATCCAATCTGGGGATCAGACTTTTTCTGTGTCCTCTTATGGTTGATTCTTTACATCTCCCTTTATTTCCTTTATTCTTATTGAATTTACAGACATTAATGACTGTGTAAATCACACTTGTCAAAACGGTGGTTCTTGTGTGGATGGCATCAACAATTTCACGTGTAACTGCCTTAAAGGGTATACTGGGAGTCATTGCCAGACAGGTATGCCGCTTTGAAGGAAAAATTTGGTTTTCTCATGGAATACCAATTTAACCATTAGAATATATACTTGAGACAATTTGACATCCACTTCTAAAAGACCACTTACGTTATAATTTATACTTCTATGTTTTTGGCAGACATTAACGACTGTGTTAATCACACATGTTTGAACGGTGGGTCGTGTGTAGATGATGTAAACAATTACACCTGCAGATGCGTTCCAGGATTTAAAGGAGATCGCTGCGAGAAAAGTAAGATTTTATGGAATTTTATTGACATTAAATAACTTTTTCATTTACTTTAAATAAAAAAATAAGGAAAGTCAAATAAGAACTTTGCAACAAACGTTCGATGAGAAATGTTGTAACTAAATACTCTTGGACTTACACCTTTTCACTCCACTGCAAGTGGAGGGAAAACTTAGATAACTGGACTGATGAAAAGTTGATGATTTCCCTTGAAAGTGATCATTTTCTTTACAAACGAGAAATTTGCTTTACATAAGAATAAACCATTAGACACATTATAAGGGTTTCCTTCTGTAATCAATAATGATATTGTTATTGTTGACTTGTTGGGGGATAAATACCCGGAAAATAAAACAAAAATTGCTATTTTGTTATAGCCGTTTAACCTGCTTCTTTTATAACTCTTTTTTTTTTTGTTAAGTTTTGTAAAGAAATAAATTAAGTCTTATTAACTCTATAAACAATAGCGACAGTGTAAATCACACTTGTCAAAACGGTGGTTCTTTTGTGGATGGCATCAACAATTTCACGTGTGACTGCTTTAAGGGTATACTGGAAGTCACTGACAGACTGGTATGCAGCGTGCAAGGAAAAATTTGCATTCATGTTGCTTGACATTTCCATCATAAGAATACTTCTTTTATCAGTAATAATTATATTATTACTGTGGCCTTACAGCGGTTTAATACCCGGAAAAGAACCAAGAATTTCAATATTCAAAAAGAAATAGAGGAAAACAACATGTGCTCTTGATTTGAATTTTTCATTAATTTTATACCATTCTTTTTTTCATTGTAGCCGTTTAAACTGTTCCGTTTATTACTCTTGCTTGTTGTCAAGTTTTTTAAAGAAATAAATTAAGTCTTATTGAATTTGATTTAGAACACGGAGGGTCGTTGGTTCGAAACCCATCTGGGGTTCAGATTTTTTCTGTGTCCTCTTATGGTTGATTCTTTACATCTCCCTTTATTTCCTTTATTCTTATTGAATTTACAGACATTAATGACTGTGTAAATCACACTTGTCAAAACGGTGGTTCTTGTGTGGATGGCATCAACAATTTCACGTGTAACTGCCTTAAGGGGTATACCGGGAGTCACTGCCAGATAGGTATGCCGCTTTCAAGGAAAAATTTGGCTTTCTTATTGAATACCAATTTAACCATTAGAATATTTGAAACAATTTGACTTGCACTTCTAAAAGATCACTTACGTTATGAATTATATTTCTATGTTTTTGGCAGACATTAACGACTGTGTTAATCACACATGTTTGAACGGTGGGTTGTGTGTAGATGATGTAAACAATTACACGTCGTGCAGATGCGTTCCAGGATTTAAAGGAGATCGCTGCGAGAAAAGTAAGATTTTATGGAATTTTATTGACATTAAATAACTTTTTCACTTACTTTAAATAAGGACAATAAGAAAAGTTAGATAAGAACTCTGCAAGAAACTTTCCATGAGAAATCTTATAACTAAATACTCTTGGACTTACACCTTTTCACTCCAGTCCGAGTGGAGGGAGAACTGAGATAACTGCACTGATAAAAAAGTTGATGATTATCATTGAAAGTGATTTTCTTTTCAAAAGAGAAATTTGCCTTATATAACAATTAACCATCAGAGACATTACGTGCATTTCCTTCTGTAGTCAATAATGATATTGTTATTGTTGTCTCGTTGTGTGTAAATACCCGAAAAGAACATGATTTTCATATTCAATAAGAAACAGAGAAAAACAAGAAGTGTTCTTTACTTGATTTTCCTATTAATTTTATACGGTAACCATTCTTTTTGCACTGTAAGCGTTTAAACTGCTCCTGTTATCACTCTTGCTTGTTGTCAAGTTTTGTAAGGAAATAAATTAAGTATTATTGAATTTACAGACATTAATGACTGTGTAAATCACACTTGTCAAAACGGTGGTTCTTGTGTGGATGGCATCAACAATTTCACGTGTAACTGCCTTAAAGGGTATACTGGGAGTCATTGCCAGATAGGTATGCCGCTTTGAAGGAAAAATTTGGCTTTCTCATGGAATACCAATTTAACCATTAGAATATATACTTGAGACAATTTGACATGCACTTCTAAAAGATCACTTACGTTATAAATTATACTTCTATGTTTTTGGCAGACATTAACGACTGTGTTAATCACTCATGTTTGAACGGTGGGTCATGTGTAGATGATGTAAACAATTACACGTGTAGATGCGTTCCAGGATTTAAAGGAGATCGCTGCGAGCAAAGTAAGATTTTATGGAATTCTATTGACATTCAATAACTATTTCATTTACTGTAAATAAGGACAATAAGGAAAGTTACATAAGAACTCTGCAAGAAACGTTCGATGAGAAATGTTATAAGTAAATACTCTTTACACTTTTTCACTCCAGTCCAAGTGGAGGGAAAACTTAGGTGACTGGACTGATAAAAAGTTGATGATTTCCTTGAAAGTTATTATTGTGTTTACAAACGAGAAATTTGCTTTACATAAGAATAAACCATTACCCACATTATAAGGCTTTCCTTGTGTAATTAATAATGATATTGTTATCGTTGTCTTGTTGTGGTTAAATATCCGGAAAATAAAAAAAAAGTATTTTTTTGTTAAGTTTTGTAAGGAAATAAATTAATTTTTATTAATTTTGTAAACATTAATGACTGTGTAAATCACACTTGTCGAAACGGTGTTTCTTTTGTGAATAGCATCAACAATTTCAGGTGTAACTGCTTTAAGGGGTATACTGGTAGCCCGGGGGGGGCACTTGAGTATTTTTCGGGTGGGTATGTGCCGCCCGGGACTCCAAATTGGCACCCCGTTCTAAAAAAAATTTCTCCTGAAATTGATACCCCGTTCTAGAAATGGGCCAATTTTTTATACCCCGTTTTAGAATTCGCTTTAAAACTGATACCCCGTTCTAGAAATGGGCCAATTTTTTATACTCCGTTCCAGGGTGCAACAAGAGTATAACAGTTTGCTTGTTAACGCATTGAACCGTATTTTTAAAAGCAATCTGTCCTTGAATAATTTCAAATGGCTTCTTACAAAAGTGGAGCTTTCGTGCGTTCGAAATATTATACCCCTTTCTAGAAATCGCCTCTGAAATGGATACCCCGTTCTAAACCAGCAGCTTCAAAATCACGACCCCGTTGGGCGGCACATACCCGTATAGGTAATGTATGGGAGTGCCCCCCCCGGGACTGGTAGTCACTGGCAGACAGGTATGCAGCTTGCAAGGGAAAATGTGCTTTCTTATTGAATGCCACTTCTATCATAGGAATACTTCTTTCACCAGTAATAATTATACTATTACTGTGGCCTTGTAGTGGTTTAATACCCGGAAAAGAACCAAGAATTTTAATATTCAATAAGTAATAGAGGAAAACAACATGCGTTTTTTATTTGATTTTTTAGTTAATTTTGTAGCATTTTTTTTTCCTTCTAGCCGTTTAAACTGTTCATTTTATCACTTTTGCTTGTTGTCAATTTTGTACGGAAATAAATTAAGTCTTATTGAATTTACAGACATTAATGACTGTGTAAATCACACTTGTCAAAACGGTGGTTCTTGTGTGGATGGCATTACCAATTTCACGTGTAACTGCCTTAAAGGGTATACTGGGAGTCATTGCCAGACAGGTATGCTGCTTTGAAGGAATTTTTCATTGAATACCAATTTAACCATTAGAATAATTGAAACAACTTGATTTGCACTTCTAAAAGATCACGTACCTTTTACATTATACATCTATATTTTTGGCAGACATTGACAACTGCGTTAATCACACATGTTTGAACGGTGGGTCGTGTGTAGATGATGTAAACAACTACACGTGCAGATGTGTTGGAGGATTTAAAGGAGATCGCTGCGAGAAAACTAAGATTTTTTGGAATTTCAATGACATTAACTAATTTTTTTTCATTTTCCATAAGGACAATAAGGAAAGTTATATAGGAACACTGCAAGAAACGTTCGATGAGAAATGTTATAACTGAATACTCCTGGAGTTATTAATACCTTTACACTCAAGTCGGGGTGGAGGTAGAACTTGCATAACTACACTGATAAAAAGTTGATGATTTTCGTTAAATGTGATTTTGTTTTCAAAAAACACCATGGCTTCAACAGTTTCACGTGTAACTGGCTTAAAGGGTATACTAAGAGTCATTGCCAGACAGGCTTGCCGTTTTGAAGGAAGAATTGGACTTTCTTATTGAATGCCAATTTAACCATTAAAATACTTGAAACAATTTGACTTGCACTTCTAAAAGATCACTTTCGTTATAAATCATGCTTCTATGTTTTTGGCAGACATTAACGACTGTGTTAATCACACATGTTTGAACGGTGGGTCGTGTGTAGATGAGGTAAACAATGACACGTGCAGATGCGTTCCAGGATTTAAAGGAGATCGCTGCGAGAAAAGTAAGATTTTATGGAATTTTGACATTGAATACCTTTTTCATTCATTTTAAATGAGGACAATAAGGAAAGTTACATAAGAACTCTGCAAGAAACGTTCGATGAGAAATATTATAACTAAATACTCTTGCACTTACACCTTTTCACTCCAGTTCGAGTGGAGGGAAATCTTAGATAACTGGACTGATAAAAAGTTGATGATTTCCCTTGAAAGTGATCATTTTGTTTACAAACGAGAAATTTGCTTTACATAAGAATAAACCATTAGACACATCATAAGGCTTTTCTTCTGTTATCAATAATGATATTGTTATTTGTATTTTGTATTTGTATTTTATTTTTTACTCCATCCTATAATACATTACCTGTACAATAATACAATAGTTGTACAATATTAATAATACATTAGTTGTACAATATCAATTGGTACAAAGTTGCTTAAGGTGACTCGACCCAGTTTTTTTGGGGGGGTACCATCCTACTTTGAAGCTCTCTGGTATCCCCACCTTTACTTTTATCGTAAGTCTAACACATATAATGGATAACATATGCATCAATCTGCAATATAACATAAAATTTTTGGCGATCGGAGTAAATGTCACGTGGTTATAATGCCACGCCCCTTTGAGGTCTGAGTCGAAAATCGCCTGTTGCCGGCATTTTTTTGTGAAAATCTCTCGGCTACACATAGTGCGCATTAGTGCCTTGGGCTGAACAGAGTTTCACCAAAATCGCAAAGACCCAATTCGAGAAATTCAGCGGTTTCCAAATTTAGGTCATAATTTATGCGAAAATGATAAGCAAACTTTACAGGGATTATATATAATAAACTATGAGATTCATCTCCTTATTTTGGGCATCGTTATAAGAGATGGGTCCTTGCAAGTCAGCAAAACGCTTTAGGGCCTTGTAAATGCGCGCGATTTCGAGCAAAGCAAACATATAGAAATTATAGTTTTCGCTATTTGTTGACGTTTGTCAGCGTTTGAGAGTCCTTCTCACGAAAAAAGCATTTTCTTAAAAATTCGTAGTTTTTTTTCCTTCAAATTTTTTCAGGGCCACAATTGATTAACTAACTACCCGGACTCTGAATTTCATGGTCATTGAAAAACTGTGACATTATCTTCTATAAGCCCAAACTTGAGTAAACATTGAAGATTTTTAGCGTTTTGGCTGAGTTTGTGCTTTGGGAGTTGTCTATTGTTTCTAGTCTGTCATTATACAGCATTCTTGTTCAGCACGCGTGCAATGACCACGCTTGGCTGACTTCCGAATGCTCACCGAGATATTCCCGTCACGAGTTTATTTAATTATTGGCTTGCATTAAACCTATGAAAAAATGATATTTTTGTAATAGTAAGTAGACTTAGTGTGTAGCACTTCTTGATTTTTTTGCAAAGACACAAGAAGCACGAGAATTGATTAAAAATTGTTAGTTAAACCTCCATGTATCACGCGATGGCCTGTCTCACTGTACCAAATTTATGATATCTCGGTGAGCATTCGGAAGTCAGCCAAGCGCGGTCATTACACGCGTGCTGAACAAGAATGCTGTATAATGACAGACTAGAAACAATAGACAACTCCCAAAGCACAAACTCAGCCAAAACGCTAAAAATCTTCAATGTTTACTCAAGTTTGGGCTTATAGAAGATAATGTCACAGTTTTTCAATGACCATGAAATTCAGAGTCCGGGTAGTTAGTTAATCAATTGTGGCCCTGAAAAAATTTGAAGGAAAAAAAACTACGAATTTTTAAGAAAATGCTTTTTTCGTGAGAAGGACTCTCAAACGCTGACAAACGTCAACAAATAGCGAAAACTATAATTTCTATATGTTTGCTTTGCTCGAAATCGCGCGCATTTACAAGGCCCTAAAGCGTTTTGCTGACTTGCAAGGACCCATCTCTTATAACGATGCCCAAAATAAAGGGAAGAATCTCTTGGTTTATTAGATATAATCCGTGTAAAGTTTGCTTATCATTTTCGCATAAATTATGATCTAAATTTGGAAACCGCTGAATTTCTCGAATTGGGTCTTTGCGATTTTGGTGAAACTCTGTTCAGCCCAAGGCACTAATGCGCACTATGTGTAGCCGAGAGATTTTCACAAAAAAATGCCGGCAACAGGCGATTTTCGACTCAGACCTCAAAGGGGCGTGGCATTATAACCACGTGACATTTACTCCGATCGCCAAAAATTTTATGTTATACTGCAGATTGATGCATATGTTATCCATTATATGTGTTAGACTTACGATAAAAGTAAAGGTGGGGATACCAGAGAGCTTCAAAGTAGGATGGTACCCCCCCAAAAAAACTGGGTCGAGTCACCTTAAACTACGTGTACATAATAATGATAATAAAGGAAGAAAATTAGAATGGAGAAGGGCACTTTATGGTAAAACTAATCAAGATCGACTTTATTCTTATGTAGTTTTGTTATTCTTTAAAACACAAACACGCACGCACGCACGCACACACACACTTTCTTTGACATGTTCAAATAAAAGACAACAGGAACTCTTACACAGGAACTCTTATACGAAAAAAAAACTAAAGTATTTAAAGACACAAAAGACACAAAAGGGCAACGCAAACTACAGCTTCAAAAAACGTGGCCATCATCATCGCTGACCACTGACCGCTTATTGTTGTCTTGTTGTAGTTAACTACCCGGAAAAGAACAAAGAATTTTAATATTCAATAACAAATAGAGGAAAACAAGATGTGTTCTTTGTTTGATTTTGTTAGCAATTTCATGGCATTCTTTTTTCATGGTAGCCGTTCAAACTGTTTTTTTTTTTTATATCACTCTTGCTTGTTGTCATGTTTGTTAAGAAAATAATGATGATAATAATAATAATAATAATAATAATAATAAACTTTATTTATTTGTCAGGATATTTAGTTTACAAGGTAATTGGGGACACAACGAAAAGAAACACAGGAATAAAATGCTCACGGTTATAAATATAGTGGTGTAAATCAGATCTATAAAATGTATGATAAGAATGTATCGATATAGATAAGAATACAAGCACTAATAAGAAATTAAGAGTGGCATAAATAGCAATTCTGACAGTTAGAATTATCAACCAGTTCCACTATGTTTCGTTTTTTTAATTCTAGATCTAAACTTTGTTAAATATGAGATAACCTCATGACGGGCTTTGCTCACCAAAAAAAATTATGCAAATTAGGCTAAGGGTAGATTGAATCTACCCATGGCTTATGATTAACTGAAACGGGAGATCACAATTCGCGCCTTCATACGACTGAGGTGTTACTTTGGAATCCTCGGTAATTACTTTTTTCGCACTTGCCGGCATCCAAAATCACCCGGCGTGGGAATCACGAGTCGTGTAAATAAGTCATTTCTTGACATAATAAAAAGGTTTTCCAGATACGGGCGCGCATTTGTTGGCTTTACTCGCGTGGAGACACACGTCAACTGTTACTTCTCACGCGAAATAGTATTCAAGGCATGGCTCTACTGTAAAAAAACTCCGCTCTTTATTGATCGCACAACCATAATTATAGAAGGCGATAGCAAGAGAAATAACTATCACTCGAATGGGATAATCGAAGACCAAGAACCAAACCTTAACGAGAGCGGGGTTTATATCTGTTACTAAAGAGAAATTGAAAATGAAACATAAACCCTTTGCCGACTTAGAAAATATAACGAGAAGCTAAGGTTTACCACCCGAGAAACATTTTAATGACCGCCTAAATCTATATATTCTTACGGGAGGAATGAAATTATTTGCAATTATGTCGATCGAACAGTATACTATCTTCTGTCTATCACTGTGTAGTCGGCAGGAACATTACACAAAACGGCGTCAGCAACGAGGTTCGATGTGATAAATTAAATACCTTTACTTACCTGTGATAAATTAATGTTTACTCAATGAGAATGATTTAATCCCAGAGAAACTACGATTCCCGAAACAGGAACATTTGGAATTCTTGGACATCAGTGACTACAACCGACTTATAACAGCTTCATTTTAATAGCGACTTGAGTTGACTTGATTCTATAATAATAAACCGTGAGATCTAACGCAAAGCTCACAGGGCGCGGCGAAGGGAAGGCAACCAGAGGGTTTGAAGTAATCTCGGGAAGTTAACCCTAAGATTCTATTTTGCTAAAAGTAATGCTTTGATTTATTTAACGTACGATAATTGACTCGGTTGTGTTTTACAAACACACTTTTTTTTGCAACCCAAGCTTCTTAATTAAGCCAGAGAAGGGAATTTTTTGTCGTCGATTTTCATTGACAAAATCATTTGTAAGAACTAATAGACATATGAGTGTTATAACTTTTCATTTGACGTTTTACAGTACGGATAGCTCGGCAACAAGCGGCAAGATAATTTTTGTTTTTACATACATATAATTATTTGTTATCATGATTTTGGTTAAAACAATTTTGTCACAGTGTGTCGCTGAAAGTTTATCTCATTACCCAAGCAATAATTGTAACTAAAGTAAATTCTATGTGAATTTCTGAAAGAAAACTAAAGCAAATCAGTGTACACTCCATCACCTGCTGCAAATTATAGCCCTGTGTCAAAGAAAAATAGTTTTAAATCACTCAATAATGATGTTGATAATAATAGCAATAAACAATAATAATAATAATCCGAAACAGAACCAGTTAGTACAAAATGAAAATGATGAAAATTAGGTCCTGTCATCAGGTAACAACCGTCCACAAATGAACTGACTACCCAAGAGAAACAGAACCAGTTAGTACAAAATGAAAACTGTGATGAAAATTAGGTTCTGTCATCAGATAACAACAGCCCATAAATGAGCTGACTACCCAAGAGAAACAGAACCAGTAAGTACAAAATGAAAACTGTGATGAAAATTAGGTTCTGTCATCAGATAACAACAGTCCACAAATGAACTGACTACCCAAGAGAAACAGAACCAGTTAGTACAAAATGAAAATGATGAAAATTAGGTCCTGCCATCAGATAACAACAGTCCGTAAATGAACTGACTACCCAAGAGAAACAGAACCAGTTAGTACAAAATGAAAACTGTGATGAAAATTAGGTCCTGTCATCAGATAACAACAGCCCATAAATGAACTGACTACCCAAAAGAAACAGAACCAGTTAGTACAAAATGAAAATGATGAAAATTAGGTCCTGTCATCAGATAACAACAGTCCGCAAATGAACTGACTACCCAAGAGAAACAGAACCAGTTAGTACAAAATGAAAACTGTGATGAAAATTAGGTCCTGTCATCAGATAACAACAGCCCATAAATGAACTGACTACCCAAGAGAAACAGAACCAGTTAGTACAAAATGAAAACTGTGATGAAAATTAGGTCTTGTCATCAGACTACCCAAGAGAAACAGTACCAGTTAGTTTAAACTAATGATAAAAATTAGGTTTTGTCATCAGATAACAACAGCCCATAAATGAACTGACCACCCAAGAGAAACAAAACCAGTTAGTACAAAATAATTATGATAAAAATAAGATTTTGCCATTAGATAACAAAAGCCCATAAATAAACTGACTACCGAAGAGACACAGAATAATAAAGCTAAATGTTTTCTTTAAATTGAAGTGACCAGAAAACAGAAATACCTCACTGTATTGGGAATAATTTGACTAAACACAAACTTACCTCAAGTCTAATATCACTAATATGTAACTTAAGTCCGTAACAGAATTTACAAGGCCATCCGGTGGAATGATATTCTGGCGAAGAAGATCAGTGATCAAACGAACGTGGAAGCGACGTACACAGTAGCTGGCATCATGTTGAATTCCACTTCGGCATAGGCCGATTTGGCGGGTTCAAGTTCCCGCGTTGCCACGTCTTTCGTCAGGAAATCTCCTAAATTTTTCATTTTTGGAGAAACCCGTCGGCCGGACTCCACATATTTCTTTTTTGAGTGCATGCCAATGCTTTTGGGGGTTGTAACCCTCAACAGACTCGAAATGGGAAACGAAGACTCATACCGTCGACGGTCGCCTTCACTTCAAATGGTTTCGAAATCAAAACCACAGCGCTTTTGAACTTTGAAAGTCTAAGGTAGAATATTAATTAATTAGTAAGAATTTAACTCGGTTACATCGCATGATCGCTGCCTGACCCTCAAAAACAAAAAAAATCGTACATGTACGCTGCCGTCCATTCATTTGAGCGGCACTGGAAACAAGTTTTTGCGGCACTTTGTCACACATTTCCACATGAAGTAGGGGTCGCCCCTTCAAAAATTTTCTCAAAGTGACAAAGGAAATATAAAATGCTTTAAGGTAATGTCTTTTAAGCCTGGCGTGCCCCGTCCAAATCACCGGCAGTCCGATCTGGATTTGTTTATCATGTAAATCACTTTCTACGGGTAGATGACGCGAGCTTTTATTTTTAAGATACATTTCGAATGATCAAAATCTTTTTCATTTTAAACAGAAAGGTCACGCCGCAATAAAACGGTTGCGTGGGATGCTGGCTCCTCGCCTCGCCTCGCGCTCAAATGACGCGTCTCTCGCGGATACTTGGTGTCTGGTTTACTTATTATGTTCCGGTCTTAATTAATTTTATGACACCAAGCAAACACCTTTCTATCGCGTACCAGGGCATCAATTTCCGGCGCCTGCTGAGATTTTTTTTCTTGAGCAAAGCTCCTCATTTCTTTCGGGAGTTTAGACCATAGGTATCGTTCGAAATATCTGATCGAATGTTTACCATTCCTAACAGTGTTGAAATTCGGGATATTATTCTGAGTTTAAATGGTACTTGAGGAACTTAGTTACAAATACGTTATTCAAATATGTACGTAATAGACCCATATGATATTTGAACATAGTTATTGAAATATTCTGCAGTCTCCTATTATGAAGTGTGCTGAGATTGGATTTCTTTAACAGTTCATCATTAGTAAACAAGTTACTGTTAAACACAATACGGAGCGCTCTTTCCTGAAGCTTTTCTAATTTTCTAATTAATTGAGTCATATTGAATTTGCAGACATTAATGACTGTGAAAATCACACTTGTCAAAACGGTGGCTCTTGCGTGGATGGCATCAACAATTTCACGTGTAACTGCCTTAAAGGGTATACTGGGAGTCATTGCCAGACAGGTATGCAGCTTTGAAGCAAAAATTTGGCTTTCTCAATGAATGCAATTTCAGTTAACCATTAATACTTGAAACAGTTTGACTTGCACTTTTAAAAGATCACTTACGTTATAAATTGTACTTCTATGTGTTTGTCAGACATTGACGACTGTGTTAATCACACATGTTTCAACGGTGGGTCGTGTGTAGATGGTGTAAACAATTACACTTGCAGATGTGTTGCAGGATTTAAAGGAGATCGCTGCGAGAAAAGTAAGACGGGTGGAATTTCATTGATATTAAATAAATATTTGATGTCTTTTCGGTGAGTAGATTTAAAAAAAAGCACTTAAAAACTATATAAGGAGAGTCGACAAGAAATGTTATTAGTGATGGAGGAAATTACTAATATATTCGTTACCTTTCCGATTCGCTACTTCTTTATGTAAACTAGATTTCTACAGTATCTTTAATTATTCTTTCAACGTGCAATGTATTAGCTTCTTGTAAATTTGCATACCGTGCCTGTGTAGTTCATGCAATGAACAAAACATAATGCAAAAGTCAGGTTTACAATAAAGCACCACCAAAATCTCGGTTTAAAAAAAAATATGGGCTATTCTGCTTTGGCCAATAGACTAAATAACCAAGGGGTTACATCATAGACAGACATTAGAAGGTAGAACTACGACATCGGCTTTGAAGGTAATATTTTTCTCCTAATCATTTTATTTTTCTAGAATTTATTTCTTATACTTAAAAAGTATCTAAAATCTTATGCTTAAATGGTATCCAAAATTAAGTAATACCCTTTATAATGTATAATTTAAATTATACACATTGTAATTTGAAAACTACTTATGTAATGACCTCTGGGTTGAAACCTTCCCCGACCATTCACATTATAACATTAGAAATATTAATGTTAACTAGGGGTACCTTCCAGCAAGTGCAAACGAGGTGAATTCGTTTATCTTTTGTGGAATGTGCCTATTTAGATCTTTGCGATGTTTTTTTTCATAATTTTAGAGGTTTAAAATGGATTCTGCAAAAGAAAAGGATGGCACCCAGGTTCAAAGCAACAACTTTGGCACATTCTAGCCTTTCACTTATATTAGACAATAACAACATGGCTTGAAGCTTTGTTGGTAAATATTAGCAAGTTAGCAATTATGTTTCTTGGAAAATTCCATTGTATCAAAACTATAAACGTTAGAAATTTATTTTAAATGAGGCCCTTGACTGCTGAAATTAAAAATAATAATTAAATTCCGAGAAACAGCGTCATCAGGGATAAGAAAAATATTTTGCGTGGTAATATAAACCAGAAAAAATTGGTGTAAAGTAAAATGTGTAAAATGCGCAACAATGAGGCGGAATGTATCAGAGGTATAATAATATAGATTTAAATAAATACAAAGATCCAATGAGCGAGTGTCACAGGACAAAGCGTCTCTTAAAAGGCATAATGATAGTCTTCAAAACAAAAGGTCCGCAAATTCGTTGCATTTCTCACGGGAGTTTTGGGCTGTCTCAATGTAAATCGAGCAGCCAAAAAACATGCTGGTTGACAAAATCTCTCGAAAGACATAAATAAATTAAAAAAAGGTCCGCAAATACGTTGCATTCCTCACGAGATGTGAGGACTGGCTCAGTGTAAATCGACCTGGGAAGAACATGCTGGTTCTGATAAAAGTTTTGAGAATATAACCCCATGCCTTGATCAACCACCGCTTAAAATTCAATTCACAAAGGAAAACAGCACACTGAAAACCCTGGTTCTGAGTCGAGAAGCGAACACGCTACCTCAATGTAAATCAAGCTGCAAAAAACAAGCTGGTTCTGACAAAAATTTGAGCGTAAAAGCTGCTTTAAACGCAATTTATAAAGCAAACCAGAGCACTAATTGCCCTTTAAAACTAGAAGTCGTATTAAATCTTGCTCACCTGTTAGGTCCTCTTGAACAGACAACGAACAGCTGCTTCGGACCACGAGTACTAAATACAAGACCATGACATCACTACCCAAATATGGTGTCTTAATTACACCCAAATATGGTCAAAACTGCAAATTTTAGAGGGTTACGCAGAATTTGAGAGTTTTGGCCTACATTTCGCGACGTTATAATTCTGCCGCCTAGGCAACGTCGCTTGTTAGCTCGGTGGTAATAAATAATTGTTAAAAACAGCGAAACTAACAGGGAAAAAAATTCTATAAAAAATTTCAGCAAGCAAAATGTTCTTTTCACTTGATTTTCTTCCTCCTTTTATATTATTGCTTTTTGTTGTAGTTGTTCAAACTGCCGTTGTTACATTTATGTTTTTAGTTGTTGCTTAGTATTATATCAAAATCAGTTAAAACACCTTTGATTTTTTTTAACAGACATTAATGACTGTGTAAATCACACTTGTCAAAACGGTGGTTCTTGCGTGGATGGCATCAACAATTTCACGTGTAACTGCCTTAAGGGGTTTACTGGAAGTTACTGCCAGACAGGTATGCCGCTCTGAAGCAAAAAATTGCGTTTCTCATTAAATACAAATGTAACCATTAGAATACTTGAAACGCTTTGATTTGCATTTCTACAAGGTCACGTACGTTATAAATTATACTTCTATGTTTTTGTCAGACATCGACGACTGTGTTAATCACCCATGTTTGAACGGTGGGTCGTGTATAGATGATGTAAACAATTACACGTGCAGATGTGTTGCAGGATTTAAAGGAGATCACTGTGAGACGAGTAAGATTTTTTGCAATTTCATTAACACTAAATATTTTTAATGCACGTCCAGTAAGGACAATAAGGATGTTTACTGAAACACTCTATAAGAAAAGTTTGAGGTGAAATGTTTTTGAATATTGAGGTTTTAGATCTTTTCACTTATTAAGTCAGAATGGAGGGAGAACTTAGATAACTGAACAGTAAAATTAAAGGAGATATTTGCTTTATATAACTTTTAACCAATAGACACATCATGAGGATATCGATAATAATTATAAATAATAACGAAGATAGTACGCGCACTCTGATTGGCCGAGAGGCGTGTTTGCATGAGCGTATGTAAACATGGTTGTGACGTCAAGATGTTTTGCTTTTCGTGCGCTAATCACGCAAACACGAATTTGAAAAAGGTTTTGAGATGAAAACGTCGACAAGTTTACTTTATTTATCCATTTCCTCGTCGGTTGAAACTTGAAAAATCTTTAGAAACATGCTGCGTCAATTTTTTTTCGCTTGAGCTGACGTTTTAAGCGAGAAAAACCCGTATTTTGGGAAGCATCTTTTTTGCAAAACAAAGATTGGTTACGCTTACAAGCTTCGTGTAAAAGACTTCGTCTCGGGTTTGCATAACTGTCTCGAATTCTCCAAACCCCTTTCGTGTTTATGCAAACCGTGCAGGTGTAGTTTATGCAATGAACAAGACATAATGCAAAAGTCGGGTTTATATGAGGCGCCACCCAAAAGCTAGTTTTAAGAATCATATGGTATTTTCCGCTTTGGCCAAAAGACTGAATCCCCAAGAACTTGCATCATAGACTGACATTAGAAGATAGGGGTATTAAAGTTAATATTTTTCTTATAAATGTCTTGATTTTTCTAGGATTTATTTCTTATACTTAATTAATAACAAACATAGACAAAAAATGACTATGTCAATCACACTTGTCATAACGGTGGTTCTTGTGTGGATGGTATCATCAACTTCACGTGTAACTGCCTTATGGGGTACACTGGGAGTCACTGCCAGACAGGAATGTTGCTTTGAAGCAAAATTTGACTTCACCATTAAGTAGAATTTTTAACCACATAGAAAGAATAATCAAGAATGTACTTAAATAAATACCTTGTTTTATTAGAAATGTCAACTTTTTTAAAGTTAAGCCTTTTCTCCAAAAGGTATCACGTTGTCTGCCGCTAAATAGTCAAATACATTATACACATGGTTTAATTAACAATTATTAACGTCAGGCTCAGTTAATATTGTTGAATAATCCCCGAGGCGAACTTGAGGGGATTATTCAACAATATTAACTGAGCCTAAGGTGAATAATTGTTTTAGTCTCTACACACGAAGTGATCTCAGAAGAATCGGAAAGGAAACCATTATAAAAACGATTAGTTTGATTGACGGGTTTGATTGGTTCATGTAGCCATAAACAGTAGATACGCAAAACTTAGATCTCTACAGCACATGTATATAACCTAATAAAAATCTTTTATTAATGCGCATAGATCTTTTTGTTAATGACTAACTTAATACAGGCAGTGAAACATTCTTTTTTTAAAATTTAGTTTATAACCTTGACACTTAAAGGGCTAAACGCTATTAAGAATTATTAAGCCACATACACTCTAAAACCATACAATTAAGAACTTCGACTAGTAGATCAATTCCTGTGAAAAAATAAAAGCTCGCCCTGTAAGTAAGATAGGATTTGTGAAGGTTTTTAATAAATCATTTATCAAAATTGATTATTGCAATAATCTCTCACTGATAGTGATGCCTTCAGGCACTTTCATTTGTCAAAAAAGAAAAGGATTGAAAGGCATTTGAAAGTGATCCAGTTAAAACAGTGCAGGGTTGTTTCAGATTTCTTTCTTCCCAAAGCAAACCTGTCATTACATGAACTCTTCAAAACAATATACTGTCAGTTATGTTATGAGGCTTTTATTCAGAGAGGAAGATATTTTTATTGCATCGCGCACAAAATGTGTACATAAACTTGTGTACATAAAGTTCTATGATGCTAATTTTCTTTACATGGACTGTTATGTGTCGAGCCATTTTCCTAACCTCACCAGAAGTGACTGAAGTCAAATTATAGAGAGATTCTTTGGGGGTTGAGGATGCTGATTTGATAGATTATTTATCAGTGTCACCTTGGTTTAAGATATAGCTGAAGAGTGCTATGCTTTGGTAAAGTGTACCAACTATTAAATTTAAGGACTCTTGTATTCATTTTGGCATTCATCTTCCTGGATGTGATGGTTTGCTTCTTTCAGTTACCAAATTCAATAAATAATTCTTTCCACAGGAGGTATTTCTCTGTGGTCTTTGTAATATTAACTCTAAAGCCTGGACAAAACTTACAATGAGAGAATGACTGGACTACTGGCAATGCCGATAACGGACTGTTTAACTGAGATAATAGTCAGACGAAAATGCACCAATGACAATACTAGTCTTCATAGCCAATAACATCACAGCTTAGCTGACAAATGACAATTAACATCGCCACTTAATTGACCAGTCAGGTCAATAACCAGAGTTTACACCATCAGCTGATGTGATACAACTCATTTTGACTATGAAGATGACTACCGCACAGGTTGTCGAAATGTCAGTCACTGTCAAGAACAACAGTCCTATTCAGGACTGCGTTAACCCGCACAATCATACTCAACCTACTATATAATATTTAAGAAATCTGCACATCCACATATCCACTTCGATATATTTTATATCATTGTCTACTTGTAGTTTCTGAAGCCATTGAAGATAGAAAAGCATTTACCACTAAATTTCAATATCTAACTGCCCATGCCCCCCTTCAGCCTCGATTATGAGAGCTCGGCGTTTACAAGAAGCGTTTTCAAGAAGTATACTGCCGTTTTTAAATCAGGAGAACGCTTCGAGCAGCCAAAGATGAAAGACACTTGCTAAGGATTGTTAACGACTGTTTATCATTGTCTGTTCCTGAGACCCCATCATAGCTGGATTCGTGGACATATTTTTGAGATTTAAAACCCGAAAATGAAGGAGGCAATTTGTTTTCTTTCGACGCTACCATCGATGGGTGAGTGGAGCCACAGTTGTTGTGATGTCGGAAACTGTCAGTATTAATATAATATTTGCTTTTTCTCAGCGCTGGAGTTTTCATTATTTTATTTGGCCTACTGCAAGATTCATCGTAGCTCTTCTTCGTCGGCTTCATCGTAGTCGTTAAGGAAATTTATACCTCGGTGGCCTGTCACACTGACGATATGTTCTGAACTTACAATCTTTGCTTTCTTCAGCTGACTGTTGTTTTTCTTGCACAATGATTCGTAAACTTTTTTGTCACTTTCTTTAAGGCTAGTACCAGCTACGGATACTTTTCATTATGTGAGTTGTGGTATTTTCGCCTATTGGTTTAGTTTGGACCAGAAGTTTAAATTTTCGGTTTCGTTTGCTACTGAGGTAGAAAAAAAAACAGACCATCACATGGATTTTTTAATAGAGGTCTTCGCTCCACAAAAGACTCAAAGAGAGCAACAAATAACGTACATGACTTGAAATCCCTGTTGTTATCATTGAATAATCCTTGTTCATTTAAATGCCTGAGGAGTGTAGCTGTCATGGTTTGCGTGTGGTTGCAACCGTTTTTGTTCTTTCTTTTTTTTTACTTTAGCGTAGTCTGTTATGAGTAGCTTGTTTTTTAGTTTCTCTGGCTCATTTTCCTCGATTTTGTGGACAGTATTTTTCTCTTAGCAACGCATTTTCAATACATTTAGCGAGAAAGACGTACTTTTTACCGTGTTCGGGTTTTTTTGGAATATTTTTTTTAACTTTTCTATTGTTGTTTTGCTTACAAAATTGAATCCCGTCGTCGTCTGCTGAAAACCATGGCCATTTTCTTGAATCTGTGTTGTTAAAACAGCTCTCATCTGATTGGTTCTTGTTGGTTTCTTTTGTGTTTTCAGCCAATCAGGAAGCATTTGTAATTTGCACTCGTGTTACAAGTTTGCACTCGTGTTACACATTTTGCACTCGTGTTACAGAAGAGCTGCATTCCTTTCTCAGCCAATCAGAATCGAGTAATTTTTTCGTGTATATTATTAGCTCTCTAAACAATACTTCTTTCGGGTGTATTTTTCATACAGATAGCAAAAAATCAGATTTTATTCGTAAATAATAAACTGAAAATCGACATGTTAAGCAAAAAACAACAAATTGCGAGGTTATCGATCTCATTTCACAGCTAATGTACATGCTTGCATGCAGTCACATGCCATAAGCATAAAAAAAACGAAAAATTATTTTGATCCTTTCGCTTAACAAGAAAAAGTGTCTACTCTTCAACTAATAGCCACTCAAGAGTGAAAAACAAAAGAACTGACCTTAAACTTTCCATTTTCTTGACGTCAATGCAATGCATCCTACCCAGAATTTGACCGTATGTAGCAATCCAACACCAGGCAAGTGATCGATCATCCTTAATCCTAATACAGGTGTACACTGCAACTACAATAACTGTTGAGTAAACCAGTGCATTCGAAGTTGACAAACTCTATTCCCAAGAAACTCTTCCTGACACTGAAAACACATCGAAGTCCGGCTGACGATTTAAACTGAAACACCCGCTCTGTACTATGCCACCGCTCCTTGTAATTTGGAATTAAGAACCGATAAGACAAATTTCGGACTATCACGGATTGCCCCGATTTTCAAGTGGAAGATAACTATCCTTTCCCATGAAGAAATATCACATTTATTTGGACCAATTCAATTTTTCCTTGACATTAAGACGTGATATCACTGGCAGCCCAAACTCACGTGACGAGGTGACGCGTGACCTTTCTGCTGGACGCGTCGATGTCGCGTTACAGGCGACTGTTGAAAGTAAGAGACTTTGTATGAGAAATAAAATACTCAGATCTTCGAACGCTTAATGACTTCGTCTTATGAAGGGAGTAACAGTGGATATGCAACAAAGCCAAAAAAACCTGTAAAAAGACAAGCAGACATCGAAATACGGTGGAGTATATCGCGAGTAAATCTTTTTAATTTATTTCATTGAAGGAAAAATTAGATTTAACGCTATTTAGCCTTCGCAGATCTCAGCATTTTATTTATCATACAAAGTCTCTTATTTTCAACGGTCGCGCGCCTGTAACGCGACACCGACGCGTCCAGCAGAAAGGTCACGCGTCACCTTTGGTAAGTAAATTACTTTACACCCTTTCCTCGTAAGTGAGTTTGGTCTGCCTGTGGTGATATAGGTAAATCTTGCCCCCTGTAACGGAATCCGGATTCCGGAATCCGTGAGAGTTTTGCTTGTGGAATCCGGAATCCGGGAAAATTTTTTCTAGTGGAGTCGGGAATCCTGGACTTTGGAATCCGGAATACAGCTCAAGGAATCTGGAATCCTTTTAAAGATTGGAATCTATAATCTAAGTTCCTCTAAGTATCTGGAATCCAGAATCCAGAACTGTCTTGGATTCCCTTACATGGGGCGATCAATCTATTGGTAAGCCCATATTTCATCACTGTTTTATGAAGTATTGATATTTCGGAACACTGTTAATAGAAAGAGTTTGATAGCAATCTTCCTCTTCTCACCAGTGTACACAAAGTGGCTGTATTCGTCGACGGCTTCTGGCCCAACACAAAGTAATAACATTTTAACCTTCAGTTTGTCCACCTTATCATCTTTACCTTTTCCAACAAGGTAGATCTCAAATTGCATGGGCAATTTCCGCCAGTTCTCAGCAGCATTAGCTTCAAGTATCGGGGGATCGGCCATTCTTAAAACTTGCTAGGTCGTTATGAACACTAAGAAATGGGAAACAACAAGAAAAATGAAATGTTTGTCCCTTAAACCCACAGGTTCAAATGTTACAACTGTAAGGTATCATCGTACATACAGTTGTGTAGGTCACCACTGAAGCTTTGATCCGGTAGCAAAAGCTAGCATATCCCTTAAAGGCTAGCACTACCATATACGTAATCTCCTTTGATGGTCGTACCAACGGACTAGAAAAAAAAAAGTCAATTTTTTATCGCTCGTCCGCAAGCTGGATTTGTTTCTCTGTCGCCTTTATTTTAAATCTTAAATTTTAAATTTTAATGGTCGTGCTGGAAAATAGCCAAGAGACTGCCTAATGCCAACTGCGGTTTTTAATCCTATTAGGCTATATTCGCATTGGCAGGTTTTCGATCACCCGCCCAGCTGCCCTACCCAGCTTACAGGCTGGCGCGCAAGTATTGAAAAATCCAATCAAACCGGGCTGAATCTTGCTATTCTTCTCTTTCTTTTCCCTATGATAAGATATCAATATATAACTGTCTTCTTTTTTTCAATCACTATTCTTTTAAAAGTATTTTTGTTAATTTCATTTTATTATATGACTGAAAGGGGCCTTTGAATGATTTATCATTCGTGTGCAAATCATTTTAAGGAAGTATGGTACTCGACTCAGTTCTGAAACTAAATGTTGATGTTTAAGGTTGAAAGTGATGAGCCGATGATCAATTGAACTCCCTCTTCTACCTTGGCAACGACAAAAATATTTTAAAAGTAAAATGTAGTGTTAATTACTATCCTCAAGCAGTTAGTTTAATCATACTTCCACTACAAACAATTAAAGCAAGCAAGGCATGTTGACGTGTGTGGTGAGTCTGGAAGGCGAATCGCACCCTACACACTAACACTAACATTAAGCGCAATAAGTTACCAAAAGAAATGAAGCGTCATGTCGCTGTCGCTGTCGTCGGTTTGTATTTAGTGCCTAATTTGGGGTCTTGCGTACCACACGCTGAACGCAAGCAGAGGACCCCCGTCCAGGGTAGGTGTTTCGGCTAGACGAAGACAAAGATAGGTTTTCCCAGTGTGAAGGCGAGGGGAATTTTTGGTTTTTGCTCGCGAAATCGTAAGTCTTTTACTGCACTAGCTCACTGGTCCCTCTTTTTTTTCTTCACAGAATTAATCACTGCTGAAACTTCAACTTCAGAGAGTACCACGCCGCCGTCGACGCGGGAGGAAAATGTACCTCCACAAACTACAACAAAAGAAGTCTCTTTTGAACACAAGACAGGTTATTGCATTGATAATAATAACAATAATGATAATAAATTATTATTATTATAATCATCATAATTATTAATAAATGTTATCAGTATTCTCATACGAAATGGCTCTGCACCTGATAATACATGTACACGACTGCGAGTTTTTTGAACGGCTTCAAAATATCTGATATAGATCAACTCATTCCTGCGCTAATATTAGATTTGGGGTTATGTACGTTTGTGTGAGAAGCTGGACGTTGGCCGTTTCTTTATCAGATACAAAGACAATCATTAAACATTAATTTCTTTTGTTTTTTCATGAACTATTATTGAGTTCTGATTTTAATTTAAAAGGGTACTTTGAGTTTAAAGTTGATTAAATAATTAGGCTTATAATGGTACTGTTTCTTGTAACATCTAAGTTATGGTCAAAAATTATTATTTAAAAACAATTTTCAAATTAAGTAAAGCAAAAATGTGATAATTTACCGCAGACATTTCACATTATTTATAGCATCATGAGGGGGTATCAATTCAGACACCCCACCCCAACTCGAGGAAGAGCAAGTTTTCCCGCCCGTACAAAATAACTGAATCCAGGGCATCTTTATCAAAAACCGGTAATTGTAGACTCTTATTCGTATACGTTGTGGGTAAATTAATAACAGATTTTGGCAGAGGAAAATAACCAAGGATAAAATTTCTCCACGACATCTAAAAATGGTTTTTATCTTCTAAGACTTTGTAGACTGTTTTTTGTTGTTTTTGTTTTTAATAGAGTTCACATTTGAAATTCGTATCAACGAAGAGTGGGACAATCGATTGAAGGATGAAACCAGCGAAAGATTTAAGAGACTTTCAGCATTACTTAAGGAAGAGGTCTGTTTCAATTATATACAGGTGTAGAACTAACTCAAAAGCTGTCACAACTATGACGTGCGTGTGTGCGTGCGCATTGTTATGAACTCCGCAAGACGTCATTGAAAAAAGATCGATTGGTGATCTGGCTTTTTTTCACTGCCACATGTCAGTGGGAACGTCCTGTAAATTAACCGCCCTGGGCGCTTATTAAATTTTTGGACCTTGAGAGTGGGCGCTTATTCGAGGGGGGCGCTTATTCGAGGCTGGGCGCTTATTAAATTTTCACCATTTTCAGCAAGTAAAGTATGTTTATTTCGCAACAAAACAATAAATGCTAATAACAAAACGCGAAGAAGTAACAAAGCAAGGTGTCTGCAAAATACTCTGAAGAAAACTCCGTCCTCGGTGGTGTCTCTTATTAGAATTTATTCACTCAAGTGGGTGGGGTGGAGGTGAACGCTTATTTGAGTTTGATTGGGAGGGGGAGGGGTGGGCGCTTATTAACTTTTTCTGCCTTTAGGATGGGCGCTTATTCGAGGTGGGCGCTAATTCGAGGTTGGGCGCTTATTCGAATAAATACTAGTTAAACTATCTTCTAGAGTGGAAGCAACCTTCAATTACACCTATTTTTTTTCCTTTGCAGATTCTAAAGGTATATTCTGGGAACTCTGAACTAATAGAGGTTGAAATAGTTTCATTGAGGTAAGGCTTTTTATTGGAAATAATACTACTACTAATAATACACCGTTTTTTTCCTTGAGTTTTTTTCCTTGATTAAAACAATACATAGCGACCATAACGCTCGGAATGGAAATCATCAGTATTTTGAAAACAACTTTTTGAAGAACGTAATAATTACAGCCACCGTTGCCACAAGGATGCATATGGTTGAAATAGACTAATAATTATGACAGCTACTTCCCGCATATAACTAACTACGATTATAAAACATTTTTCATTTTTCAAAACGATTACATTTAAAAAAGAATAAGAAGAACAGGAAGAAGTGCAATAATAAGTATACAACCCAGACAAATGAAATCTTGATGGATGTCTTTGCAGGCCTGGTAGTATTATAGCAGATTTCCGGCTGAAATTTAACACAAGTGTTAGTGCCGATGAAGCTTTGGCTCCCTTAAAGGAAGAAGCGGCCAAAGGGAAGCTTGGGATCTTAGAGGTGGAACCAAATTCTCTGAAGCTAAGAAACACTGAAAAAGGTTAGGTTTTAGTACCTCTTGAGTCCTATGTATTGAACAAACAAACAAACAAACAAACTCCTCCCTAGAGAACTTTATTGATCTTGCATGGATTGAATGTCAACCGTACCTATGCTCTATGGGGAATAAAACATGTCAACCTACGTTGTCAAGGATTTTTGTCATGACTCGACGCCAGGCCAAACGAACGTCAACCCCTTCCATGAAAGCCATATAAAATTTAAGAAAAGCTGACATTATCTGTCGATAGTAACACTTAATTGGAACTTTTGTGGAAACTCCCAAGTGATATGTGGCGATGCAAAGCGAGAATTTTTTTTTTCTTGCTCCACATATTTTTTACACATCAAAGATTGCAGAAAAGGTTGTCTATTTAATCTAGCTTGCTAGAGTTTCAGAAGTTAAAGACTATCATTTTAATTTATAGATCTCTAAACTAGAAGCATAATAACGTTCTGTTGGGATGTTTGTCACTCACAACGGTTAAAGACAATTTAATCCTCTTAACAAATCCAAGAAGTTAATGAATGCTGAATATAGTCAAGTACGGTGCCCTTGGACAAAGAGGAGAATGCAAGGAGCCAAAAAAGTGTGCCCCCTTTTGATTTATTCACATTCTTTTGTGCAGATTTAATCCAATCAGAAGCCAGCTGGAAACTGTCCTCGACTTCTGATTGGTTAATGTCTACATGAAAGAATGTGAATTAATTAAAGGAGGCCTGTCACACTTTTGGGCTCCTTGCTGTAATATTATAATTAAAATAATAATTATCTTTTAAGAAAAAGAACACAAACAGCGGTGATTAACATATTCAATTGCAACTTACCAATTTTTATAAACTTCACGTTTTGTATGTTACTCAACATACATTTTCAAAAGTACCGTTACAATTTTGAAAACTATACTTGTATAATAGTGAAAATTAAAGAATGGGACCGAGATTAAACAAAAAACTTAACAATTAATCTATAAAAAGAACCAACTAATTAATAAAGCATCAGCTTCTCGCTACTGACGTTTACATTGAAAGCTGGCTTCAGTTCCTGTTAATGCAATGCTACTTTGATTTTACAGTGATAATCAGTTTTTCCCGAAGCTAAGATATCAAAATGATCCCACTTGATGCTGTGTCCGGTGGTGTTGACATAGTCAGCAACAGAGCTCTAAAGTGTGACGAAATAAAAAATTTAATTTGTGAAATTATGGGATTTGTCAGGATATTCTGAAAGAACAACACCCAACGTTTATATCCAAGTCAATTTACAAGGATTTGTATGGAGTCATCGGAGTATAACTGGGCTAATATCTCAGACACAATTTGCCCCGAAATGCTAAGTTTTGGCCAGTAGACGTCATGGGCGTTGTTCTTTCAGAACATCTTGACAAATCCCATAATTTCACAAATTCAATTTTTATGAAGTCGTCACTTTAGAACTCTATGGCTGATGTGCGGTCCCAGTCCCTTTCACTATTCTGTAAGTAATATATTTTTAATTCCTTTAACAGAAGAAAAACAAAAGGAAAAGGAGTCATCCAGTGAGACCAAACTGCCATTAATTATTGGTGTTTCTTGCGGTGTGTTTGTGGTCATCGCAGTTTTCACAATATGTCTTGTTTACGTGTTCAAATGGAAGCGAAGCACCCAATTTGGCAGCAACAACGGTGTTTGGAGTGACATGCCTGCCGATGAGTGCAACTCAAGACGTGAGAAATACGAACTGGAAGTCAAGTATTCGAAGGACAAAGAACTGATCTTGGTGGAAGAGAAAGGCATTTCTAACGAAGGGATGGATTAAACAAGCCTTTGATGGCTGAACTAAAGACTTACTTGACAATACCTATACTAAACTGAATACGTGCTAAGGAAGCTTGCATATTGTTTTGAAGCATATAAAAGCTGGGTGCTCGCTGATCTTGACTATTATCATATTACTAACTATAATGTTTTCTTCATAAGTTTAAAATAATAAGGTAAGAAACTCTCGTAAGTAATACAATTGACATAGTGAAAATCCCACTTAATAGCAGATCCCTCAAACACGTCACTTTATGTGCTTTTCATTTGAACAAAAAATAACAGAACAAAATTAAAAACCAACAAGTGTTTTGTATATCTGTTCAATAATTTTAAGTGTTTCGGTAAACCTTATAATGGTAAGGCTACTGACACCCTGAGCAGTTATACGGGAAGGCTCAATGCTGACATACTACCCTTAGCATTTCCCCCTCCCCCTTTCCTTTATGAGAGGAAGCCCTTTTGAACACCTTACATTGAAAAATGGTATCCCTTTCACATGCCTTGTTAAGAACACTGCATCTTTTTATATACAACCTTGAAATGTAGTTAATAAAGATATAGCCTGCGTAGCATGAGCTTGGAAGTAGTGGGCGCAAGAAAAAACGGGCGCGCGAGAAGGAGACACGCGTGTCTCCCTCTCGCGCGCCCGTTCTCTCTTGCGCCCACTACTTCCAAGCGCCTGTTACGCAGGCTATGAAGGATATAAACCTTGTTAATGACAGATTTCCGTACCCTTTCCCTTTCATATAATTCAACTTGTAAAATTCCCCCTCTTTTCTATGACGGTATCCTGTTTATTAAATAGATACCCATTCCGGGTGGAGCCTCTTCGTAATTTAAAGAGTACCCCCTCTCCCCCTTTGTGATACTCAGTAGTCAGCAGTCAAGATATCGAAAGCGATAATTATAACCTATTTCCAAACTACCTTTTGCCTCGCTTTTAAAATACATTCTGCAAGGATTATGTACCGGAAGATTGGGCCCCGTTCAAGACATCCATAAACTTATTCTAATCATTTTTCACAGTTCTTGGTTTGTTTGCGATCACATATAAGGAATGCCTGGCAATGTGACTTGTCATACACGGCTCGCACTGAACCCCCGAATAACAAGCTTTCTGTGACACAAAAATGTTCGAATTTAGAAAATATCTTTTTGAGCGACTCTCTTCGGGGTTTAAAGGACTTCCTTACGTGGGGGGATTAAATCTTCTGCTAAGAAATCGTAGCACTTCAGATGTAGTATCGCTTTCCTGTGCGCGAGTCCTTTCACATCCACTTATGACATAATATATAGATTTAGCCAAAGCTAAAAGGGAAGCTCTCGATAATATTTATAGTGTATTCAACAAAATATAAAATCGTATGATGCTAAGCGGCGAAGGCAACGCCGGAGAACTGTCAAAAAAGCAACTTTGCATGTGCAGCACACTTTTTTTTACTAACATTTCTTTGCCGTTGTTTTTCACAACTACTAGGTGAAACTTCCAGAAACTTCCTACAATGTAGTTACACGTTTTATGGAGGAACGGTCGTACGTGTTCTCGTTCACTTTTTTTCAATGCCGCTCATTTTCCCTTGCATTGGTGGCTGCTAGCTTTTCTCGTTTTCTCACCGCCGTTACAAAAGTTTCATGTTGTTCTTCCAACAACTCTAGCTCTAGAACTCTGTCGCTCTTTTTCTCGTTGAGCTTCGCTGGCCTGCCGCCTACATTTTCTTTTCCCCTGTCTTTCTCTTGCTCTATATTCCAAATTTGTGGACATGACAATTGTGACCCTCCACAGGATTTTAATGCTAAAGGTAAAAGCACGCGCACGACACGCTTTCACTTTAAAACAAAAGAATTTATTTTAACACGCTTTAGCACGCTTGCAATCTTGCCCCATTAGCAATTTCTTTTATTTCAGAGGACACACTTAAGACAATTAAGCGTGAGCAAGTCGAACAAAAGAGCGTGTTAAAGTTCAAACAAAAGCTCCGTGCGAAAAAGCACAACACGTTTTCAGTGTGCGCAAAAGCACGCAAGGCATGTTATCCATAAGCTAAGTAAATTTCCTCTACAAAAAGGAACCGTAAATGATTATGAAAGGCACCCTTTTTTGGTAACTATCGAGAAAGAAAAAGTTCTACCTCAGCGATCGCAGCGATAGTATCTGATCGAAAAAACGTTGCCGCTTGAAAAGTATAAACCGTGGACGGTGGGACCTACTGGATTTATGGGTAGAACTTTATTAGCAGTGCAAAATCAAAGTTTTTTCCAAAATTGTTTACTGACGAAGCTGTGCAAAGGTTATCCTAACTTTCCTTAATTTAAAACACATTTGCAATTTTCTCAGAAACAGTGATCTTTCGGACTTAAGTCACTTTCTCGACGATCGCTGCGATTTTTAGTTTACAGATTCTTGTTTTTTTCGTCCTGTGAAGAACGAGATATAGTACGCGTTTTCAGCGCTTGATTCGTCTTAGCATAGCGTAACGAGATATCTTCACATAAATTATGATTGATAGCGCTTCGTTCGTCAGGGGCACCTAACGGCGATTTCCTTCTAGATGCATCCTAGCATCTTAGGACAACTTTAGTCTTTTCGAAATTACAAGGGCTTCAGCATTATTTTCCCGAAAAATTTAGCTTCCAATTGAAAGTTTTAGGGAAGTGAGAATTTTATCGTATTTTCGGTTCCGAAAATTTTAGGATTCCTTTCTCTACGAAAAATAGCTTAACCTGGGGAGTGAAATGGAAAAAATTAAACTTCTGAAAATCGTAAGGAATTTATTAGAGAAGCTTCGAAAATTGTACATGCATGGAACGTTCATCTAGAAATGTTTAGCCTTCCTCAACCTATAGAAATTCTAGGGAGTTTTTGTTTCTCCGATTTAATTACCTTCGTTCGTCTCAGCATGGCTTAACGAAATATATTAAACTAATTTATTCAACTTCATTTCTCTGTGCATTACTGTTAATAAATATTCCGGTGGCATAACTATAATTTTCAGGCGACATAACTTCAGTGCCTCGCATGCGATACCAGGCCTCTTTGCGATTCTGGTCAACAGCCGACAGCCGGAGGAATTGGTTTACACTGATCTCGCGTTAATTCCTAGCCTGTTCCAGGCTCCGAGATGGTGGTGGAAAGTCGTTCAGTAATAAGAAAGGCGAAAACGCGCGGGGGCTGGGGAGAGACACCACCCCCCACCGCCCCCTTTCCCAAGTTGTGCGCGTCTTATTTTCGCTTTGCTCGTTTTAATACGTTTCCACTATACTATCTGAGAGCCTGGCACAGGCTAGTTAATTCCAGGCTAGACGACCATTAAGTGGCGATTTTCAAATGGCTACGGTTACGATCAAAATCCAAAACAGTCTCCACTGGTATATTTGATTCCCTTTGGCCAGTTATTAATGCTGATTAAATCCGCTGAAAACCCAAGCCATTTTTTATCATCTTAGCAGTTTTAGTAATCAAGCGTGTTCAGCGTGTCTTACCCAAATTGCACGCTAAGCGTGCTATAATTCGCAGACCTGCCGTGACATATGTCACGCTACAAAAAACAAAAGGTCTAGCGTGTTAAATTTACCAAAACAAAGGCAAGTGTGTCCGTCTTCATTTTTTCAATTTAATATGCGCATATCCGTGGTCTACGGCACGCTACGCGTGTCGTGCAAGCGTGTCGTGAGCGTGCTTTCACCTTTAGCATCAAATTCCTGTGGACGGTCACAATTAATCTAAGCTTAATACTTTACACTTGCCGTTTTCGTCTTTATTTACTCTTCAGTTGTCTCTGCATTACAAGACGCGGGTAGCTATGAGATTTCCCACCAAAATAACCTCGATTTGCATTCGGGTTGCCATGCCTGTTGATTTAGTTATTTTACATTGGTATGCCTGTGGTGCGGACGGACGGGCGCTCGGTCGGTGTACGGTCACGTGATTGCCAAATTTTCTCGGATGGGTAGATTTACTTAGCTATGGTGCTGCGCTCGCGCGCGCGTGGAGCTCCGCTATAAAACCCCCCAGCAGTGGACTAATCCTATCTTATCGTAATCTCAGGAAGTATTGACAACTTGGCTCCAGCTCGTTTTGCTCAGGTGCGTTCGGTGATTTTATGGCTTCCATTTTATAGACCTGAACTTCAATTTTAGACAGGGTAGGCTGGGTGGGAGGCTGCAAAACCTCTCGCGTTATTTTTGTTGTTACAAAAGTTAATTAGACTGCTTGCAGTCCGCCTTTTCTCTTAAAATCCGCCTAGTTCTCATCTCAGCGAGCGCGATTGCAAACCACGACGTTACGTTGCAACAAGGGATTGGGACGAGACGATATATTTTCTTCTCGGGCTTGCGCCCTCGTTTATCGAGGCTCGAGAGCGCTTGGGTTTGGCGTGCAGTAAGTTTGAAAGAAAAATAAGAGACTGCTCGCAGTCTAAAGATCGTGTTCTGTTACACATGTAAGATAGATAAACAATTATTTTCACCCACGTGGTCAGCAGCTATGCACAATTCATGCAACAAAGAAAGTTTCTGCATGAGGAAAGTGTTTAATTGATTCCGGATTCTCTGTCTCTGGGACTTGGATTCCAGATTCCGATCGCTGGTGCGATTCAAGAGGCCTTGAACTGTAATCCAGATTCCAAGGCCCAGGATCCAGATTCAGAGCAAAAATATCCCGGGTTCCCTAACTTGGGGCGAAATCTCCTCAGAATTTTTTTGGGGGGGTACACCAAAATGGCCAACGTAAGGAGAGGATTATTAATCGGCTTCTTTCAACCGTTCGTTGTTTTGTACAACAATATAGCCGCCATTTTAATGTTTTGTATCATAATATGGCCACCGTTTTTGTTACCTCATTTCCGTAACAATATAACGGGGTGACGTCGTGTGATTTCGATGTTAGGCAATGTGCATTTCTGCATTCCTCCGGCTTTTTGAAGCCTTGTATGGCCTGTCATGCACGGTATGCTAAATTCAGTTGAGCTCTTTTCTGATATCACGCAACACGTCTCACTTCCAAGCCATTCCGGTAAATTAATCGGATAATAGGCTTTTATTAACACGAAAATTTAAAGGATTCTTGAAACTAATTTTGCGTGACACTCTGTCCGGGTTTTTAAAGGACTTTTTCTGCTAAGAAATTGCAGTAGTATCGTTTTCCTGCGAGTCCTGTCCCATCCGCTTAAGATATCAAAAATTACCGCTGGGGACTTATCTTATCTTATCGCAATCTCAGGAAGTGCTGACCTTGTTGTATCACTTCGTTCTGAGCTCGTTTTCTTGGTAGTCAGCTCCGAAAAGAAGGATTACTAGAATCCGTAAGATTTCCTTAATTTTAAGCAGGGTCAGTGATGCTTCCAAGAACACCAACTAAGGCTTTAATTCTTATCTTATTAACTTTAAATTTTATAACCGAGAGCCAGTCTTGGAGGCGGCGTAGCTGTTCGTCAGTGAACTGTCGGGTCAGCTCTTGGTCGACTTGGTCACCGTGCAGCGCTTCGCAGTGTGGAACCTCTGGTAACCAACAAAGGACAAGGCGTGTGATTACCAATCCAAGCTGCGGTGGGGCCAGCTGTCCCTCCAAAATGGTAGACAAAAGAATATGTTACGGGAATACGCCAATTAACTGCCAGGTCAGTTCTTGGTCTTCTTGGTCAGTATGCAGCACAGTGCAGTGCGGGAAATCAGGCTTTGAACAGCGATCGCGATACATAATTAGGTATTCTAATTGTGGAGGAACAGGTTGCCTCTCCGCGTTGCAAGAAACTAGGATCTGTTATGGAACTAAAGCGTCTGCATGTGTCTATTCCACATGGTCGACATGGAGCTCGTGTCCAGCATTCCGGTGTGGAGATACTCAAACAAGCAGTAGACAGATTCATGAAAGAGAGCAATGTGGGGGAACACCATGTAATATCACGGCCTTAAGCAAAACGCGAGCTTGTAAACAAACATTTTGCGTCAACCAGGGAAAGTTATCAGACGGGAAATGTTACTGCAAGTCGGGTTTTCATGGTAGCTGCTGTCAGTATAGTAGTAAGTATACTTGCATAATTTATCCTATTTTAAAGGGCATTTTCAGTTTTCGAATTTCTTCGGTTTCAGTACTAATGGTGAGGTGCGTTATAATCCGAAACACTCCGGCACTCACTTTTAAAATCGAATGGCTGTTTTGAAGCATTTAGCATCTCAAATATCTTGGATCTTCAAAGCAATTTGCAGTTTTAGCTCTGCATCATTCAAAGGCAACACTAAAATATATAGTACTATAGAAACCTTCGAAATGACGTGATCTCTTTTCTTTAATCCACGGCGAAACTGGGAGGGAAAAATAAAGACAAGACAAAGCAAGTTCAATCTTATCATTTTTCTAACATGAAGTGATTCTATTGTGGGGTATATTACGATTGCAGGATCAGTAAACAATTCAGGCCCAGTTGTTAAATAAAATACCATGACCAAATTAGGGATAAAACGCCATCTAGTTCCCCCAACCCCTCGTGGTCTAATCCCACCCATCCATTGGGATAACGTAAAAGCGCCATTCGAATTACCTTACATTAATACATCACTCTAATCCTAACTCTTTGGGAGTACAAATACACTGTATACGAAAACTTTGACCGACAGCCGTATAGTAAGTTGACAGGAATATTATTTTAAGGATGTGTAAAATGGCTGCTTTGTAAAACCGCACTTTACCAATGTTTTTTTTTTTTTAAATTAACATTTAACTAATTGCCATTCCGCCGACCTTTGTGTTTCCATATACATTGCTTGGTGGCTTCTAAGTTCTGTCAAAGTCGTTGGGTTTCTTTATCGTGTCTATTTTCTTTTAATTTTTTTGTTTAAATGGATAAAAAAGGAATTCAATTCTCGTTCTTGAATGGCCTTGCTGTACCTTTCCTTTCTTCACTGATTTATTTTCATTTCATTATCAAGGTTCATAAAAAGGGGAAATCAAAATAAAAAGAGAAAACAATAATTAACCAATTTGCTTATACCGCCCTAGCACGCCAGTTTATGATAGCACACTCATCTTAGCAGTCAATTTAAATTTAATCTTATGAAGACTATGTACCACTTGAACTACACACTGTATGTGACACAAAGTTTGAGTTGCGTATATATAGCATTCCCAGACACGTATTGATTTTTAACCTGTTTTATTTTAGAACTGCGGGTTGGAAACATTTTGTTTCCCGCATCAGGTCACCACGAAAATATTTTTGAGCCAGAAAAATCCCAAACCCTGTCAACCCTAGTTTGCTGACCCGACGCGGTTGGGAGGGAGTAAAAAAGTTTTGAAATGTCAAAGACCGTCCTTTACCGTGTGTTTTTTCTTTAATCTTTAGGGAAAAAATTGAACAGAAAATAACCCCCATGGTAATAATTCAGTTTCGTTCAAGCTTTCTGAGAATAAAATAGATTTGAGTACGCTATATATATTACATAGAATGTGAGTTGTGACTTTCTTTTCAAGTTATTACCGCCACCTAATTTTAATCGGCTCAACTAGCTCAATGTATTTTCTGCTAGTGATAAATCTCAGAATGGCTCGTTACCGTGACCGTGACTAATATCACGGAAAGATACATGTCCATGCATATCGATGTCCGACTGGGAGGTTTTGCTTGTACGATGAAGTCACGCTTTACGAACACGGAATACTAAAAGTATGATTGATGTAACAATTGCTGCTGATTGGCAGCAAGCAATGCGAAACGCTCAGTGTGGCCTGAAAAGCACAAACTCTTTTGCGCTTTACAATAGTATCATTGACCTCTAGCTAAAAAGCTAAAGAATTTCGATGTAACCGCTCTTAGGTCCGTTGTCTCGAAAACCGCTAAATCCTGTAAATTAGCTCTGACACAGAAACCAGACAGTAGAATCTTGACCTTTCCCGGATGTCTTTCATGTTCGGCAATTGGCTAGTTTGTTATAATTGCAAGGACAAATTACCATTTTTTCTGAATTTACACCTTACGTTCTTTTTCCTCTTTATTTGAACTGTTTTAGTTTTGATTAATGCTTTCATTTAAGCCCAATGTAACTGATAAGGGCAGCAAAGAACAAATTTCCTGTAGCGTCAATCCGGCGGTGTCAATCAATAAATTATGCTTTGACAGTGTCAAGTAACAATGCATTTTACACAATCCGTTTACATCTATTCTAAAAAGATGACTATCTATTTCGCTCTTCTCGATCTCCGAGGTGCGATTGTCTTTCTGGCTCTCGTACGTATCTCATCTGGTAAAACCATCCCGCCATGCAACAACAATGACTGCTGTCAAAAGGCAAAACATCAAGAACTTGACAATTCTCGTCGCAGTACGCAGAGCCACTTCAAGCTTGGCCAAGTTCCGCTGTGCGACAAAGACCTGAAAGCAGGATGGTACCGATTTATCAGCTTTGTCGGTGGCGAAATGCCTACCACAAAAGTCGACGAAAATCGTTGTGGAACCCTGCATCCAATTTGGTTACGAACCCGGACTGGCACGCATCCCCGTCCCTCTAACACTGCTGCTCCGGTGACAGTCACGGCATGCGTCAACATTAATGAAAGAAATGGCGGTTGCTTCTATTCGTTCAACGTAGGCGTCAAATTTTGCCCAGGCAACTATTTCGTCTACTATCTCACACCGATGCGTTCATGTAGCATTGCTTATTGCGCTGGTAAGATTTCCTTAAAAGCAGTAAACAAGTCAACAATGTTTGAAGGCGAAACGTCCACGGTAAATTACTCACCTGTACCGGTTACAGTTTGGACTGTGGACAATTTGAACTTCCACTTAGCGTCAACTTCTATCGCTGATCCTAACCTGGCAAAAAATCCCTTCGATCCTAAGTTACAGTTAAGTTATTCCCCGGGGGCACCTTTTAAATTTTATATGGGGGTGTCTCGCTCAGTCTTTGAGACTCTGGACTAAGTCAGACCAGCGGACGACGAGTGGGGCGTAGTTTTGCACCAAAGCTAGATCAAAAATAATCAGGGATGATATGGAGTAAATCGACCTTGTTGTTGTTTCAAAATCACTGAAGAATGGTAAATGAACATTCCTCTTCCGGAGATCAAGGGCGATGTTCCAGGCAAAAGCATGACGCTGTTGATCGGCATATGGTCCATATGTTGCAGTGGGCCCTGCCCGGAGTTGTTCTCAGACAAGCTAATTAAGAGATGATTTTAGTGTGCCCGGAGTGTGACTGCGTGTGATTTTGTAAGCGTTCCTCAGGTCAACCCTTAACATAATAGTTGGGTTGATAATTACTAACTATTTGGTATCCTTTCCTACTTCATGATCATGTAAAGTCGGTTTAATACCCGGGGGGGGAGGGGGAGGGGGTTAATACTTGTATTTTCCCTTTCATGAAAGGCGGTACAGTGGTAAAAAAAAATCGGCTTTTGCCGAGCGGAATGATACAATTGACCGCCAAGGTTTGTTCGAGAGAGTCTATTTCAAACGTTTCTAAATAGGATGAGTTGAAGTATTTACTCAATTAAAAGCAAAATTTCAATTAGCATGATAACTTGGACGTCTCGAGGCTTAAGTGTTTATCATTTCGCAACAACATTAACATATGGATCGCTTGCTATACTCCACTCGGATAGCTTTTTAAGAGAGTTTTTTTTTTGTCACCGTCTAAGAATTTTTCAAAGGTTTTCTTGTACAGCCCAATTCTTGGACACAGTGTACGGATTCATTTTGTGTCTGTCACAAGATGGGTATGGCAATTTCGAGAGTTTAACCCAAATGCATTTAACAGATATAGATTCAAAAATTCCAAAAAGAAGCCGAAGCTATGCATGCAAATTTCCATGTAACGCTGGCATTCGCTCTACCAATTTTAAAGTCGTCTATGAACAACTATATTGACCGCTTTGCATTTGGGAAGGGGTGGAAAAACGAAGAAACAAACTCAACTCAGTCTCGCGTCACGCGCTCTCAGTTTCTCGTGCCTTCGAGTCGGAGGTGCTTGTACACAGCTGTAGAACAGCTTGCAGCGTAGCACAACGTTAATCGAATGCATCGTGCTTGTTGAATTCTGAAAAGAGTACGTAGACAGCTCAACAAAACTTCAAAGGAAATGTTGATTCGTCTCGATGTGCTTCCTTTTTAAAGTTATTGCTCTGTAATTGCTCCTGAAGGGCTAAGGAGTTGAGTCCTCTCGCCTTGCGGAAATCTCGCTATGACAAATATCCCGACGATACGGCCACGGAAAAACTTAAAAAGTCGCTATTACATTGACACGCTCGCAATTGCGGGCTTCAGGTCTTAACCGCACAATTTCATTTTGCCGACTCTTATTGTGACGGGGTCGGAGGGGCTCCTGCTAACCGTCAGAAAGTATTTTAAATACGAGTTTCCTTTTACAGGGAATGGAAAGCCATGCCCTTATGGACAATCAGGAAATTCGCTAAAAACATGTTCGGGTAAGTTAAAGTTCATTATCTTTTGTTTGACGTTCCTGGCCTTTGTGTGGAAGCACGGCTGGAATAAAAGTCCTTGCATTTCATACATGTATAAATGCGAATTTCTGGATTTCTGGCATTCATGATAATACTGTAAATAGCAAAAGCAAGAATCAAATAATGAAATAGTTTAACGCAAAGGTACAGAATTTGCGCACAAACCTAAAAAAACGTAAAATAAAACTAAAAAATTTTCCAAGTTTCCTTGGGTTAAAAGTCCACGAGAAGGTTGGTTCTGAGGAGACCATCATCTCATATATTCAGGCAGGAGCATGTTCGGGAATGCATGACGTTTACCAGCGTTCAGACGTGCTGAACCTGCTCCTTCCACACGAAACGTTTGTACACATATCTTGACACACGCGAATATTCTGGAACTTAAAAAAAATTAAAGTCTGAAAGAGCAGTCATGTTTCACTTTAAACTTGTCATGTCATTTTTGTTTTCAAAATACAGTCATTAGTTTTGATTGCATTACTGTTTATTGATATACTATTGTTATACTTTCGTTCAGCTTCACCGGTGAAGTTTCCTAGAAGCTACTTGAGCCGCCCCACTATTACACATAAAGATGAAGAGGGAGCAGAAGTCACCCTCGTCTGCAAAGTACCCATTAATCCCACGATAATGCAATGGAAGAATGTCACATACGTTGTTCACTGGTATGCGGACGGTCGACATGTGTATACAGAGCCACAATTTTGTAAACCTACAAACGAGAGTGCGGGAGCGAACGACCAACCCTGTCCAGGAAAGAACGAAATTCGCTCTTATCTCAGAGGAGTTGGTACAAACTATTACCCAGGACAATGGGTAAGTAATTTTGTGTGGGTGATTTTTTCAGTTTTGCATGCTCTTTTTATCGTTACCTTTAAAAACAAAATGATCTGTGTAGGATTATGACGTCGTCAAAGTGCAAGGTCAACAACCGTTGTGGGCGAAATAGAAGGTTGAGGCACTTCATTTCAAAGTCGATTTTAACTTTGGGACTGAAAAAAATAATAATTGCAGGCGACAAGAGGAGTCCGCAATCCTAATCTTCAAGTTGTTATTACGCATGCATCGCATGATTGTATGTAGCCAGCAACAATGTATGGAATACACAGAACGCACTTTGATCACGCTCGTTTGGACTTTCCATCACTCGCAATCTGATCTTTATTACTAGTAATAATAATAAAGAATAGTTTATACCCTTTCCTTGAAAAGGAACGGCATTATCTTTGTGGTCATGGGAAGGTCTAGCCGTTAACAGGGCAAAATAAGTACCTTCTCCCTCGGTATTTTTTAAGACGCTGAGTATTGGTCTGGTGCCTTGAATCGAACCGGGAAGCTCCCGCTCCTCTTTCCCACTCAGTCCCCGAAATTGAACCAGTAAACTCTTGCTCCTCTCTCCTACTAGGTCCCGGAAATTGAACCACCGACCTCTTGCTCCTCTCTCCTACTTGGTGCCGGAAATTGAACCATCGACCTCTTGCTCCTCTCTCCTGCTCGGTGCCGGAAATTAAACCAGCAAACTCTTGCTCCTCTCTCCTACTTGGTCCCGGAAATTGAACCACCGACCTCTTGCTCCCCTCTCCTACTTGGTGCCGGAAATTGAACCATCGACCTCTTGCTCCTCTTTCCCACTCAGTCCCGGAAATTAAACCAGCAAACTCTTGCTCCTCTCTCCCACTAGGTCTCGGAAATTGAACCACCGACCTCTTGCTCCTCTCTCCTGCTAGGTCCCGGAAATTGAACCACCGACCTCTTGCTCCTCTTTCCTAGTAGGTCCCGGAAATTGAACCACCGACCTCTTGCTCCTCTCTCCTACTCGGTGCCGGAAATTAAACCAGCAAACTCTTGCTCCTCTCTCATACTAGGTCCCGGAAATAGAACCACCGACCTCTTGCTCCTCTCTCCTACTCGGTGTCGGAAATTAAACCAGCAAACTCTTGCTCCTCTCTCCTACTAGGTCCCGAAAATTGAACCACCGACCTCTAGCTCCTCTCTCCTACTTGGTGCCGGAAATTGAACCATCGACCTCTTGCTCCTCTCTCCTACTCGGTGCCGGAAATTAAACCAGCAAACTCTTGCTCCTCTCTCCTACTAGGTCCCGGAAATTGAACCACCGACCTCTTGCTCCTCTCTCCTACTAGGTCCCGGAAATTGAACCACCGACCTCTTGCTCCTCTCTCCTACTAGGTCCCGGAAATTGAACCACCGACCTCTTGCTCCTCTCTCCTACTAGGTCCCGGAAATTGAACCACCGACCTCTTGCTCCTCTCTCCTACTCGGTGCCGGAAATTAAACCAGCAAACTCTTGCTCCTCTATCCTACTAGGTCCCGGAAATTGAACCACCGACCTCTAGCTGCTCTCTCCTACTTGGTGCCGGAAATTAAACCAGCAAACTCTTGCTCCTCTCTCCTACTAGGTCCCGGAAATTGAACCACCGACCTCTAGCTCCTCTCTCCTACTACGTCCCGGAAATTGAACCACCGACCTCTTGCTCCTCTCTCCTACTAGGTCCCGGAAATTGAACCACCGACCTCTTGCTCCTCTCTCCTTCTAGGTCCCGGAAATTGAACCACCGACCTCTTGCTCCTATCTCCCAATCGGTCCCGGAAATTGAACCATCTGCCTCTTGCTCCTTTCTTCTGCTCGATCCCGGAAATTGAGCCCGTGACCCCCCGCTCCTCCCTCTCCCTAGGTACCGGCAGTTGATCTCGCGACCTTCCATTCCTACGTTCCACGCGTTCCCGAAAAATGAACCTACCTCTTCCTGCTGTGCAGACCAGCGCTCTACCGATTGAGTTAATCATCCCACCGTATGATACATTTGGGGAAAATCTAAATATGGTGAAAATAGAAGTTATTTAATTGCAGGCGACAAGAGGAGCCCGCAATCCTAATCTCTAGGTTGTTATTGGGCATGCGTCGCATGTATGTAGCCAGCATTCGTTTGGACATCCACTAAGAATGTATGGAATGCACAGAACGCACTTTGATCACGCGCGTTTGCGCTTTCTATCACTCCTAATCTGATCTTGCGTGTTTTGACCATCTCTCACGTGAAACTTAAGCAAAGCACAGCGCTGGAGCAAAAGCGTTTTGACTTTTGATCGTTGTCGCCCGCACTCCCGTAACCTTTGGTTATTTCTAGTAGTATTTATAATACTAAAACCATCACTAATGTTTTGTTTGTTTCAACAGATACAATGCGAAGTTAAAGCAAAGTACACTACCATGAAAGCAAATCCGTGGTCCGAACCCATGTCCCTTTTACGGCCATTTTTTGCTGGTATTAAGGTAAAGAAACTGCTTTTCGTAGAAATTCAGAATCCTGCTCGTTAAAAGGATGAGCAAGAAAAAAAAAGAAAGAAAGACCGGATACACTGAATTCATTGTCAGGCATGTTGATATAATAGCCCACGTTCGATATATTAAAAGTCTATCATGAGTCCGAGGCTTTCTGGTCACTTTCTTTATTTGGTTTGGTCTTCTTTGTGATCTAGTCTCTTCTGGGAATTACGAGACAATGGAGTCTTGAAAAATTTTCAATTTTGACCCTTGAGCCTCGGAGTCACGTTAGAATTTTAACCACTACGAGCCTCAGCGCTCCGGAAGTTAAAAAATTCGTACCGTCTGGTTGCTATGAAGTGACGTAATCATCCAGTTGAGTATCCATTCCCGTAACACTTTTGCGGTCAACTACCGCAGCGCTCGTAAAGTACTTTAATTAAAACCGTGTTCAAAACCCTGTAGGAAGTCTGTTTATTTTTGAGTCGATTAATGCACTGCTGACTTTCACGAGGTCAACTTTTGCATAAATTATCAAACATTATGTTAAGCGGGAAATCTACCTATGGTTCGCGGGAGAAGCAACTTCTATAGCGGCGCAAGACAAATGTTTCGAGAGTCGAGGATGTGCTCACAAACTATTCACTATGCGACGAAAGGAGAAATCACTGGCATGATAGCTGCATGTAAAAGTAATTTTATCAATCCAGGTCGCGCCGTGTTCGCTCGAGAACGCTGTGACAACCTCGTTTGGCGCGCTACTCAATTCTTCCAAAACATGTTGTAATCGGTAAGTAGACTTAAGCACTAAGTATCGCCAAGCCATTCGAATCAGTGTATACCCAATTCTTTGTCTGAAGATTCTCGCAAACACATATACCAAGTAAATCTGGATGGAAGAGGAAATTGTCTCCCTAAACGCAGCCAGATTATATTTTGAAGGATGGCGGCACAATTCAACGCGTCTTCCAGGTCAGCCCTAATTTATAGTTCGTAAGAGAATAAATTGCGATCTCCCTATTAAGCTTTCTTTGATAAAACTTCAGTAGAAACAAAACAACGCAGACATGACATTCTCCTGCATGAGACACAATCGGCTGAAGGAAATATCTGTTTACAAGTCGGGTAAATTATCCATTCTTGCGCACCGCAAAATCAGCTAAAATCAGTCGCTGGAAACCCGGCATATTAGTAAGCCTGAGCGCTTCTAAGAATACCACGTTTAGAACTTCGACGCGTAGGAAAAAAAGGCAGTTGTTCTATATCCTTTCTGGTTCATCCAGGTAGAAGTCCTGGCATGATATAATTATGCCTGAGCGCTACTAGGATATATAACGCGTTTAGCATTTCGACCCGTAGCCGTAAAAAAAAATTTAGGCAGTTGTTCTATATCCTTTCTGGTTCATCCAGGTAGAAGTCCTGGCATGATATAGTTATGCCTAAGCGCTTCTAGGATATATAACACGTTTAGCATTTCAACCCGTAGCCGCAAAAAAAAAATTTAGTCAGTTGTTCTATATCCTTTCTGGTTCAGCCAGGTAGAAGTCCTGGCATGATGTTATTATGCCTGAGCGCTTCTGGGATATATAACACGTTTAGCGTTTCGACCCGTAGCCGAAAAAAAGAAATTAGGCTGTTGTTCTATATCCTTTCTGGTTCACCCAGGTAGAAGTCCTGGCATGATGTTATTATGCCTGAGCGCTTCTGGGATATATAACACGTTTAGCGTTTCGACCCGTAGCCGTAAAAAAGAATTTAGGCTGTTGTTCTATATCCTTTCTGGTTCATCCAGGTAGAAGTCCTGGCATGATGTTATTATGCCTGAGCGCTTCTAGGATATATAACACGTTTAGCATTTCGATCCGTAGCCGAAAAAAAGAAATTAGGCTGTTGTTCTATATCCTTTCTGGTTCACCCAGGTAGAAGTCCTGGCATGATGTTATTATGCCTGAGCGCTTCTGGGATATATAACACGTTTAGCATTTCGATCCGTAGCCGAAAAAAAGAAATTAGGCTGTTGTTCTATATCCTTTCTGGTTCACCCAGGTAGAAGTCCTGGCATGATGTTATCATGCCTGAGCGCTTCTGGGATATATAACACGTTTAGCGTTTCGACCCGTAGCCGTAAAAAAGAATTTAGGCTGTTGTTCTATATCCTTTCTGGTTCACCCAGGTAGAAGTCCTGGCATGATGTTATTATGCCTGAGCGCTTCTAGGATATTTAACACGTTTAGCATTTCGATCCGTAGCCGAAAAAAAGAAATTAGGCTGTTGTTCTATATCCTTTCTGGTTCACCCAGGTAGAAGTCCTGGCATGATGTTATTATGCCTGAGCGCTTCTGGGATATGTAACACGTTTAGCGTTTCGACCCGTAGCCGTAAAAAAGAATTTAGGCTGTTGTTCTATATCCTTTCTGGTTCACCCAGGTAGAAGTCCTGGCATGATGTTATTATGCCTGAGCGCTTCTAGGATATATAACACGTTTAGCATTTCGATCCGTAGCCGAAAAAAAGAAATTAGGCTGTTGTTCTATATCCTTTCTGGTTCACCCAGGTAGAAGTCCTGGCATGATGTTATTATGCCTGAGCGCTTCTGGGATATATAACAGTTTAGCGTTTCGACCCGTAGCCGTAAAAAAGAATTTAGGCTGTTGTTCTATATCCTTTCTGGTTCACCCAGGTAGAAGTCCTGGCATGATGTTATTATGCCTGAGCGCTTCTAGGATATATAACACGTTTAGCATTTCGATCCGTAGCCGAAAAAAAGAAATTAGGCTGTTGTTCTATATCCTTTCTGGTTCACCCAGGTAGAAGTCCTGGCATGATGTTATTATGCCTGAGCGCTTCTGGGATATATAACACGTTTAGCGTTTCGACCCGTAGCCGAAAAAAAGAAATTAGGCTGTTGTTCTATATCCTTTCTGGTTCACCCAGGTAGAAGTCCTGGCATTATGTTATTATGCCTGAGCGCTTCTGGGATATATAACACGTTTAGCGTTTTGACCCGTAGCCGTAAAAAAGAATTTAGGCTGTTGTTCTATATCCTTTCTGGTTCATCCAGGTAGAAGTCCTGGCATGATGTTATTATGCCTGAGCGCTTCTAGGATATATAACACGTTTAGCATTTCGATCCGTAGCCGAAAAAAAGAAATTAGGCTGTTGTTCTATATCCTTTCTGGTTCACCCAGGTAGAAGTCCTGGCATGATGTTATTATGCCTGAGCGCTTCTGGGATATATAACACGTTTAGCATTTCGACCCGTAGCCGAAAAAAAGAAATTAGGCTGTTGTTCTATATCCTTTCTGGTTCACCCAGGTAGAAGTCCTGGCATGATGTTATTATGCCTGAGCGCTTCTAAGATATATAACACGTTTAGCATTTCGATCCGTAGCCGAAAAAAAGAAATTAGGCTGTTGTTCTGTATCCTTTCTGGTTCACCCAGGTAGAAGTCCTGGCATTATGTTATTATGCCTGAGCGCTTCTGGGATATATAACACGTTTAGCATTTCGACCCGTAGCCGAAAAAAAAAGAAATTAGGCTGTTGTTCTATATCCTTTCTGGTTCACCCAGGTAGAAGTCCTGGCATGATGTTATTATGCCTGAGCGTAGGATAGTCCGTTTAGCATTTCGATCCGTAGCCGAAAAAAAAAATTAGGCTGTTGTTCTATATCCTTTCTGGTTCACCCAGGTAGAAGTCCTGGCATGATGTTATTATATGAGCGCTTCTGGGATATATAACACGTTTAGCATTTCGACCCGTAGCCGAAAAAAGAAATTAGGCTGTTGTTCTATATCCTTTCTGGTTCACCCAGGTAGAAGTCCTGGCATGATGTTATTATGCCTGAGCGCTTCTGGGATATATAACACGTTTAGCATTTCGACCCGTAGCCGAAAAAAAGAAATTAGGCTGTTGTTCTATATCCTTTCTGGTTCACCCAGGTAGAAGTCCTGGCATGATGTTATTATGCCTGAGCGCTTCTAGGATATATAACACGTTTAGCATTTCGATCCGTAGCCGAAAAAAAGAAATTAGGCTGTTGTTCTATATCCTTTCTGGTTCACCCAGGTAGAAGTCCTGGCATTATGTTATTATGCCTGAGCGCTTCTGGGATATATAACACGTTTAGCATTTCGACCCGTAGCCGTAAAAAAGAAATTAGGCTGTTGTTCTATATCCTTTCTGGTTCACCCAGGTAGAAGTCCTGGCATGATGTTATTATGCCTGAGCGCTTCTGGGATATATAACACGTTTAGCATTTCGATCCGTAGCCGAAAAAAAGAAATTAGGCTGTTGTTCTATATCCTTTCTGGTTCACCCAGGTAGAAGTCCTGGCATGATGTTATTATGCCTGAGCGCTTCTGGGATATATAACACGTTTAGCATTTCGACCCGTAGCCGAAAAAAAGAAATTAGGCTGTTGTTCTATATCCTTTCTGGTTCACCCAGTAGAAGTCCTGGCATGATGTTATTATGCCTGAGCGCTTCTGGGATATATAACACGTTTAGCATTTCGATCCGTAGCCGAAAAAAAGAAATTAGGCTGTTGTTCTATATCCTTTCTGGTTCACCCAGGTAGAAGTCCTGGCATTATGTTATTATGCCTGAGCGCTTCTGGGATATATAACACGTTTAGCATTTCGACCCGTAGCCGAAAAAAAGAAATTAGGCTGTTGTTCTATATCCTTTCTGGTTCACCCAGGTAGAAGTCCTGGCATGATGTTATTATGCCTGAGCGCTTCTGGGATATATAACACGTTTAGCGTTTCGACCCGTAGCCGAAAAAAAGAAATTAGGCTGTTGTTCTATATCCTTTCTGGTTCACCCAGGTAGAAGTCCTGGCATGATGTTATTATGCCTGAGCGCTTCTGGGATATATAACACGTTTAGCGTTTCGACCCGTAGCCGAAAAAAAAAATGAAGCTGTTGTTCTATATCCTTTCTGGTTCATCCAGGTAGAAGTCCTGGCATGATGTTATTATGCCTGAGCGCTTCTGGGATATATAACACGTTGGCAATGAAATCGACCGCAGACTTTAAAATGTTCTTTTTAGAAGGCACTGAATTATTTTTTCCGGACATTTTGTTTGATACCGCATTTTTAATTAATTTTATTTGTCGCCCCAGGATGATGACATGATTGCGTGAGAATTGACGCCTCTATCACATTAGATGCGAAATACGATCAGAGATTACGGGAATAGGGAATGTTGCAAGCTACTGGGTATCCAGCTGAGATAGCTGACTTTTACTCAGCTATCTCAGCTGGATACTGAGGGGTTTTTTTGGTTGCTAAGACCGTGCAGCTCGTTATGTATCGAACGTGGGCTATTAAATTTGAATAGTAGATACATTATTTCAACATGTGAAAAATTTCTGCGAAGCGAAAAACTTTCACACAAAACCACGCTCATTTCACCAGTTTTAAATTTGAATTGGATGCAAGCATAGGTGTTAAATGCAATTTTTCCAGAATGAAACAATCCTCCTTTTACGAAAGAAGGCTTACAAAAAGGCTATATACAGGGTGTTTCAAAAGTTCGTTCCGATTTTTCATTCGCTTAAATTTCACTGATTATTAAAACAACGTTTTGTAAAACTAAGTATGTTAATCATTATTCATTTAACATTAAATAACTAAATATATTAGTAACCAGAATGTCTTCCTTTGTGTTTACTGACATTTTCTAAGTGATGAGGTATAGAATGTACGAGCTCCCAAATTCTGTCTAAATTCGCGGTTTTTTTAGGCGAAGAGTAATCACTGTCTTAGCTCGTCCAGTGTTTTGGGGGCTAGATCTTTGTTTCTTGTCTCGTTAACGATAATCCAGATGGTCTCTAGGGTTCACATCACATCAGTTTGCTGTTCGGTCGTTCTTTGGTATAAAGTTTACAAATCCTTCTGACACCATGCCTTCATGAAATGTGTACCGCCTTTTTCTCTTCAAGGCTTTCCAACGTTTTGGATAACTTATCCCTGTACCGTTGTGCTCAAAACCTTGATCCATATTGTAAATTGTGAAAGTTTTGTTGAATTATTATGCATATACTTACAGCTTTTTGGATAACTTTTGTCACACAGTTTGTGGAAAAAAACGGCCATCCACTCCTTGGTTAATTTTCTAAGGTCTTTACTTTTGACCACTTGTTCAGTCATCGTTCAGACTTCCTCAAAAATTTGGCAATTGCCTTTGACTGAAAGGCCAGAAGACCATAAAAATAGATGTCTGAGCTCTAGCACAAACAGTGTAAGCCTTCATTTTTATGAAGGAG